CACCGGAGAATCCAAATGCCCCTTGTCGACTCAATGCTGCTACCTTCGGTGGTCTCAACTTTCAGCCAATGCCTTCGCCGCTGACTGAAGCACGTTGCCGCTCCGGATGGGAGATGGGCAAGGGCACCTCGCATGAGGTCATGCGCCGTTGAGGGGGGGGTAATGTCACGAGTTGGTACGGCGCCTAGCCGTTTTTTAATTTTTCCTTTTCGCGGGCTCGAACCCGCGACCTCTGTACTACCTGCCTGATATGGACGCGTCACTATCTACTGTACGATTAGATTAGATGGGGCGGCAGCGCACGGCACAGCTCGGGCCCCGCTGACACAGCCGCTCTGACTCACCGGCCCCCGGGGCCGCGTCGGCATGCTGCGCACAGAACAGCTGCGCACAGTCCAACGTGCACAGCCTGCCCTAATCTCCCCATGTATATAAGCCGGCCTCTGCTGCCCTAGGGACCTCAGTTTCGACCTCTTGTCCCTAGGTCAGTAAGCCCTCCCTTGTATTCTTTTCTTACATTACTAACTAATACATTTTCTTGTCCCTAGCCTTAGGTTTGAGCGTAGCTCACCATCGCTTCGGTAAGACTTAGTCGGACGCCCCCAGCTCTTAGGTTTTCCCCCAGTCGCTTGACCTCAAGTCGCGACAGCGAGAGTAATGAAGCCTGTTCAGGCAATCGACATTCACCATTAAAGTGTAACATTATAATATCATGTGTAGGAAGATAAGGGTGGTACATTCATGCCAGGTGATGCAAGAAATGTACATCTTGCCAACAGCCGCCAATATTGTACCTATTGCAATGGATTGGGAAATTGCCAAAGCGGACTCGCCTCGATAATCGCATATCTCTCATGTACAATTATGGCGCTCAATTATATTGATTGTGTCGTCATGTAATAGATTGCAGGATGGATCCGGTTTTGCTGATGGCCAAAGATGCAATGAGCCACATTCACCGTGCGCATTGAAAGGACCCCGAAAGTAGGGTAAGATAACCTCCTTCTTAGTTAGAACACATCATGTGATAGATGTTCTAACCATAATAGGCAGGCAGCTGGGCCTTTTTTTCCTTTTTTAAGTCCCCTTCTTGCATGGTAGATGAAGAGCGATGCACTCGAGCAGGCATACACAGTTGAGTAGGCTTATTCTATATATATTTCGTCATCAAGTACATGATGGGGTCGCTCCGGTAAGTATAGTAGCCCAAAATCTGCCTCGTTCTGTTTGCCGCGCTGCATCGTCAACCCGCGTCGTATCTGCTCGTGATCGCTTATGGCACTGGGATGTAAAGGAGTCCGAGTCAGTGGCAGATAACGAAGTCGAATAGCGTAAGTCGCCAGGAGTAGATAGCATTGAATGAAAGCAGATTTTGTGCCACTATCTTAGGATTCTGTATTCATGAGTGCGTTGAGCGAGAGTGAGGAAGGCTGACTCGTAGCGCGACGCGCTCTTGGGCAGCACATGTCACGTGCCTGCGGCCACACTCTCTGCACGCAGCAAAATCACATCCGACAGTGGCTTCTAAGAGGAGTAGGAAATTCGTTTCTTTTTGTCAAAATACGACTATATTAAATCTCATTCATCTTACAGAGTGATAGGACATGAAAGAAACTCTTGCAGGCGTTATTCAGAGATTCAGCGAAAACGGCGCAGAGATTGAAATCAGGCCCCCCGGACACCGGGGGCTATCCACTTCTCAGGTGGAGCATATCCCCGATCTCAATCTCGCCCGCCTCTTGGGGCCAGGCTCTCGGCAGGGGCACGCGAGCACGTGAGGACAACACGTCCCAATCCGGACTCAACCAGACCATTGTCTCTGCCTCTCCTCTCAACTTGTACTCATCTCTCTTGCTCTCAAAGTCGTCTTGTCTTGCTCTCGCCGCTACCTCGCACACGCATTATCTATTTTACTGTCTGTACACATACCCTTGTGAGCCCGTCGCCGCATGCCGCGCCTTGAACACACTCATTACCTTACCCCTGCAGTGCAGGAGCCACTGACCGCGCAATATCATGGCCGAACACTCGAATGCGCCACCGCGGCGACCGGATGTGAAGCGCAAGCTAGTCGTAGTTGGAGACGGTGCGCGTTCATCCACATCCATCGCGTCATATGCACTGATCGCTCCACAGGCGGCTGTGGCAAGACCTGTCTGCTCATTGTATACGCAGAGAATCGCTTTCCAGAGGTATATCGCGTTTACTGCTCTATATTTATGCGTTTGACATTGTATCGCATGACCTTACTGCTACATCAGTCGTACATCCCAACAGTATTCGAGAACTACGTGACCCTCGTGCAATTCGACGGCAAGCTGGTTGAACTCGCGCTCTGGGACACTGCCGGACAAGAGGAATACGATCGCTTGCGCCCATTAAGCTACCCCGAAAGCGACGTCATTCTCATCGTGTTCTCGATCGACTTCCCAAATAGCCTCGCCAACGTCCAGGACAAAGTATGTCGCACCGTTCTTCTCCGCGTACAACATGCCCACCAGTCCCCTACCTCCTCACACTGCCTTCTTGCGCGTCGTAATCGCCCCGCAGTGGTATCCTGAGGTAGCACACTTCTGTGAGGGCGTTCCGGTCATCCTTGTCGCGACCAAGACCGACTTGCGGCGGGACGAACAGACGAAGCGCATGTTGAGCGCCCAAGGTCAAGCGCCAGTCACCTCCGAACAGGGTATGTCCGTCGCGCGCGAGATCAACGCCAAGTACATCGAGTGCTCGGCGAAGATGGGTACCGGCGTGCAGGAGGTCTTTACGCTCGCCCTCAAAGAGAGCATGCGCGGGCGCTGGGGCAAGATCGTAAAGCAACGGCGGTGCGTCGTAACATGACGCGCGCAATATCGCTCTGGCACAGGCGGGGTCTCGGCGGGACGAGCGACCTTGGAAGGGCTACGGCGGACTATATACTGATCTCATCATCCTGCTTGCATCGTGCACATTGATTTCCATCTATTCGCATTACTGTAGACATGTACGCTCTGCGTTGTATTCACATAAGTATTGCTCGAATTCTCGCTGGTAAATATCCCGGAAAGTCTAATCGAGAGTTCCAATAAATTTTATACATCAGTGGAGGAACGTCTGCTTTCAGCAACATGAAATTGACGGCATAAGCGATAACAAGATCATGTAGATACAGAGGCTCCGGTGCGCTTATCGTAGTATTGATGGCCATGCTCCAGGAGCCTGTTACGAGATGAAAATCGTTAATTGAGGAAATTGTGCATGGGATGAATGACATACCAGTCAGGCTCTATCTCCGTAAGTATGCGGATTCTACGACAATACATTTCAGCATCTATGAATATCACCGCACGCACGACTTACTGTGTCTTTTTGGTTTCCTCCATCTCATGGAAGATCACCCAGCCCGAGCGAGGTTTCCTGGTGAAAAGAACCGAGTTGGGGTGTACGTGTAAGGTCTGAGGAGCACACATGAGCATAGTGGTCCGAAAGCTATTTGACCACATACAGCATTGCCTCGCACGGATCGATACGTGCCGTCGGCGACCCACCGCGCGCCGTTCCGCCAGTATCCGCTGACCAGGCACTTGCGCAATCTCTTCGCGTCGCCCTCGCAGCTTTCCAGAGGGAGCCCGAAGCGCTGCATGTACTTTTTCAGCTGGGCCCGGATGGACACGGCGCGCGACATGGCGCGGAAGGATAGCGCGTGCGATTTGCACCATGACGAAGAGCGTCCGTATCGAGTGAATGCATTATACGCTGGTGAAACTGCATAAATGATGGACGAAATGTAGTATATAGTCGACGCATGTACCGTTCAACAGGGTGAGATGGTCCTGACGGAGTGGGTTGAGTGGCAGTCCGGTGTAGGCAAAGTCACGCTGCACTTACCCCCTCTTCTGCTGTGAACTTCCTGCGTTCCAGCTCGGCTAATGCTCCCGCTGCACCATCAGGAATTATGAACACATCCTGGCACGAACATGCTTCAAGAACAAGTCATCGCTGATATGACAGGGCTCGTACCTGCACGGTGGTCATAGCTGCAATCGTCAGGATCTCCTCGCCACACTTGTACTCCTTCGATTGGAACAGCTGCTTGCGTGTCAGACATGGCATGGCCGCGCAACATTTGTGCACTATCAGCGAATAACCCACCATGCGCGCGATGTTGACTTCTACCGGGCACTCGGCAACCTTCTCACCAGTGACGGTCAGGCGCCCGTCCTCGCCGATCATGCCCGCCGCATGCAGCCCCTCGAGCGCGCGGAGGGCACTCTCGGCTGGTGGCGCGGAGACCCACTCAAACTTCATGAGATCGTCGATCCCCAGAGACTTGAGTTGCAGGATGGGCGTCGTCAAGTCTGTCCGGGTGATCTCTGGCGCAGTCGTGCGCGGCAGCTTGTCGAATGCATGCTCGGGGTAGAGGCGGTAGCATATGCCGGACGAGGTGCGACCTGCACGGCCGGCGCGTTGGGTAGCGGATGCTTGTGAGACGGGGACGGTGACGAGCGAAGAGAGTGACGTTGTGGGGTTATACGTCCGAATCTATTCATGTCGTCTGGATCCGCTGGAACGAGGTCCGAAGCGTGAAAGGGACTGACCTTGACAAAGCCCGAATCGACTACGAATTTGATGCCGTCGATGGTAACACTCGCCTTTCATGTCATAAACATCGTGCGTTTCGTGCTATCCTTTGCAAACATACCTCGGCAATGTTCGTGGAGATGATGACCTTGCGACTGCCGCGCTCTGCGGGTTCGAACACAGCCAGTTGTTCGTCCGTCGACAGACCAGCGTGCAAAGCTAGCAATTTTAGTCGCGTTGCAGTGCGCGGTAATCTGTGTATGCAGTTGGTATCTACCTCTGGCCAAGGAAGGATAGGAGCGTACGTCGGAAGCATCTCGGCAAGCTCTTCTAAACAGCGATCGATCTCTTCACGGCCGGTCAAGAACACGAGGATGTCCCCACTACCTTGCTACGATGAGGATGTAATCAACGAAGTGAGGGAAGTAACATCGGCAGTATGCTCACCTGCAAGTGAATATTCCAGACAACCTCTGCAGCTTTGCGGACGTAGTCCGGGGTAGGCTCTTGGAGGTGGGCTAGCTGTACCGGATACATTCGCCCCTCCAGACTTACGATGGTAGCCTCGTCGGGAGAGTTACCTGCAGTGAAATAGTCGAGGAAGGAAGTCGCGTCAAGGGTTGCGGAGGATACAATGAGTCTCAGTGATGGCCGTTTCCGACGAATTCTACCATAACTTCAATCAAAGGCGATCGCAGATGAGCCAACGAACGCACTTTTTCAAAATGCCCAGCATAAGGTCCGTGTATATGCTTCGCTCATGGGCTTCATCGATCTTAGCCACTCCTGGTCAGGGTGAGTCGCGGAGAGGGGAGGAGAGAAACCGGCACAGACCATGATAACGCTGTAGCGGCTGAGCAGCGGGTCGACCAGGGTCTCGCGGAAGAGCATGCCGTCAGTCATGTAGAGTATGCGCGTGCTTTCTTTGTCGCTGACGTCTTCGAAGCGGATGGTATAACCCACCTCGGACACGTTGAGTAGGCGAATGACGGGCGGCGAGAGGAGCATACCTCGTCACCGAGGACAGAGCCCACTTCGGTAGCAACTCGCTGGGCGACAGATGTAGCAGCCACACGTCGAGGCTGGGTGCATGCAATGACATTGCCGTCTGCTGACCAGCCTGCTTCGTGGAGGTACTGGGGCAACTCTGGGAGCCGTTCAGTACGTCGCACCGTCATCACGAACGGCACACTGACGTGTTGTTTTTCCACACCCTGTCTGGCCTACGACGATAACGACGCCGTGGTTTTCAACACAGTACAGTAGCTTCTCCCCTGGACGTATCCGTCAAGCTGAGCTCCTCACGCGGGGACCATGAACACGAACTGTGCTTAAATATGGGCAGTCGCTCTCGTGCGGCCTGCACGGAATACGCAGAGGAGATGGGTGCAGACTGAACGACATTTTCCTCTGTTTCCGTCGCGCGGTCGAGGGAGCTGCCTGGACCGGCTGTGCCGGGTTTCCAGAATTGGAGGGAAGACATGCTAGGAGGAGTGTCCAAATGCGGATGTTTGGTCCAGAGGCCTTTGCACGCGGCGCCAAGCGGGGCCAAACAACGCCAGTGGCTGCGTCGAGTGACCGAGCAGTACATCCTTAAGCACCCTATCTGCATTGAGACCACCATTGTACCTCGCATTCGTACTGAGCCACTATGTCTGAGCGAAAAGGTGTGTATCTCGCTAATTCTTTTGCACAGTCGATGCTGATTGCTACACACAGTCTTGAACAAATACTTCCCTCCGGATTTCGATCCCGCTCTCATTCCCCGGAGGAAGCAGCCCAAGAACTCGCAGCAGGTGGTTCGTCTTATGGCTCCTTTTTCTATGTGCGTACATATGTCTGACTTTTAATATTCACTCCTGACATGCGTGGTTTGATAGGCGATGCAACACATGCGGTGAATACATCTACAAAGGGAAGAAGTTCAATGCCCGGAAGGAGACCGTGGACGGAGAGGACTACTATGGCATCAAGATTTTCCGCTTCTACATAAAATGGTATGTGTTCAATCTCGTTATACGTGACCCTCTCGCTGACTCATGATTGCAGCACTCTGTGCTCTGCAGAAATCACATTCAAAACGGATCCAAAGAACACCGACTATTCCGCTGAGCACGGTGCATCGCGGAACTTTGAGCCATGGCGAGAGGAGAAGGCAGTGGAAGAGGAAGACCGCTTGGCGAAGCTCGAGGAGGAGGAGAATAACCCGATGAAGGCGCTGGAGAACAGGACCGTCGACTCGAAGCGCGAGATGGACATCCTCGATGCACTGCAAGACATCCGAGCGCGCAATGCACGTAACGAGAGGGTGGGACACTCCACGGACTTGTTGGACAAGATCCACATGGAAGAGATCGAGACGGAGGAGGACCGGGAGCGCAGGCTACTGGAGGAGGAGGATGAGAAGCTGGTGCGGGAGGTCTTTTCGAAGATCCCTCTCCCAGATGCGTCGGAGCCAAGTGGGTCGACAGCAAGCGGGGAAGGCGGGGCACAAGACTCGCCTGTGCCCGTTGTGACGATGAAGCGGAAAGCGGAGGGGCAGGAGCCTGATGTGCAGAGCCTGCTGCCCGAGGAGGCGAGGGCGTTGATCTCGTCCAAGACGTTCAGCCAGCCGCCGGTCAAGAAGAAGAGAACAGACATGAAGAACTCGCTCGGCATCAAGATCAAGAAGAACGGGGCGAGTGCTAAACCAAAGGTGGCGGTATAGCAGGGGTCGGAATATTTATGCGTTGCAGGACTTTGTATCATGGTTTTGTATGTGTACTTTGAGCCAATCAAATCAGGGTGAAAACATAACTATTAGCCTCGTGGTATGATGTCAGTCGCCGTTGCCTTGCCCCATTGCCGCCGAGTGCGTTGCGGCCCAGTCCTTGCCCTTCTTGTCCAGCGACGACCTTGACGACTGCAACGACGAATCATAGCTAGACGACAAAGATTGGCAACGGGCACCCGCCATGAAGGTGCTTGAAAGTGCTCAGGCTCTTGTATCGACTTTGTTCCGCTTGGTTGCCTACATCTTCCTCCAAGTAGTCAGTACTCCTCGTATGACCATTCGTACCTCGTCTTGCATCTAACATAGGGCACGCATAGATACCACATCATCTGGGGAAGACGTCTTTGCCGCCTCTCTATCTGCTCTATCTTCTCCTGGCCTTTATCCAGCCACCCGTGGACCTAGTTCCACCTAAGGCTACGTTAACGAAGCACACTAATGGAAATGGAGAATCGCACGAGACAGACAAAGACGAGAAGGTATTTAAAGATACCACCCCAACTCGAACAATCCCTTCCGTATGTCGTGTCCCGCCTTGCTCTCCCGCCCGTCCTGCTCTGCTCACAGATCCCGGCAGTCAGATCGTGCGCCCAGCTACGGACCCCTCTCTGTCCTTCTCCTCACCCTACCTACTCGCTCGCGCGCACTCCGCGTAGCAAATCTTGCCATCAACACGCTCATCTTTGCCGCGGCCGTCGAGTTCGTTGCATATCCCTTCTTCGACGATGCCGCGGACGTGGTCTACACCCGCATCGGCGCGATGTACCCGGATGCGACCAAGCTAGTCGTCCGCTACCCGGGCGACAGTGCGGCGCACCGCGAGGTCCGTGTCCTTTGGAGACAAGCAGATGCTGCCGACTCCTGGAACAACGGGCCCGTGGCCAATCTGACATCGGAGAGCGACTGGGTCGCTACCGTGAGGCTGGACGGCCTCTGGCCGAGCACCTCGTACGAATGTGCGTCAGCGTGCCACGCACGCACGAGCGAGCGAGCGAGCTGACTGCGTTCATAGACCAGTTCCAAGACACAAACGGAACCCTGCTGCCATACCCCTCCAGGCCGATCCGCTTTCGCACCTTCCCCGACCCTCAGCTAAACAGCGGATCCTACTTCCGCTTCCTCGCTTCCTCGTGTCTCACGCCGAACTTTCCCTACTTGCCCCTGCAGGGGCGCAGGATCAAGGGCTTCGACCTCGTCGCGGAGCATATCTGGCCAGCTGAGAAACAATCGGTGCCATTGCCAGAAGTTACGTCTGTCAATCCCGCCCCTCCCGCAGCCGACGAGTCGTCCTCTACATCAGCAAGTGTGTCGACAGTACCCGAGAGTGCATCATCTTCCGCAAATGAGTTTGCGACAACACCGGTTTCTCGTGCATCATCAGTAACCAAGGCCCCTACGGAATTCATGATTTTCTTGGGAGACTTCATCTATGCGGACGTCCCGATATACTATGGCGATGACAAAGAGACATATCGCCGCCTGTACCGCCGCAACTACCAGAGTGACAGCTTTAGGAAGGTTTATGAACGACTACGTGAGTCTCCCAGGTCAGCATTGTAAGTTACTGAGATAGATCTCCATTTAGCCTTCTTCCACGCATACGACGACCATGAGGTAAGTCCAACGGCGGAAGGAGAAACCGCCGGTTGACTCAATGCTACTCAGATTATCAACAATTACGCAGGAAACTCCAACGACTCCGCGCCTCCCTTCGCGAATGCGAATGAAGCATTCCAGTTGTACAACGCTCAAGCCAACTACGACTCTCCAGTGGAGGGTCAGCATTACTATGAGTTCCGGCACGGCGACACTGCTTTCTTTGTGATGGACACTCGCCGCTATCGCTCCGTCGTTGAGGAGACAGATGAGGCCAGTCGCACCATGCTTGGCGAGAAGCAGCTGGCAACGCTGTACGATTGGCTGGGCAGAGTCAGTGCATGGAGCCTTCTAAGACCTTGCCGTTTGCTGAGGGAGCTGACAGGTCAACAACACTGCTACGTTCAAGTTCATCGTGTCTTCGGTCCCGTTCACGTCCCTATGGACGTACGAGGCGTTGACCGACTCGTGGGCCGCGTTCACGCACGAGAAGGCCGCCCTGCTCCGTGCGCTGCACACCGTGCCGAACGTGATCGTCCTGTCCGGCGATAGGCACGAGTTCGCCGCGATCGAGTTCACGGGCGAGGCCGCGGCGCATACTGTCCTCGAGATCTCAACGAGTCCGCTGAGCATGTTCTACGTGCCGATCGTGCGCACGTTGAACATGGCGAGCGTGGACACAGTCAACAGGACGACACAGGTGGTGCAGCAGGGCGAGAATGGGACGGTGGAGGTGACTGAGGTCGTGGAGCAAGTGCCGCAGGAGCGTGTGCTGAGATATATTGCCGACGGGAACTATAAGTGGTGGGTGGAGATTAAAGTCTCGTCAGTTAGCGTTCAAGGCTAAGACGCAACATAGGTCGTCCATTGAGGTTGATACACGCGACCAGGACCATCCTGTCGTGAACGTTGACATCATGATCAATGGAGCATGCGCCTACAAGTAAGCGTTGCTCAATACTCGCTATAAAACGGTGTCTCATGTCTACGCAGCTTGACAGTCCACGGACAGCCAGTCAAACTGCGTTCCGCTACGGCACTCGGGGCGTATGTACCGCAAAGCTTCAAGGGGGTACTAGATAAGTTCGGGTTGAAACCGAGTCGGTGGTTCTAAACCAATTGTTTTTCAAAGTTTGTAGCACATATGCTGTAATGCTAATCTAGAGACTGTAACATCTCACAATCACGACCCATTGATTGTTTCTGTGGAAAATCGCTGCTGGATTTGTGCGTAGTGGTCCATCTCGGCCTGGCTGACGCTAGGGACAAGTTCTCTGAGTGCGGTCTCGAAGTCCTCTTGTGACACGAGAACCTCCGTCTCCTGGGTTGTGGCCATCACGGCAAGATAGTACTGTGGGGTGAGTGGGTATGGATGTTGAGGATCGGGCGGAAGTTTGTTGAGTTCCGCTGATAGATGGTGTGAAAATCGGCGTTTAGGGACGACTGAGCACGACAGCACATACCGATAGTGGCCTCCAGTTCTTCAGCCTTCCTCGACATGGCTTTCAAGAGTGCATCAGCACACAGGGCATAGAAATCAGCGCCGGTGTAATGGAAAGGGCATTGTTCTGCTATGTCCTCGAGCTTGAGGTCAGGATGGAGACGGAACTTCCTCGTCAGCGCTTGTAGGATGTTCAGTTGCGCTGCGTGCGTCTTGCTGACTCCAAGATAAAGCATACGATCGAACCTATACAAAGAGAATCCTCAACTGACGATCGGTAGTTCAAGTTACATCGTGGACGTACCGTCCAGGACGAAGCAGAGCTGAGTCTAACAGGTCCGGGCGGTTCGTGGCGCCAATTACGAAGACATCTGCGCCAGCTTTGCCACCCGACAGACCGTCAAGCTCTGCTAGAAGCTGGCTGACGATGCGGTCCATGACACCCCCTGAATCGCCGTGGTTTCCGCGCTTTGGTGCCACCGAGTCCAATTCGTCGAAGAAGATGACACATGGCCGTGCATCGCGTGCGCGTTGGAAGACTCTGCGGACGTTGGCCTCCGACTCGCCAATGTACATGTTGAGCAGTTCCGGCCCTTTGACCGAGAAGAAGTTAAGAGCACAAGATGTTGCGACAGCCTTTGCCAGCAACGTCTTTCCGGTCCCCGGAGGCCCGTAGAGTAATATGCCTACAAAGCGATCAGTGACTGGACCAACGTGCAGGACCGACACATACCCGACCGCTTCTTCAAACCATCCGCGAATAGTTCGGGATGTTCCAGAGGCAGTTGGATAGTGTCCAAGATATCTGCTTTGACATGAGCAAGGCCTCCGACATCGTCCCATGACACTGAGGGGATCTTGGGAGCGCCTATGTTTTCTGAGTAGGATGCTCTTGATTCTAACAAGGCGAGTTCGAAATCAGCTGCGATGATGGGTATACCAGCGTTGAACATGTCGAATTCTCCTTGATCGCTACGAGCGCTGTTAACGTTGAGTTATATTACATCGTAAAAAAGATACTTACGTATCCCGCAAGGCACGCTGCACGGACGCACGTCTCGCTCGACATACAAAGTCTGCCAGGTCCGCAGCTACCAGCGCAGCTGTCTGAACAGCTAGATCCTTCACAGAGACATCTGGTCCAAGGTGGTACCCATGCAACAGCGATGTCAATATCTCGTGTCGCTCTCGTTCCCCGGGAGCCTACGATGAATGTTGGAATTAAAAGAAACCAGAGTGAGAGTCGATATACATACCTCATACGCAATCTCGTGCTTGAGACAAGACATTATACGAGGGAGAACACGTTCAGGATTGCTCGTCGTCGCCACTACAAGGACCGGGTATCCGGTCAGGCTCCATGTTTGCTGTAGACTGTTTATACACTCTTGCAACGCATTTGAAAAATTGCCCTCTAATCATTGTAGTAAGTAAAGTCCTTCTAAGCACCAGCGCTGGAGACTGACCTTTGCCAGATTCTATGCCTTGTGTTGTTTGAGAGAATGCGTCTATGTTTCTCAACAACAGAATGCACGGTGAGCATGCAGCCGCTTGTTCGAAGCGCGCCCGTAAAGTGCCCTCGGTTTTCACCTCGTTATCGTCAATAATGTCAAAGCAGTCAATCTAGCAGGAATGATCAGCCGACGCCATGCATTCCGAAACAAGAACAAGACTGCACCTCATACAGATGAATGCCAAGCCGCCGTGCTACTTGCATTGCGACTGTATATTTTCCTACCCCCCTTGGGCCCTTCAGAAGGATCGACAGCTGAAGTTGGTAGTCGACAGCATGTCGGTTCAAAGCTGCTGCCGTCAGAGCCAACAATTTCTCATAGGCACTGTCTGGACCGAAGAGAGAAGAAGGATACCCGGCTGGATATACAGCCGATGTGGGGCTCCCTATGGTGATCATTCAGCATAGCGCTTTGAATAGGCAAGGTCAGCTGCTCACGGAGTTCCAGGTAGCCTGCGGTATCAGGTACTCTAGAATGCTCGACGCCAGTCTGCACGATGCGCGTGACAGCAGAATCCACCCAACATCCAAGTTCGCCGACGGTCGAACCAACATATGCGTCCGAAGAAGAAACCTCGCCATGACTTGGTATGACATTGTGCTCGATGTTAGTGACCATGAAGAAAACTAACTCATTAGATTCGTCAAATCCATCAGAAAGCCTTGCAAAAGACCAGTCAATTTATGTATCATTGAGGCGACCATCTGACAGACTGACGTATCAACTAGAGTATCTGAATCATCATCTCCATTCGACTCCTCTGACGACTCCGGGTCGTCATGTCGCCGAGCCTCGTCCGTGTTGATGGTAACGGTAATGACATCTCCCTGCTTGACTATGCGCCTCTCTTGACGCAAGTAATCTTGCAGAGCACGCAGGAAGAGACGCTGATACGCTCTGTCCGTGGAAGCTGGCGACGCCACACGAGCTATTGTCATCGTTCGCGCAGTGGGTATAGTGGGTTGCTGTGAGCCAAACGGGCTCGAGCGCAGGTATATGTTTTGCGTGTCGTGTAAGGGTGTTCCGCCCAAAATATTATGCAACAGTTGCGGTGCGGCATACGCAATGCTATCCACGTTGGTCAGTTGGTCAAAGTAATCCACCAAGGAATAAATCCAGCTCACTTCGGTTCCGTCTGCGTGTCTTGTGCGTATACGCACACCAGGCGACTAGAAGAGCCACGGCCAGAACGTGCAACAGCCTTGAAAACATGAGCAGCGGTTCATAAGTTGGGTTAATTTCTTACCCAGTCTCCACTTAAAATGCCAATGCGACTCAAATCACAAGTTCGTACATACACAGCACAGTCGTCCCATTGTGCAGAAACTTGTGCGGTCAAGGGTCGTACCTTGCATGACCACTCCGACGCATGTATATGCGACACTTCAGACCGGTGCCCGTTGATGTTGCCTACGTAATCATCAACGGCGAGCGGGGACGACGCAGAAGATGAATGCAGGATAGATCCAGCAAGAAAGGCCTCATCAATCTCGAAGCCCTCGTCTTCCGACTCCTCCGCTTCAGAGCCGGGATCAGACCTTGGCGTATCTTCAGGAGGGTCCGCTCGTGCGTGAGTGACTGAACCGTATCGAGTAAGCGCAGAGGTAATGATGAGCCGTGTCGCTTGCCTCCGTGCACAGCCTTGTAACACTGGGGCAGCTAGAGCCAGGACGAACTGATAAGGCTCGCTAGTACTTGGAGGCGAGCCAGCATTCTCCGGGATTACGTCCTCGAAAGTGTGCATCGATCCTTGACGCAGGATTGTTTGCTCATCAAAGAATCGCTCCTCAAGTACATTCTTATGAGCCAACGCAAATGCGTAGGAGCGTCCAGTAACAGCCTCGATGATCACTTCTGAGAGAATAGCAAGGTGTACGACGGTCACTGAGTGGGTGAACGAGACGTCCGAAAGATCAGCAACCTGGCGAGGAAACAAATACGAGTGCTCTTCGAGCCATCTTTTGGGAACAACCAAGCCATTGACCTATGTATAACTGAGATAGAGCTCTTAGAGGGCCATTATGTCCAAGACACCTACGTCTTGTTTGAGAATAGCCCATGAAAGCAACGAGTCCAGTGTGCGCCGGGAATTACAAGAAGTTGCTGGCGAAATAGACACTGCAACTGGGCAATCTCCAGAAGAAGACAGACATAGACGTTCCCAGAGGGCTCCAGAGAGCAAGATTTGGTCGTGGAGCTCGTCGCTGAAGGCAGGAGTGCAGTTGACGGTGAGCGGGCGGTCGAAGAGGTAGGCCATGGCCGAGTGTGGGAATTCCCGATGAGCGCAAACCCCAGCTTTGCCTCGAAATTTCAGTTCAAGCGCTATTCCTCTATTCTACCCGCCTTCAAGACCTACTCTCGTTTTAGAGGGTAAGTACACGACATCGAAGACTCTCAGCGAGATACAAGCAAGCATCCTTCCATTCAAATGAGCCGAGGCGGCAGAGGATTTGGTGGTCGGGGCGGTGGTAAGTGAATTCTAGGTTAACCATAGACATTGACTTCATTTTTAATAGGCCGTGGAGGACGAGGGGGCGGTTTTGCACCGCGCGATTTCGGTCCACCCGATGAGGTCCTCGGTGAGTTCATAGTGTACGTATGCAGGTCGCATCTGGACTGATTGAATTCAAAAGAAATGGGCTCCTTTGTGCACGCCGTCGAGGACGAGATGCTATGCGCATCCACAATGGCGGAGAAGGTCCCGTACTTCAATGCGCCTATATATCTGCAAAACAAGTCTGTCATAGGGCGGGTCGACGAGATTCTGGGGCCGATCAACGAAGTGTTTTTTTCAGTCAAAATGGAGCAAGGCATGGTCGCTAGCAGCTTCAAAAAGGGGGACAAGGTTTACATTGGAGGAGACAAGCTGCTACCAATTGACCGTTTTCTGCCGAAACCAAAGGCAGCCGGTGGTGCGTGGAGTTTCATTCTAGGACAACGGATTGTTTTGCTGATTGTCTCATTTTAGGTGTTGGAAGTACGTTCTGACAACAAATGCATATCGTTCTTACTGACAAGTTTTTCCCTCATTGCAGAACGCGGTGGACGTGGCGGGCGAGGGGCAGGGGGCTTCCGGGGTCGGGGAGCACCAGGCGGCAGGGGTGGCTTCCAGCGTGGGGGCTTCCGGGGTGGGGCACGGGGAGGCTCACGAGGTGGCTTCGACCGAGGACGAGGCGGATCAAGAGGCGCACCACGGGGGCGGGGCGGTTTCGGCGGTGGGCGTGGTGGGCGCGGTGGTTTCGGTGGCGGTGGCTTCCGAGGTTCATAGGACCTGTATGAGATCTGTATTGGTAGTATTTTCCCGTTCACATATATTCGTGCTTTGCGCTGATTGTCGAGGGGTTAACTCAAGCAAATATTTCTACAACGGGTATCATTGCGAAAGATGGTGAAGCCTGGCAACATTACAGTATCATTGTTTCATGTTCTTCATTTCTTCTGCCACGGTCTGCACTCTCTCGGTACGTTCCAACTGCACGGAAACAGCCTGTGCATGAAACGGATGTCACCAACATTGATCACAGACGAGTAGAATAAGACTTGCCTGCTTGAGCTCTTGGGATATTACATTTAATTGTGAGGCTACTTGATTCACGCTCTCGTAAGTTGCTGCCGGTACTACTAGACATGAATAGGATGCACGGTATGATGCAGCGAATGTACTGACCATTATCTTGGACAGCATCGGTCATTCCTTCGTCCTCTGGCTCTTGAGCAAGTTCAGCATCGACGTCCCTCTGACGCTCCAGAAGGCTCTCCATCAGCGTCTGGACTTCCATAGGTTGGTGCCGACGTTTCTCTGCAATCTCCCGATCCCACTTCAAGCTCTGCTCAGCGAGAGACCAGATGTGCCTATCGAAGCCTTCGTCAAAGGGCTCCTCTTCTGTGTAGAACTGTTAATGAGCAGCACACCAATGATAGGCTTGACAACACCTTGTTCTTCCGTGTCGAGTTCCTCGAAATTGCGACCATTGACCCGGAGGTTCGGCCGTGTCATGTCAAATGTTCTGTCAACAAACTTGAGGAAACGTGAATAAGTCTTTCGGTGTGTCGCAGATTCGAGATATACCTGCTGCAGATGCATAATGAGCACATCTCTCTCAGCTGCTAATCTGCTTCCTCGCAGCTCATCATCCAGCGACGCAAGGGCTGCTTGAGTATAACTGTCTTTGATTCGTAGCCAGTCTTGCAGCGAGTCAACAGAGATGCGAGTCAGATCAGCGTCACGCTGCGTGTCCATTCCAAAGTGATAAAAGGGCGCCTGGTAGTGTGTCGGTCCGTGAATGTGGCGTATGGAGGGAGTCGCGTTCATTTCCAAGTCGCGATCGCGTGTTGGACGCGTATATGGATCACGTGCGACGCGCGAGTGGCCTCGGAAACGACCCTGCCTCTGAGGAAGCACTCTCCAAGACTCACTCGGACTCATTGTCAGCTCTACTGGAGACTGTCTAGATGCATATTAACTGAGTACACTAGGCCCGTATCAAGTTGCTGAGGCGCTAGCTCAACTCACTGTCGTAACGACCGATGGCGGTAGAACGCGAAGGGTCTGCGTACGGACCAACGCAGCGTGATCTTCGCACCATCGCAACATTACCAGAAATCATTTCCTGTATATCTTCCCTTCAGTCGAGGGAGGGAGAGTTGTCCGCCGAGCTCGCGGATACATTGTCTGACCGGGCTGCTATAACCGACTCGCTGTCCTCGCTTCAATCCCTGCTGCCTCACCTGGACAACTTGTGTCTTGAGGCAGAATGCTTCCATGCTACCGCGTCGGCAACTGCAAAGACTGCAGACCATGTTGGAGGCCATGTGCGCCTGTTAGACGAAGAGATGCGCCGAGTACGGGAAGCGGCGGAGAGAGTTGGTCAGGTCATGGAATTGAAGGTTGTATCGGGGTACATGTCGTCGACTTGTATAGCGTTAATCAATATGCGTTTCAGTCAGCTCTTGCTGCGCTGCAGTCTTCAATGATAGAAAAAGACTGGGAAGCCGCGACAAGACATTGTGCCCGTGCAATGTCGCTACCAGCTGAAGTCATCTCCGGACAGTTCGCGGAAACAGCGGTGGTAAGACGACTTTACGTGACATGCTCGCATCGCTCTCAAGGCCTGATGGTAGCCGACCCCAGAAAGTCATTTGCCGCCGGCGCAGACTTTGCAAGCTATACGCGATGAACTATTGGCGATATTTCGGCGCGAGTTCGAGAAGGCGTCACAATCTCGAGATGCTGCCGCAACAAGTCGGTTCTTCAAGCTGTTTCCATCGATTGGTTGGGAGGTGGAGGGCTTGGAAGCCTATGCTGCTTTCGTCGTCGATCTTGTTCGAGTCCGAGCACCAGCCTCTGCGAGAAGTGAGCTTCTCCAGCGCATGCCCTGACTACATATTCGTTGACATGTTGTCCAGCTTCGTCGCCTCTGTACTACATCACTGCATTGACAGCTCTGTTCGAGAGCATTGCTGTCATTGTGGATCAACACCAACCTATTGTGGAGAAATACTACGGCCCAGGCAAGATGACGCGCGTGCTCGAACGTCTGCTTCGCGAAGCAGATCAAGTCGTGCAGGATCTGATAGAGGGCTGGGAGGAGGAAAGAGCGGTCAAGCGCAAGGTCTTCGGTCTATTATAAGTCCCTGCCCCAAGCCATGCTCACTGTGTAACAGGTCGGTGACGCTGCAAGCTCTCAGCCGCATGGTCGGAAACAGACTATGCATATTAGCGATGAAGATGAGGAAGCGCTGGCACCGCGCGAAGTCGACGGGCTCCTGACGGAAATGGTCGGGATGAGCGGCCGGTGGAGCTTATTTCGGAAGTTCATGTATGACCGACTGAAGGTTTGCTTGTTACTACCCGAAGTAGTATATCCCTGAGACCTTTGAACCGCCAGGACGATGAGGGCGATGCAGAAGGCGCAGAGGACTTCCAAACACATGACGCAACTGACTATCCACCAAAGTCAGAGCCTCCTGCCGACGGTTCCATACCTTCGCAAGACGAGCTACAGGCACTCGATAGTTCCGACTCACATGAATTGTTCAAGGACATCCTGATGACATACTATATCCCACTCGAAGTTTGGTATACCCGTGTGATTATAGACAAGGTGAGTACATTCTTGAAATCCCCGTTCGGCGAGCCCATTATCACTTATGAACAGGCCCATCGCTCTTCAAACACTGACGCCTTCCAATCCCCTGCTATAACCACTACGCCGGACGATGTTTTCTACATGTTGAAGCTCGTCATCTCTCGAGTACTATCCTGTGGCTTCGCAACAGCTGTGAAAAAGGCAACTGAACAGCTGCGAGATATTGTCGATCGTGACTACATAGTAGTGATTAAGAAGAAGCTTGATGATGTATATCGAACGGGATCTGCAGGTGGTGTACGTGCTGAAAAGGCGGAACGCGAGAACCGGAAGTCCTTCATCGTAAGTCATGACTCTTTATGAATGACATCGTCCTAATTCTCTTTTGGGTCGGTCGTAGATTCTGCTCAATGACCTTGACGTGTCTGCGACGTACATGGAACGTCTTATGCAAGAATTGGCCGCATCGTCACACATCCACCAATTTTTCCTCCAAAATGAGACAGAGTCCGTGAGAAAGAGCGTCCTATCATTTAACAGCACAGTGTCGAAACTCAAATCAGCCCTTCGGGTGAGTGTCTCTGTCAACATCCGATGTAGGCTCCTATTCATACAATATGGTCATTTCTTGTAATCTGCAAGGCGGGCATCGAGCAACTCTTCAACCAACTCATGCGGCCTAAATTGCGCACATTCATACAGGATGTATACAAAGATGTGTCTTACATCCTCGAAGAGGACAATTACACCACTTCTGATCAACGCGAGACAGTACGGAAACGTTTCGTGAAGGCATGGGAGACTCTTGTCGACGGATACAAGGCATGTTTTCCGTCCCTGGACTTATTCGCGTGCTGACTGTCATCAAGGATGTATTTACCGATAGTAACTATCGCCTCTTCTTCGGACTCGCCCTCGACGTGCTCGTACGGCCATGGGAGCGCTTAGTGGTTACATTTAGATACAACGAGGTATGCCTAGCCGATGTGTTGTGTTCTGCTCGCTGACTTTTGATACAGCTTGGCGCCATACGGTTTGACCAGGACTTACGTTCAATCATGTCTTTCTTGTCCTCTCAAACTGTCTTCGGAGACGTGAGAGAGAAGTTTGTCCGTCTACAGCAGATTTCCACACTGCTGAACTTGGACTCGGTATGTTGACGACTAATACAAACTAGTTCTGCGACTAACATCCAAAACGCTTAGGACGAGGATGTAGAAGAATTCTACAACGGGTCGGGTATCGCATGGCAGTTAAACGACCAGGAAGCTCGGGCCATTGCAGCATTGAGAATTTGAGGCCAGTAGCATCGGTCTAGACTCATGGGCAGCCTATCCTCAAATTCAAGTGCAGGGACTACAGTACAATATTATGCGGGCTGTGTTGTTTATTAGCCATGACATCCACGTGAAGCCAGACGCACTTCGTTAGCTATCTAGCGCCCGACTGCATGCTGACTTTTGTTACCACTCTGTTATATCTCGACTTCAAATACTACATGTCTCTGCCCGACATTGGTGCACGATGCTCACTGCCGTCGTGCAGCGTGCATGACTTCTTGCCTATACGCTGCAAATGTGACAATTTATTCTGTAGAGACCATATAAATCCGGACCTTCACGCTTGTACTGCAAATCAGCCCGTGGCAGCTCCGGACGGGGCGTCTTCAACATTGAAACGCCAACGCTGTGCCGCAGAAGGCTGCCCGAAGCTTAGCCTGGAATCCGCTATATCAGCGGACAACGCTACAGATCCACCGACAGGCAGAACACCTGCCATTTGCCCGGAATGTTCGCGCTCATTTTGTGCATAGTGAGCGAGATTGTTTCGAGCTATCGCCTCACTGACTCTGTTTGGCACAGTCATCGCACCCCCACATCTCACAGCTGTCCAACACGATCCACTGAGTCTGGCAAGAAGAATGCCGCTGCCCATGAACTGCTGGCCAAACATTTCTCATCTTCCAAACCCAGTCCTGTTCGCGCACCTCAAGGTCCCTCCTCCAAGAAGGCTGCAGGCTCGAAACAGGTTGAGCTAATGAGAATGCGTCATCACGCGGAACCGGGCGATCCAAAGGATGCAAAGTCACAAGTGCCGCTTAGCGAGCGGATACATGTGAAGGTCGGTGTAGAACGTGACGGCGCTATCACCTGGAACATGTTCTGGTTCCGCAAGGTGCGTAAATTGATATTGTCTGATTGAATGCGTATCGGACCCATAGACAGACCATCGGTGCTGGTAAGGCGCTAGACCTACTGGCGACGCGACTGCGTTTAACCGGTCCGGTGTGTACCTACATGGACTGTACCGTTCACTATTGACCTTATGCATCCAGTCGTTGGAGCTCGTGAAGGTGGATCCAGAGGCTGCAGATGGCATCGCAATACGCCCCAGCACATTGCTTTCATCCCAACTAGCAGATGGAGACAGACTCATTCTGCGTGTTTAGCAATAGCAGTGTTGGACCATCTGCGAAGTTTCTAAACCGCCTAATAATTGATCACCACCTGAATGAAAGTGTTTACAACATGCTATATGATATAGTGGTATGGGATCCCAGCAACCGAAAGCAAGCCAAGAATGAATGCCGTGAGGATATCATGCTACCAGAGCAGCTAATCTGCGAAGATGGGGCACATTAAGGTATGCAGGCACGTATGTCTCAAGTCCGGAGACCTCCCGAGGCAGGGGTAGTTCGTAAGGTCCGACTTCTTCAGTCTCAGGCGCCAGCAGTAAGTGGTCATTACGGTCGTTAGCAACCACGCGTGAAGCAACCACACGCAGTATCTCAGGTGAGATAGGGTTCTGGTGTGTAATTGAACTCGTGAGATATGAACTATCAGGTATCGAATATGAGCACTTACTTCGTAATCTGCGACATAGTAGTTCGTGCACATTCGTTGAATCTGTGTCGGCGTGAGCATCCAGCAGACGTCGTAGATAATTTCAATATCTGCTGGCGTAGACTACAAAGTGTGTCAGCACTATTGTTACAACAACAGGCGATCTCTCCTTACCTTCTTCAATTGAAGCAACTTGGTGGCTTGCATCAAATGTTCTAATTGAAGAGTACCCTCCGGCATGTCATGCGATTTACACCACTCCTCTATCCGTGTGATGTTGTATTGAATCTGCATGGCTGAATATACGAATCAGCCAAGACGGAATTCTGATCAGCGCAGTGTGATACTCACCTCGTTTCCACGATGAGAAATTCCGCCTCATGAGGAGATCGTTGAAGCTGGTGACACCGATTAGCTTCAGAAGCTCAGTAATCACCTGCTGTACGACGGAATCCTCCATGTAGTAACTCTTGAGACTCTTCCACACCTTGTTCAGCAGGTTGAGAATGTCGTCCATGCTGTACGCGGGGGGAGTGTTTGAGTTGAGCAGCCGGTTGAAAAGTCGTCCGCCTCCGTCAGTTGTAGTGAAGCCGGGCAATGACTGACTCTCGATCAAAGCAGGAATCACCATCTTTGAAAGGCGTTTCTTCGTCTCCAACATCCAAGTGTGGTAGATGTTGTACTCCAAGCTGTCGAGGTCGTGCTTCACGACTGAGACCAAACGCTCATAATCGGTCCATTCGAAAGGCCGGACGGCGTTCTCTTCACCAGGGCCGATACCTTGGAGCATATCGCTTTCAGCCACACAGATGAACGAAAGCATCTCATGGACGTTAGAGAGCCAGAAGATGCCAGGGATAATTGCATCCTCCGCATTGAAAGACTAAGGAAATGGGGCATCAGGGATTGAAGACATCAGGAAAATGATGCTTACCATGACATGTGATTGTATGGTTTGCATAACATTGGCAAGGAACCGTTCGCTCTCAGGTATGAGCCCGTACTTCCACATCTCGTTCGTGATCAAGCTGATGAGATTGGCAGGGAAAAGGATCTCCTTAACAGCTGATGGATTAGTGGTGCTTGGGGCAGGGATCTTAAGACCGCGGATGAGTCCATCGAGAACATCTTCGTCGAGACGCTTGATGTCTTGCATCAACCGTATCTTCTCTTCCGCAGGGTCGTACATGTCGGAAATGCCGCTGGGTGCGCGGAAGCGTGGTAGGCCATCTTCGCCATTGTATGCAACGGAGACGGCGCGAGGGTTTGACGCTTGACTGCGCTTCGCCATGATCATCAGCTCGTCTGCAGACGTGCGGTTTTCCACAGGACTGATGGCATAGATACCTGCCGAACTATGTCTGCGCTGGTGGGCGCGGGCTGCAGCCGCAGCCCCATTACCATTAGCGGCACCATTAGCAGCGGGAACATCGCCTAGTCGTAGGCCCGTGGCGAATGTAGGGGAGGTAGGCTCTGCTCGAGTACCACGAGTCAACACGTTCAGTGCATTAGCGCGGTTGAGCTGTTCTCGGAGGTTGCTGACTTCATTCTTGAGCGTAAGGATTATAGAATTATCGTCAGGGTTTCGAATTGGGGCGTCCTCAATAGCCTTTTGTTGTGCTTCCAGCCGAGCGGCCTGTTCGGCAAGCGCATCAGTGAGTTTCTGAACAGCCTCTTCCTTCTCGGCTGCTTTCGCAAGAGCTTCCTCCAATCGTTTCTCCACATCCGCTTTCGCGGCCAAGAGCTCGTCTCTGCGGCTGAGCTCCTGTTGTGCGGTCTGCAGCTCAGACTGGAAGCCCTTTGCACGACCGTCAGAATCTTCATATTTCGAGACGACTTGTTGGAGCTGGAGCTCGATATCTGCTAGTTTAGCCTGCAGCTCCTTCTTCTCTTCAGTGCGCCTCTGCAGATTCTGCGTTAATTCGACGACCTTATTCTCCAGTCGGTACGAGATCTCCTTGAACTTGGATACTGATCGCGCCTCGGCTTTGAGAGCTTTCAATTCCTTCCGAGCCAGACGCCGACGGATGCAGGACTGAATATAGATCACACGCTGGACATCAATGCGGTATAATCGTCGGAAAAGTCTAGAGTTGTTTGTGAGCAGTCATCTCGGGAATAATTGAATGAGTTGGCTTACATTCCCCGGCACAGACGCTGGAGGAGTACCACAGCGAATGTTGTGCGGTGATGCGCGAACTTCCCTCGAGCTTGTGCTCCTCGTGCGGCTGGACACGTTCAGAGCTTCAGAGGCGTCATAAAGCAGTGAAATATGCCACTTACCACTCTGGAAGCAGATGATGCCGCGCCGGACGGAAAAGAACTTCTGTCGTTGGAGGAACTGCCGAACACCAGATTGCAGACGAATCGCAGCCACCTCGCGACGAATGGAGTTGGCCAGTCTTCGAGCGAGGATACCACGCCACCACGTCTGGATCTTGATTGTCGCTCGCCGCAGCTCCTTGTAGCGTTTCACCGCCATGCGTCTCCGCATGTTCTTTTGTACGATGGTGACCAATGCGTTCAATCTTGCCGAGCGAAGTGATTCCAAGGCCGCAAGCATACCAGCACGGAAGAAAATCTTTGTTAGACCTTCCTGGTATTTATCTGGGTCGTTGATAGTACGTTCAAGGATGAGGGAGCATAATGGCTTGAGTTCGAGATTTGCAGTCATCGGACCCCATTCTGAGGAGTGAACCAACATGTAGTATCTACGAAGAAGTTTCTGTTCAGCAAATCTGCGTCGAGTGGATCAAATGTTGCTTACCGCTCCGCAAATTCCTCGTAAATCCATCTCGAAGGATAGCCGGCACAGCTGATGCGAATAGTCTCCAGAACACCACAAGCGCGCAACTGGCCCAAGACCTGCTGAGGCGTAAACTCCCATGCCTTCTTTTGCTCGTTAGGCTTTATGCACCGGATGTAGTGGACATTGGTGACGTGCAGAGTTTCCATGAGGTTTACCAAAGACGCCTTGAAGATGGATGCCTGGGTAGGCTTGCGGACGACGCCTCCTGGTCTTTTTGGACCAGATGAAGCGGCCGATGCGATGATGGATTGACGGCCAGGGTCAGGGATTACAGAAGAGCGGCGTGAAGATCCACTCGCATTGTCAGACGGTGTCGGCGAGCTTGGCGGAGCAGCATCAGGTGCCTTCGTCGCGGCGAATGCGGCATCTAGAACCTCCTTCAAGAAGGCGTTCTTCGTTCCCATGAGGAGAGCCATGTGTTCATCCGGCACAGTATCCCTATTCTTCTCGAGGAAGCCCTCAGCCTCGTATGTTACGTCCAGAGCATAATGCGCAATAGTGAACGCCGAATTGCCGAATCGTGGTTTCTTGAAGACCTTCGCATTCTCGGGCTTGCCTAGTTGCGTATGGAGTTTCTGCAGGAACGATGCGTCGGTGCCGGATGGTAGGCGAGATTCTTCATCTAGCAAGGCCATGACACCCAGCTTACCCTCGATGACGTCGATGCATGGCTGGTTATCGGAGAACTCAATGAATGTCCAGTTGATCTTCTCGCGAACATACTCCTCCTGTTCGAGCTTGAAGACATGCGCGTTGAACTGAAAGCAAGTTAGTAAAATGGTCAAGGGATGATTTTACTTGACACACCTCCTGTTGCAACTTCTCATTGGCGTAATTGATACTGAATTGTTCGAAAGAGTTCTATAAAATTGATTTATGTCAGACTAGTATTTGCGCAAATGAATGGAATCGGCTGGCCTTCTTGAAGTGCTCGAAACCATAGATATCCAGCACACCGATGAACATTTCAGCGCGGCTCGCAGCCTCTCCACCTTCGCCAGCGAGAGACTCATTGACAATAGCCACAAGCCACTCGAAGAGACAAGCATAGACGAATTTCGCAACACTATCTCGGACGACGGTAGCTTGCGCTGCATTGAGCGACGAAACAATTTTCTCCGAGCGGGTAGTGATCTGCTTCTTAACCGTCCACTTCTTGAAGTCAGCCAACGGGACACCAAGGAACCTCGTCGAAAGTTGCAGTGCAGGATCCGCATCGTCAATAATGGCATCGTTCCGCATCTGGGTGACCTTGATGTTGCCCAGGTGCAGCAATGCGGACAACAGCTTGAAGACAGCCCATTGCTTCTCCACGCTGATACCAATGGTCGACAACGCAGTCTGCGTTTGCCGGAACTCGTCAGCATCGTCTACACCGGGGATAGGTGTTGACTGAGGGCCACCCTGGCAGAGATACTGGAATTTCGAAACATCCGTGTCAAGGCCAAGGTCTTTTCGTTCCTTCAAGGGGACGCCAGCGCACAGTTGGTAGAAAATGTGGTAGTTACGTTCGGTGAGTGGCTGGAAAACCACTCGCGAGCGTTCAAGAAGATAGGTTCTGATCCGAGCACCGACAATCTCTTGGTTTCCGTCGAAGAGAATCTGCGACAAGTAGGTTCAACACAGCCCTATAACTCTATTCGGGAACAGCTCACCTGGATATATTTACCGAATCTAGAAGAGTTGTCGTTTCGTGTCGTTTTCGCGTTACCGAAGGCTTCAAGAACGGGGTTTGTCGCAAGAATCTGGCGTTCGACCTCACTTGACTCATCGAGAGAGGACTTTGTCTTCCCTCTTGACTTGGCACCAGGAGGATTCACCGATGCGAGGTAACGCATGATGAATTTCGCCTAATATAGTCTAGACATCAGAGCATGTCCTGAAGACTATGTCTATACTCACAGATTCGGTCTTTCCTGCACCACTTGTATGCCCTCAGCACGGCAGCACGGTAAGGCACGATGTCATAGGAACACACCTTTCACCGGAAACAATGATGGTCTGGCCCGTACCGTCTCTACTCATGGCCGTGTACGCATCCTCAGCAATGGCGAACAAGTGTGGCTCGAGCTCTCCTCTACGGCGACCATTATACGCTTGAATGATCTCAGGTCCATAGAGGGTGACGCGTTGGAAGGGGTTCATGGCAATCAAGACGATACCACTGTAGGTATAGATGCTATGCTGGGCATAACGGTTTCTAATGGTATGCAGTACTAGGCGCAGTCAGCACTGAGGGGGACCTTCTGACCGACTTGAGCTCACCTGAGGGTTCATTGAGATGCGAAAGTGTTGCCAAATCGTCAGCAGTCTCCAGTAAAGGTGGATTTCGAAGTGGAGGTAGATCGTCCTTGCCATTCCGAATGTCTTGGACAGTCGTGTCAATAGTAATTTCCTGTGCGCTGAGCGTCAGAGCAAAGGCAGGCGGACACGGTATGACCAGACACCGACTTTACCGCGTTCGTCCACGAATATGAGTTTCACCGCGTCGTCGGGGTTCCTGACCACAGACGTGACTTCTGCTGATATCCATCCCTGCTCCTTGTCGGCGAACCATACCCTGGTTCCCTTGCTGTAAATGTTCTCGGCCATGGGGCCAGGATGATGCAGCAAGTCAAGCTGTACGCTCGCAGCCCTCGATCAGTTCCCAAAACGACTGTCCATCCTTCCACGTGACCTCGCAAAGGGATATATTTCGGACCCGTTCAGCATCGGTATATATTGTACAACTTCATCATTACATGTATCGAGTCCGTCACAAGCCTTGCCAGGTGAAACTCCGCTTCAGCTCAAACGATCCCTCCAGCACCATCTCCATGCTGTTTTTACCGATGTACACGCCGTACTTCCCTGCCTCAGCTCTCCATGCGTGCTCCCTAGGATCCCAGAAGGACAGTGCGTATTTGTTCAATCGCACTTGCACGGTCTGTGAGCCTTCGGGAGCGACGTCGCGGGCTTTTGTGAACCCGCGCAATTGGAAGTGTGGACTTGTTATACCACAGTCCGGGAGCGACACGTACACCTGTACAACCTCAGAGCCGACACGCTCGCCGACGTTGCTGACCTTGACAGATATTTCAAGGGAGACATCAGCGTCGTGGGACGATGGACCAGTAATCGAAAGATCTGAATACGCGAACGAGGTATACGACAGACCAAAGCTAGACCACCCTGTCAGGTTGCAGTCTCGGGCGGAGAGAGATGATTGTACCCACCCGAAAGGAAACAAGGGGGCGATGCCCTTTGCTTGATAGAATTTGTATCCAACGAACAGATCTTCGCGGTAATGAATCTTGCCATGCTCGCTCCGCGTGCCCAGCCATGCTGGTATATCCTCTTCACGTACAGGGAGTGTCAGAGAAAGACGACCGCTCGGGTTGATGTTGGCATAGACGACGTCAGCAAGGGCATTGCCAACTTCGTTCCCCGAATACCAGGCTTGTATAATGCCGTTCACATCCTTGACCCATGGCATAGACACCGCGGACCCCTACAATCCAATGCTAGATTTAGTGGGAAAGTGTCTTGAACAACATTGATAACTTACCGCCTGCACACACACAACAGTGTTCGAGTTAGCTTTGGCAACGCGTGCTATCAACTCATTCGTGCGCAAAGGCATATCGAGCGTCTGCCTATCGAACCCCTCGCTCTCCCAGTCCGGCGAGAGTCCGGCAACGACCACAACGACATCCGAGGAAGCGGCGAGCTTCACTGCTGCCTCTATTGCTTGGTCTGGATCGATCTTCTCCCGGCCCCCAAACCGCTACGCACAATATATTTATCTCAGTTGAAGAGCATTATCAGAGTCAAGTGACACCTACCACGCCTCGCATCAGCGCGGGCTGCGACCGGTCGGCCTCGGGGCCTTCAGGAGCTTTTGTGTTCGTGTACTCGACCATGATTTCAATCGACTGTCCGGCGACCAAGTCGAGAGTGCCCATTTCTTCCACAGTACCTTGTCTGAGGCCAAGCCTAGTGAGCGACGAACTCTTCTCAGACATAATAGTCCCTTACCCGTAGAAGAATTCGCCAGGCCTCTGTTTCGTCCAGTTATCGATTACAAGCTCATCATTGGCAAACATTCTCGCGCGCCCGGCGACCGTAAGTCCAAACTCATAAGTCGTCGTCTTGTCCATCGTGAGTAGCCCTCGCAGTTTGATGGTCCATTCTGGCGAGAGACCCGCGGGCAAGAAGTCGTTCAGCCTGATGCGAGTGTCTGTCAAGCGATACTCTGCTACAGGTGCTCCCAAGGCTTTGCCAGAGGAGTCGCTATTGTAGAACGTGCACGTCCACCCAGGCTCTCCAGAGGTGGTTTTCAGGTATCGTTCGAGGGTTGGAGTATACTTATGTGCTGCATGGCGGAGCGAGCGTCAGCAAATTCATACATCGACCAGGAGGCCACTGACCATAGCAGCCAACCTCGTAATCAAACTCCAGCCCTGCTGGCGCATTCGCCAACAGGCCCTCATATGGGCTTACGACATAGCTTGCCTTCAAAGCGGCAGAACCTCCCCCCGAAATGACCCTCTCTTTCATGTTCGGTCCAATGAGCGCGACCTTTGTTGTCTTTCCCTGGACGGCTTGGATGGGTAGCACATTTTGTTCGTTGCGCAGAACAACCATGCCCTCGGCAGCGAGTCGCCGGCAGAATTGACGTCCCTGCGGAGTGTCTCTTGTACGCTCCTCCCCATCGCCATATACGATCTCTGGGTGTCGGCGCGCCTGACGCTGGATAAATTCAAGCATTGCGCCGACGCGCTTGTCTAATGTGGAAGTCAGGACCTTCTGTGATGACAGCATATGATTGACAAGAAGTGGAGTGCGCCAGCGAGGCGGTCCAGGCATTTCAAGATCCATTCCAGCGTTGATGGCAAGATCAACACTGTATGTCCCATACCTACACTCCCGATTGTCAGACCACAGAAAATCAGACTGAACGAATCATCACGCACCAGTCACTCATGACAATGCCATCAAACCCCCATTCCTTCCGCAAGATATCTTGGATCAGGATAGGATTTTCTGAACAATGTACGCCACCAATACGCCCGTAGCTGAGAAACGACGCCATGCTTTAGCGCATGATAGGATAAACCAGCGATTGAGAAGTCACTGACGAAGTCATGAACGACCATGGATGTGCATCTCTCTGCGCCAGCATGAACCTTCGCCATGTTCAATCAGTGTGATCAACCCTACCAATGCTTGTGGGTACATACGGGTAGAGATACACCTCACGAAGCGCACGATCAGAGACCACGGAATCGGCGGCCGTGCGTTCATGCTCCTGATCGTTGGCGACGAAATGCTTGATTGTAGACGCTACGCCTTCCGATTGGAGACCGTTTACGTATGCCGCGGCGAGAGTCCCTTGGGGCAGGTAAGCGAACGATGCAGGGCTCCTGCACACGGGGAACATACCCGACAGATGGGGATCTTCGGAGAAGGACTCAAACGCGCGTCCACCCAGGGGATTGCGCTGTATGTTACAGGTAGGCGCAAGAAGAATGACCGAAGATTTGATCTTTGCTTCTTCTGCCAGGAACACGCCGACCTGATGGATCAAATCGGGGTCGAAGGTGGACGCCATGGAGGTAGCACACTACGCGCTTTTTAGACAACCGCATTGCACAACATATGACATCCCGCACCGGAAGACATTGTGCTGGCGTCGAGACGAAGTGGGACGAGCCTCTGACGCCCTGCAAGCGTTCATAAGCAGATAATATTGAGTCTGGTAGAATATCACGTACGTTGGGTCCGTCGCTCATGCGGATGGCAGGTATTTCAAGGCGTTCCACGGCATTAGTATTCCACCAGTTGGGGGCCCCAAGGAGAGATATCTTTTCGTCTGTTGTGAGTTTCTTCAGTAGGTCTGGAATAGAGGACTGGAGGAAAGAGCGCGACATGGTAGTAGAGTAACGGACCTACACGGTTCTCAAAGACTGACTATATATCACTGGTATTCAAGAATGCATGGGTCAGTATGGGCGGGGAAACTTCGTTTCCGACAAAAGACCGGGGGTCGGAGAGGCGGGTGCTAGAGGCGGGTGCGGGAGGCGCGCATGGTCAGTCGACACCTTCAGCTCCCGGCGGCAACCCACAACCTGTTTCTCTCAGCTGCTTTCAATGACAGACGGAATCTCGGATGTTCCAACCAACCTCGCCGTCCCAAAAACAGCCGCTACGCTCACTGTCCGCGTCATTAAATCGTTTGAGTTCCGCACCGAGCGCAGCCTTGTCCTGCGCAACATAAACCTCGAAAAGACTACTGTCGGCGAGCTCAAAGCCATCGCACGGCAAGGTACTATGCATCGCCTTCTTGATCCCGCCTTCCACTGCGAATCATCCATGTGCTGCAGCTGTACAAACGCAGCCAGGATGGAAGCCCTATCGTAATGTCGTACTCGGTAAGACCAGTCTCGATCCGTCCTTCTCGCATATACCGAACATCTGCAGATACCCTCAAACTATACACGAAGGCCCACGGTGCCAAGGTGAGTCTCGCCTGCCTCGTCGTTGATCTAATTTGACGGTGTACATTTAGACAACCAACTTAATAATAAATCTCGACAACGAGGATTGGATTCTGGGCGAGGACTCCAAGACTCTTGCTGAGTACGGTTTCGGTAACTATTCTTCACTCTTGTATAATGGCGAGTGAGGCTAGCATATAAGGCACTCAGTCAGCACCTTGCCATCTGCGCGATGATCTGCCATGTAATACATGCTCATGCCGCAATTGTCCGCAGAAAATGAAACAGAGGTCAGCTTTTTCAATTATGAGCTCTATAAACAATTTCAAGCACATCCAGAGGTGTGTTTCTCTTCTGTTGTTCTTAGCTATACCTCATATTGCACCCAGACAAAGTGGGAAAGCTAGGTCTTTTGCTTGAAATAAATCTTGATCGTGGCACAGGTGGTACAAGGGTGTTGTTGCAGAAGTGAAACAGATATAAGACTGATACTATACCGTTGTAAAAACCTGTTAATCATAGTTTCGAATGGGCTCATCTTGCCTCATTTTCAGCTTACGTTCCTTGACCGACTTGATTCCAGAGACCAGTCATAAAGGCAAGGTCAAGGCTGTACAGGAACTGCGGGTTTTATTGATTTACGCTTGTCTCGAATAGACCCAGCTTTGCAAACATATTTTCAGCCCGTAGACCGCTCTACACGTCAAGATATGCCGTAGATCTACAGTTGCTCGCAAGTAACCTAGAGCGGTCAATGTGGCCAGTTTTTTGACCGCTCTACATCTGCAATCGGCAGGTCAATCTGCTTAACGTTGATCGTGTCTCATCTTCGGCCATTTGTGTGTCCAAGCTATGCAGCTAAAAAGAACAGCTACAGCAGAACTGATCTAAGATTCTGCCTCCATCAACGCACTCGCATCGAGAATGCCAAACCTGCGTACGGTGACGGACGATAGGATAGCGTCATATGAGGCGTTTGCAATGAACGAGGGGCTTTCGTCGGGGAGCTGATCAGACGCATCTCGCAATCGAGATGTATAAAATTATAATAGTGTAGCGGAATCAAACATAGGTTTAGGCTACAGATCGTACTGACCTTCCCAATGATGCCAAGCAGCGAAAGGTAAATCTCACAGGCTTATAATAGCGTTGAGACCCTCTAGGGCATGTCGGATCTTCGGAGCAGATATCTTTCTAAGTCTGTCGAAGCATGCTCACTTGAATTCCTTGCTCGCAGACACTTGCAGATTTTGTGATTTCTACGGCTGCGCCGGAGCACATTACACCGATGACAGCGAGAGAAGGGCTGGGCGTTCCATACTCAAGATTGCGCGCTGCTCGGACTTGCGCACGCGTGAGGCTGGCGCCCGATGGTGTTCGGGTCCTGCGAGCGGCCTCCGAATGCCGTTTCTGCTTGCTTTACGTATCGCAGACCGAGCAGTAGGTGTAGACGGCGACGAGACGAGTCGCATGGCACAGCTGAGAGGTATGTAAGAGGACCAAGATGATTGCAGGACTTCGGAGCTGATAAGCCACTCCGGGAGTGTGGCTGAAGAGGGTGGAGCGCGACACGGCGGCGGCCCCACCTTCTGTGATCGCCAGCGGTCGCCACGACGATGGGGGCGTCCTTCGCTCATATCCGAGCCGCGGTCCCACATCGCAGTCTGGCGGTGCATCTAGCGCGACGCATGGCTCGCCTACGGTTTCCCCTCCGGCCTTTTATCCTGGCCACCACTACGCTCGTTTACTTTCTTCCTGCCCTCCCGCGCACTTTGGCTGCTCGTTGGAACCTCCCCGGTGTGAGCCGGACCGCCGCCAGCAGCCCATCTTGCTCGTCTGCGCCCCAGGATGTCTTTTAACCGACAATTCCTGGAAGCCTCTCCGCTCTCCACCAGTCCGCCTGCCTCGCCCTGGCGCGCGCGAGCTGAAGTCCTGCGCCGCCGGCCGCTCCGCTTTCGCCAGATCGCCTTCGTCATCGCGTCTGTCACGTTCCTCTGCTCTTTTGTCTTTCTCTCGCGCTATCGTGCCGACGACCGCCGCGTATGGATATCCCTGGAGGACGAGTACCCGTCGGACCTGCAGGTTGTTGACACCGGCGGTCTGGCTGCACACGGCGGACAAAGGCTTCCTCCACAACACCAACACGCACATGTACCCGCGCTCGCGCCCCAAGTCCCGGTCCCAGATACCCTACATCAGGACGATACCCACGTGAAGGAACCTCCAAAACCTCCAGAGGCAGTCGTGTTCTCTCTCATCATGTTCTCGGAGGACTCAGCAGTTGAGGGTGCTATGCTCATGAAGGTATGTGATCGCATGTTCCCCCCGTTCGAAAGAACATTCCGCCCACGGTCGGGGCTTCGAGGGTGACGTGGGTTGATGGATCGATGGAGAATGCACCTGCAAAGCGCTCGTCTGTCAAACTGTAACTAAAGTAAGGGGCGAAATCCCTGTGGACAAGTTTCGCCAACTACTAGGCGAAAATAGCAGCTGCTATCCTGGCCAAATAATGGGTCCGAACCTCTCAGCCATTCCAACTATGGCATTATGCGTAGTATTGGATACATCGTTGCGTATCCGGGAGCCCCTTGTAGGCCTAGGAAATCGCTGCACGGGCTGTATGCACATGTTCTTCGAAGCCCAATCAATGGCGAACGCCTAGGGTGACCACTTGGTGGTATGCTTGCGAACTCCTCCAAGTTTTGGCCATCTTCTGTGGCAAAAATCGACCCTTGTTCTCAACACTGGCTGTGATCTTTGGTCGTGCCTGAGATGGGTATAAATAACTTCATGAGGTGTTCGACGGCATGTGGGATGTCCGTGTGCCCTGTCATGCAAGCTGTGTTATGAGCCACTGGCATTGTTGACAGTCATGCTGGTGGTCGAGTAAACATTTCTGTTTCTGCCTTCGAGCCCAAATTGCCTGTATCGCACGAAGTTGCTGATTGTTACGAATAAAGGATTTCTCTTGATGGTCAATCGGCACATAGTGCGCCTTGCCGACTGCTTTCACTTTCACTTTCCAATTCTCGTTCTCCGGACAAATGTCGTTTTCTTGATGCTGATGTCGACTGCAGTCTATACTTATGTATACGTCTATGCCTGTTGAGTTCCACATCGTCTGTGACGAGGCCGCGCAAGCATACCTCGAAAATCGCGTCCGCCTAATAACACGTCCCGCGCACGACATCCTCGTCCGCTTCTACCTGCTTTCATGGCAAAGCATGGCTGACCGCATCGACCGCGAGGGCACGATCATGACCGACCACTCCGCCGGCGTCCGTAAGTCCCCGCGTCCCCCAGTGTGTCGCGCGCTGACACCAGCGGCCCCCAGCCGGCCTCATGAAGCTCTTCATCCACGAGATCCTCCCCCCGTCCGTCCCGCGCGCCATCTTCATCGACACCGACGCGCTCTTCATCTCGGACCCCGCGCTGCTCTGGGACCGCTTCGCGCAGCTCGCGCCCGGCGCCGCGATCGCGATCCCGACGCACCCCGAGATGAGCGCGGCGGAGTGGCACCACGCGAACCGCATCTGCTCGTGCATCATGCTGCTCGACCTCGCGCGCCTCCGCGCGCTGCGCCTCATGGACTCGCGCGTGTACCGCGCGCACGGCGGCGTGCGCGCGCTCGGCCCGCAGGCGTTCCGCGCGATGTACGGGCCCCCCGGGCCCAGCGGCCGCTTCGAGGACGTCAAGCTCGGCGACCAGGGCTACTGGTACGCGCTCGTGAGCCACCGGCCGGACCTCACGGAGCACCTGGGCTTCGAGTGGGAGGTGTCGAGCTGCCTGCTGGACATGTACCTCACGGGCCTGGGCGACGACGCGCGCGGCGTGGAGGACGAGCAGCGCGGGCAGGTGCACACGGTCAGCACGCCGCAGGAGGGCGAGGCGGTCCTGCCGAAAATGCTCCACTTGTAAGTGCACGCCTTGCGCGCGGACGCCCTAGTGCTGACGACGGGCCCTCGCAGCAACTGCCTCGACGGCACGCCGCACTACTTTGAGTGGGAGGGCTGGGCGGATCCCGAGAACAGCCTGACGAAGCGATGGTGGCCCGCGGTGCAGTACCACATCGGGTACAAGTGGATATGGCTGAATGCACACCGTGCGAAGGGCACGCTCCGGATAGAGGTCGAGCGGGACGTCAAGTTCGCAGACGAGCTCCTGGAGCAGGAACTGATGGAGTCTCGGGCGGACGAACAGAGCTGAATGTCAGTGGGCACGCGGGGTGGGATGTTCCCTGTTCAACGTGTGTATCATTAGATCTAGATAGTGGTGTTATATTGGTTGCTTATCTACACCGTAATACTTAATTGCACATATAACGTCTGTTGTTTTGGAAGGAGTCGCGGAGGTGGGTGTCGCCACAGTGGCCGTCTTCGGCAAACGCCGCAACTCGCCACAGTTGTTCAAAGACGGTTCGAGTATCCGCCACAGTACGCGACTCCTTGCATTGACCGTCATACACTCTTAGGACATGACTCCTTCTCTGTCTATAAGTCGGTGAGTCTATGTCTCATGATCATGGGTATACGCAACGGGCTCATAGAGCCAACTAGTGCAACAAATAAACCGACGACAGGGACTATCGGACGTTCCCTTTTGACACTCAACGACGATGTTCTCCTGGCTATTGTCTCATTTCTCTCGAAAAAGGACGCCCTGGAGCTGTCACGCACGGCGCGGGGCATTCATAGCATCGCCATGCGCCAGGTTCTTTCAGCAGTCAACTTTAGTAGCTACGATCAACTCTTGCGCTTCCACGCGCATATGCTCAAGATAGTGCCTACTCATTCCTTGCGGTGGGTCCGGACACTCAAATTTACAGTCTGCGTACTGCCGGCTTGCCGCACGAGCCGTATGCATTTGTTCTCCTGTGTGGCGGATATTCTCGAGCAGACAGCGAATCTACGGATCCTCGAGCTTCCGCCAGACGAAGAGCTCTTAGATCAACAACCTCGCATTGGACCCAGAGTGGCATCTCTCTCCAGCCTGTCTGAGCTGTCGTTGGGCCGGCTGACCCATCACGCACTTTCAATGCTGGGCCAGGTAACTTCCAAGCTCAGGAAGCTTTCCATGTCAGTGCCACGTTATTTGGATCCCATGGATGTCTTCGAGGTTTTGAAACGCCTGAGCAACCTTCATACACTAGAGATCAGCGACACCACTCTTTGGGGGGAGGGACGGAGGCCAAGATCACAAAGCAGCCGAATTCCCGTCCTACCGTCTATAAAAAGGCTTGACATCCACCACTGTCGAGATGTCCACGGACTGGCGCGTAAATTCCCGAATGTACGGGAGTTATACATGTCTTGCTGCCGCACATCTTATCGAGTCGGTGAAGAAGACACATGGTGGCCTACTCTCGATTACTTGTGTATTGACCCCGATAGCCCATGGCCGACCCTGTGCCAAGTTCACCACTTGCGCATGCGTTCATTCCTTGATGAATCGTGCATGCCGAGAATACAGAGGCTGTCACCCGTCCAGCTCTCGTTCAACATAGGGACGCGCAAGCCCTCGGGCTGGGAAATGTTACTTGGCAACTTACCGAGGCTCCGTGTTCTTGAAGTGAAATTGATAGGTTTATGCTTGAAACATCGGGGGAAAGGGACACTCATTCAATGGACGGTGTGTCATACCTGTGTTTGTGATAACAATCTCTGACCCGTAAATGTTCCAGGAGAATATGTTATGTCTCCTGCCAGCTCATATCGCCTGCCTGAAGATCCAGGAGTATATGGTCTATTCTGTGGATGAGACGTCATTGCAGATCGCCATGGATCCAGAGATATCGCATTCGTTACCCCAGCTCGTCGCCAAAAGCACCCCGTCTATAGAGCTGTTTGCAGTCGGCCTTGCCGATTGTCGGCCGAATCCAGATCTGACGCATTGGACGCGGATCCGTGTGAACGGGGACAATCAGCGGGTCGTAGAAGCCATCGATCCCATCACGGGTGAGGAATCACTCTCACGGATCAGTTCTCGTTTTCACGAGAGTGTGACAAGCATGGGATGAGTCCGTAAGTTGTGCGCGGCGACGTCATGCTCATAATTCTGACCATCATGTAAATAGTCAAACACGAACGTCGTAATTCGTTTGCAACAAGCAGCAGGTAGGCCTCGATGCTCTGTTTGTGCAGAGCCCCTAGTCAAGTGAATATTAGTGATTATCATTTATGTTCGTATCCTTCAATGCCGACATTGTACACTCTAGAGCGTACGACGTCGGTCGCTTTCACTCGCACTCAACAGGCCGGGGCACGTGCTGAGACGTGGTAAGGCGCACAATGCCACTGCCACTTAGTAGTCAATTTCTCGTAATGGTTCCGGCATGAGACAGTCGATATCAGGCTGGGGTCCGTCGCCCTTCCCGTCATTGCAAAGTGAGTATGTTCAAGCTCTGCATCTCTCGCGGATCTCTATGCCCCATCTGCGCCATGCCTGTCTCCTGCCAGCATAGCAAGGTCACAAAGCTATGTAACCTCGACGGTCGTCTATAGGGTCGATCACAGTGCATATTGCACGCTCCAGACAGTACATGCGTAACCTTGGTGAAGCACTGTGTTATACACAGCAGGTTATCCGGTGATCAGTCCATATGATCCACGTGCATCGCCGCGTTCTGGATGAGACGCGCTGATTCCGCCGAACGAGGCTTGATGGTGCATTGAAAGGGGCCGGGGAAACTGCGAGAGTAGCTCCAGTCAATGCTACCATCGCTACAGGGTACCCTCACCTGATAGTGCCTCCTGTGTACTGCACATCGGGCTCGATGGGTTGTCCATCAGGGCCCACGGCCTTGCTGATGTCTAGCGTAGCTAGCACGCAAGCGACAACCGTGAAGATCGAGTCATCTGCAAGGACTTTCCCCGGACAGACTCTGACCGACTGTCAGTCCCTGATATACTTGTGCAGACCACTGCGTAATCTCACCGTCGCCCGTAACCAAAGGCAAATCTTCGAGGATCAGGGTTCAACCCGCCTTCCTGTTTCGAATACCTGTCCGGATTGACTTGGAACGGGTCTGGATACAGCGAGGGATCATGAAGCACAGCCCTGAATTCGACGTCAGCAAGCGTGCTGACATTGGGGGAACATGCGTACCAGGTGTTCGCAATCACCGTGGCGCCTGCCGGAATATGGAATCCGTTGTAGACATCGTCTTGCGTGACCCGATGGGGTACGGCTACAGAATGCACGCGATGAGTACCTGTGGGACGCATTGAGAAAAGCTGTCTTCTTACCCATCGGTGCCGTAGGATTCCACCGATAGATCTCTTTCAGCACTGCATCCAAGTATGGCAAGTTTGCTCGATCGTCGAAATCTGGCAGGCGGCCCGGCTCGACAACGCGGTCCATCTCAGCCTGCGCCTTCTTCTGAATGTCTGGGTTCAAACTCATGATAAGGAAGAATGAATCAAGGACAGAGACAGTCTGGAATGTGTGTTCAGCCTTGACTCAAACCCGACTTAGCTGCTTTATCTTACTGTGTCTACTCCCGCTAGAGCGACGGATTAGCAGCGTTGGACTCGAACAAATACAAGCGTACCTGCGTAGAATTGCATCACAGTAGTTTTGTAGAACCACTCTTCATCGGGCGTAGGATTTCTGTTCTCCTCAATCAGCCTCGCTGTCAGTGAAGGCAGAGCAGTTCCTTTGGCCTGTACCCTCACGTCAATGGTCTCATAACGTCGTTCGTCAATAAAGACTTACCACTTGATCTTTCACACAGGCATACGGTTCATGGCACAGGCGTAGAAAGTGTTCTCTGCATTCTTTTGCCAACCTCTTGAAGCCCATCCCAGGGAACCAACTCGGAAGATATTGCACTAGGGAAGTGGTCATGAGTTGAACGACGAGTCACAATTAACAATGCTTACGAATGGTGATATTATCTACCAGAAAGCGTCCGGGCCTCAACACACGGGAAAAGTCCTTGTTGAATTGTTCCGCCAGCTTGACAAAGACGTGATCGACGCTTTCAATTTTCTGCCCGTGTGTCAATTGGAACACAACTGCGGCAATGAACCTATCGAATGGTCAGACCACGACATTGCTTTAGGTCATGGAAGCGCTTACCAGCGAGAATGTAACTGCAAGTCTTTTGGGTTATTAACGAGCTTGGAAAGCATTAAAGCGACCTTGTTCCGCTGTATTCTATGGATATCTGTCTGATTGCGGTGGTCTAGGCTGTTTGAAATGAGTTTACGGCCTTCCCTGTGGCGTCTGCCATAGCGCTCCAACACAGGTATGGAAGAGTACCCAATCCTAGTTGCAAGGGTGAACATTATTGCTCACAGAGAAAAACAGAAGACAAATGTACATCTCGCCTGCCAGGGGAATGTGAGGGCGATCGGCGTACAATGCGCTCCTCTTCTCGAACAGTTCCTCTATAGCATTGGCTGAGTTGAGGACCAGAATGGGATGGCCTAATACTGAAAGGCTAAAGATTTCCCCTACGTTCGAACAACATGAAACAATATACAGACAATGCTCACGAAGTAAGCTTGTACGTACCGTAGATCCCAGCCCATTCGGTAAACTTGAGCCACTGAAATTCAAGGGGGACATTCAACGCGTTGCCAAGTATCGGTAGTCGCGCTGGACCAGGAGGCAAAGGAGCTTTTGCACGTTGTCTGGAGAAAGCATAACCGACTGCACATATTAATATACAGACGATGGCACAGTATCCCCACGGAAGACTCATACTGCAGGATGGAAACGACGGGTTCTGTAGGAGGGTACAGAGCTTGTGAACTGTGAGATGCGCCCGAGTTAAATACATAATCTCTACTCACTGTGGCGCCGGCTATGATGCCAAGTTGTAGCCGACAAACAGCTAGTATAGACAACATCGTCAATTAGCCGCCACATTCAGTTGTGTGCCACATGACTTGTATATGGCAACGTGTAAAGTAATTCGTGTAGCACCATTATTACTATCCATCAACCGTCAACTCCGATCGATGGGTGCTTCCCGAACTCGGCATCGAGTCGCACAAAACCCCAACAACAACGCACTTACCGGACAAATCGAAAAGGATGGCAAGCAAGGCTTTCAGTCTCCCAAACCTTGACCGAGTAGGCCTCCGGAGCAGACATGATATCTTGAGATCTGAAGCGGATGTAACACAAGTACCATCCGGTTGGTGTATTATGATATACTGGTAGATTGTATCTCTATGCGCCAAGAGGATCAGCTGTACTTGAGCACAACCACGAATCTGAGGGTCACTCGCAAAGTCGACCATCGTGTCACTTCGCATCGTTGTATTTCCAGAAAACTGATCCTTCATTACCCGGTGGCACTCGACACGCGACTGAGCTACACATTGAATGCCTTTCTGCAGGCATATATCTTCCAAATAGGGTTGTCAAGCTGACAGATTTGCCTTCTGCGAAAAGATTGGTGTCCGTTCAGTACGGATCTGCGATAGAAGAAGGGGTCGAAATGTGCTTCTGCATCAGGAAAACCGGTGTGGTAGGGCCAAGTGGTTCACTGGCAAAATCCGCAGGAAGATGACTTGCAAGCGCGGGTCGCGCGCTTCGTGTTCGGAACCATGATCGCTCCGTCTCAGTCTCCATCGCTAGACTACCCCGACCTCCTCACACCATCTCAATCTCTTCACCTCGTACTCTACAACCGGACGAAGACGCATCGCACCTCACGTAGGAGCCGGCACAGCGTGCGAAGACCAAGGACAATAAGATAAGACACGCGCATGAGGCGTGCAGGTCGGCAGAAGATAGCTTGTTCATTCTTTTCTTCTTCTCTTCACTCCTGTAACCTTCGTCCTGGACAGCCCGAGCGACGCGGATTGCACGCGGGACGTAGGGTCGAGCGCGTGATCATGCCTCCTCCGCTTGTTGGGGGGCAACGCGTTCGTAAATAGAGTCGAGAATCGTCACGCTGACTCCCCGAACGTAGTTGCGATCGCATGAAGCTGAGCGACGGTATTGTTCTTTCCCGGCACACCACGACTGATGCTCATGTACTCGACTACTTCATGTGAAGGTTTCTAGGTTGCGGGTATATATGGAGAGGAAACGGGCCTGTACGAGCCAGCGAACCACGCGCAATTCACAATTCTCTTAATCTAATATTCGAACCTTTGCTGGATCCTTGGCGACGCTCTCGCTCCTCCTCAAAGTCTACGAAATCCTCCAGGTACGCGATCCTCTCTTCGCGATTCACTCCTTCCAGTCTCAGCTAGCGCTGGGGCTATTCTATCTAATCTGATCCCGAACTCTCAGTCCACGAGGAGGCTGTACTAACGTCGACAACACCCGGGTTCTGATCCCACGAGCACAAAACCCCCACTACGACACCGGACGTTGTTGACACCCTGAGATTGCTGGCGCGAGCCTGTCTTGCAGTCGATGGGGCTGCGTATTATAGCCGCCAGGGGTCCTCGAAGGACCCCTTGTGGACATGATAGTCGCAGACATGCGGGGCTCCTGCCGCGCGAGGAAAAGCTACACCCAACCCCGTCCAAGTTCCGCCACTAGGTCCTCCCGAAACCTGTATGGCAGCATGGACACCGCGTAACCCGCACTTTATTGTGGGGTTCTGTACCGTGGACGCGGAATCTGCTCCTAAGAGCCATCATGTATCGCACGTACAATACAATCAGTATGTATCAGAGATAACACGGGGTAGCCTCGAGGCGCACTCATCCCGCACTGTTTCTACTGAAAGTGCTAGAGGTTTCCGACGCACTGATGGAGCGACGCGAGGCAAAACAATGTGTCATTCTGAACCTTTAACAGCTGGGTTACTGGAGTCGCCAGAGGAGCCGAATGAACGGGCTCAGTCAGCATTCAGATAACTGTGTACCTCCCCTCCTCGGACAGCACCGCTCGTGTCAAGCGCTTAAAGTACGTCACGCTTTACACTTTGATTGGCTGTCGCGAGCCACGGCTGCCTTACGCTTAGTCATAAGTGACCTTCAGTCACGTTAGGGCGCTTCAAAGCAACTTGTTTTCCGCGAGCGGCAATTTTATTTAATTACTTCCGGTTTTCCTGATGTCTTTTTTTTGAATGCACGACTTTTATTACAATTACAGATTTGTCCTCCGCTCACATCCAAGTTATTGGCCAAATCATTGACAACAGCTGAGCACATATCATTGAGCCTCTCCGAACAATTCAAAGGCCGGTGCCTGGCAACACGACTCGCCATACTGTCGTTTCCAGTGTTTGTCCATGTCAGCCTGTGTTACATCAGATTGCGTAAACCTGTTGATACCCGCTTAGTGGACACTCCAAATCCTATGGGAAGGCACTTAGGACCGTGCCGTAAGTATTGGTCGGATATGTACTTATGTGGGGATTACAAGCAATCTTGTACGGCATCCATGTGACGTGGATGCACGTGTATGAATAAAACTACGTAGCATCGCCTACATTATTGAATGCGATGTGAAGATTCGAGGCCTCACCGGCGGGCTACACGGGGTAAGGAAGATCGGTGGGTGGTGATGCAAGACGAACGTCGAAATGATGCAAGATAGCGCGACGAAGTCACTGCGAGGGCGCAGGGGTACGTTCTGTGCAGCTTCCATCTCGCGCCGCAGCTCGGGCGCAACAAAGTGCCGGACCTCTCGCAGATCTTTGAGCCATCTGTGAGCCTCGAGGGGTTCAGAGGAGAATTCTATTGCGGTTGAAATTGCTGTCATTGGCGTACAAACTAGGAACCTCGCGATTCATTCATTGCTGTAGGGACCGGTCATCTAGCACTCGATGTGTGGAGAGCTGAAGCCACAAATCGAAGTAGTAGTACCGCACTGTGATCATGATTTCGAGTTGTATTCATTCTCTTAATTGAAGTTTTGCTTGCTCTATCAAGGCAAGGCTTGAAGCCCTCGCTATCAGCACGCTTGACATCGTGCGCGGCGCCGCACGGATAAATAAGTATACCCGAAAGCGGTACTGCACTTAGAGCGTCTCCGAAGTTCGGTCCGGTCCAGGTTCAGACCCCGCAGGCTCTGAGCGTGAAACCTCTAACAATGGCGGCAGAACTTGTCGAACAGGTTAAGGAGGCCCGGTTCGATGGCACGCCACATACTTCGAGTGGGAGGGCTGGGCGGATCCCGAGAACAGCCTGACGAAGCGATGGTGGCCCGCGATGCAGTACCACATCGGGTACAAGTAGATATGGCTGAATGCACACCGCGCGAAGGGCACGCTTCGGATAGAGGTCAAGCGGGACGTCAAGTTCGCAGACGAGCTCCTCAAGCGGGAACTTATGGAGACTCGGGCGGACGAACAGAGCTGAGTGCCAGTGGACACACGGAGTGGGGTGCTCCCTGTTCAACGTGTGTATCATTAGACCTAGATAGTGGTGTTATATTGGTTGCTTATCTACACCGTACTTCATTGCACATATTACGTCTGGTGTTTTAGAAGGGGCCGCTGAAGTTGGTGTCGCCACAGTGACCGTCTTCGGCAAACACCGCAACTCGCCACTTTTGGCGTAACAGCTGCCGCCACAGGTTGTATCCGCCACAGTAGGCGACTTCTTGCATTGACCGTCATACGCTCCTGGGCATGGCGTGAACATACGGGCTCATAGGACCAACCTAGGGCAACACAGAAATCGACGACAGTGGCCAACGGACGTTTCCTTTTGGCACTCAACGACGATGTCCTCCTGGCGATTGTCTCATTCCTCTCGCGCAAAAGGACGCTCTGGAGCTGTCACGCACGGCGCGAGGTATCCGTAGCATCGCTATGCGCCAGGTTCTTTCGGTGGTCAGCTTTCATAGCTACGATCAAGTCTTGCGCTTCCACGCGCATATGCTTCAGGAAGTGCCTACTCATTCCTTGCGTTGGGTCCAGACGCTCGAATTCACGAGGTTTATATGCAGTCTTATTGTGAGAGCCGTATGGATCTGTTCTCCTGTGTGGCGGATATTCTCGAGCAGACAACAAATCTACAATCTCTCGAGCTCCCGCGAGCGAAAGAGCTATTTAATCAACAAACTCGCATCGGATCCGGAGTGGCGTCTCTCTCCAGCCTGTCCGAGCTGTCGTTGGGGAGCTGGCTGACCCATCGCGCACTCTCGATGCTCGGACAGGTGAATCCCATGCTCAGGAAGCTTTCCGTGACAATGGCACACGGTGATTTGGACCCTATAGATGTTTTCGAGGGTTTGACACGCCTGAGCAACCTTCAAACTCTAGAGATCTGCTATGCCACTTCTTGGCTGGATGGACGGAGGCTAGGATTGCAAAGAAGCCGAATCCCTGTGATGCAGTCTCTGAAAAAGCTTGATCTCTACCGCTGGTGAGGTGTCTCTGGACTGGTGCATACGTTTCAGAATGTACGGGAGTTATGCATGTCTCGCTGCGACATGACACCTCGTCGATATCCAGTCGGTAAAGTACACACATGGTGGGTTACTCTCAATTATTTGCATATTGACGTTCACAGCACATGGCCGACTCTATACCAAATTCACCATTTGGACGCAGAATTCTTGTTTGATGAAAGGCATCTGCCCATGGTACAGAGGCTGTCACCCGTCCGGCTCTCGATCACCATAGGGACATGCAAGCCCTCGTTCTGTGAAACGTTATTGGTCAACTTACCGAGGCTCCGTGTTCTTGAAGTGTCATTGCTGGACTTACTCGTGCCAAATTTGGGAGAAGTGACACTCGCCCAATGGACGGTTTGTCATATCTGTGTCTGAACGAACAGTCCCTGACTTGTAGATGCTCCAGGAGAATATGTTACGTTTCCTGCGTCCGGCTCGTATCGCCTGCATTAAGATTCAGGCAAACACCATATCCAGCCTTATGGATGAGACTTCATTGCAGATCGCCATGGAGCCGGAGCGGTTGCATTCGTCACCCCGGCTCGTCTCCGAAAACATTCCGTCGATGGAGTTGTTTGCAGTCGGCCTTGATGGCCTTGGCACGGATCTGAGACGGACACACTGGACGCGTATCCGTGTAAACGAGGACAACCAGCGGGTCGTAGAAGTCATCGATCCCACCACGGGTGAGAAATCGCTCTTACAGATCAGCTCTCGCTTTCACAAGAGTATACCAAGCACAGGATGAGTCCGTTAGTTGTGCGCGACGTCGTGCTTATACTGTGATATATTGTGTAATAGTCAACCACGAACGTCAGTCTTTCCGTTTGTAAGCAGCGGGTAGGCCGCAGAAGCCTCGATGATGTGTTTATGCTAAGCTCCTAATCTAGTGGACTTCAATGATTGTCACTCACGTTCGTACCTCTGCGTCTCTCACGGATCACTATGCCCCATCTGCCTCGTGCCTGTCCCCTGGCGGCATGGCAAGGTCACGAGGCCATGTAACCTAAATAGTCGTCTATAGGGCCGATCACAGCGCATCTTGCAGGTTCTAGACAGCACATGCGTAGATTTGGTGCAGACTTTTGTTATACACAGTAAAATATCGGGTGGTTAGTCCATAAAATCCACATGCATTGCCGCGCTCTGAATGAGACGCGCTGATTCCGCCGAACGAGGCTTGATGGTGCATTGAAAGGGGCCGGGGTGACTTCAAGAACAGCTTGAGTCAATACTATCATCGCTACATGGTACCCTCACCTGATAGTGCCTCCTGTGTACTGCACATCGGGCTCAATGGGTTGTCCATCAGGGCACATGGCAAGCGACAAGTGTGAAGACAATGTCGTCTGCAAGGACTTTCCCCGGGCAGACTCTGATCGACTGTCAGTCCCTGATATACTTGTGCAAACCACTGCGTAATCTCACCGTCGCCCGTAACCAAAGGCAAATCTTCGAGGATCAGGGTTCAACCCGCCTTCCTGTTTCGAATACCTGTCCGGATTGACTTGGAACGGGTCTGGATACAGCGAGGGATCATGAAACACAGCCCTGATATCGACGTCAGCAAGCGTGCTCACATCGGGGAAACATGCGTACCAGGTGTTCGCAATCACCGTGGCGCCTGCCGGAATATGGAATCCGTTGTAGACATCGTCTTGCGTGACCCGATGGGGTACGGCTACAGAATGCACGCGATGAGTACCTGTGGGACGCATTGAGAAAAGCTGTCTTCTTACCCATCGGTGCCGTAGGATTCCACCGATAGATCTCTTTCAGCACTGCATCCAAGTATGGCAAGTTTGCTCGATCGTCGAAATCTGGCAGGCGTCCCGGCTCGACGACGCGATCCAATTCTGCCTGCGCCTTCTTCTGTATTTTCGGATACAAACTCATAATCAAGTAGAACGTTTCAAGAGAAGAGACAGTCTGGAGTGGATGTTCAGCCTTGACTCAAACTCGATTTAATTGCTCTATCTTACTGTGTCTGCCCCCCCTGGAGCAACGGACCAGCAGCGTTAAGATCTAACAAATGCAAGCATACCTGCGTAGAACTGCATTACTGTTGTTTCATAGAACCATTCTTCATCAGGCGTGGGATTGCTGTTATTCTCAATCAGCCTCGCTGCCAGCGAAGGCGGGGCAGTTCCTTTGGCCTGTACCCAGTGACGTCAGTGCAACTATTTATATCTAGTCGATAAAGACTTACAACTTGTTCCTTCACAGAGGCGTACGGTTCATGGCACACGCGTAAGAATCGCTCTCTGTACACCTTTGCCAGAGTCTTTAAAGCCCATCCCGGGAATCCAACTCGGAAGATATTGCACTACCAAAGCAGTCATCAGATTGAACAACGAAATCCATGCATGGAGCGTCGAGATGCTCACGAATGGGGATGGTATCTACCAGGAAGCTTCCAGGCCTCGTCACATAGGAAAAGTCCTCGTTTACCTGTTCCGCCAGCTTGATAAAGACGTGATCGAAGTTATCAATTTGTTGCCCGTGTGTGATTTGAAATACAATGGCAGCAACAAACCTTTCGAATGTTCAGATCATAATATCGCCATATATGACGAAAGCGCCTACCAGCGGGAATGTAAGCGAAAGTATTTTGGGCTACTAATAAGCCTAGAAAGTAGCAAGGAGGCCTTGTTTATCTGTATCCGATGGAGATCTGTCTGATTATGGGAACTAAGAGTGTTGAGGATGAGTTTACGGCCTTCCCTGTGGCGGCTGCCGTAGTGTTACAACGTGGGTATGGAAGAGAATCCAACCCTGGTTGCGAGCGTGAATGCCATACGCAAACGGAGAAAGACGGGAGACAGATGTACATCTCGCCTGCCAACGGAATGTGAGGGCGATCGGCATATAATGTGCTCCTCTTCTCGAATAGCTCCTCTATGGCTTTGGCTGAGTTGAGGACCAGAATAGGATGGCCTAGTACTGAAAGACTAAAGATTTCGCCTAATATTCGAACAATGTAAAGAAAAAACACAGACAATGCTCATGAAGTTCGTACATACCATATATCCTAGCCCATTCGGTGAACTTGAGCCACTGGGATTCAGGGGGGACATTCAACGCGTTGCCAAGTATCGGTAGTCGCGCTGGACCAGGAGGCAGAGGAGCTTTTGCACGTTGTCTGGCGAAAGCATAACCGACTGCACATATTAATATACAGGCGATGGCACAGTATTCCCACGGAAGACTCATAGTGTAGAGTGGAAACGGCGGGTGTCTGTAGGGGAGCACAGAGCTTGTGAACTGTGAGATGCGCCCGAGTTAAATACAGAATCTCTAAACAATGGCAAGCAAGGCTCTTAGTCTCCCACATGTGAGCCAAATTCTGACCGAGTAGGCATCCGAAGCAGCTATGGGGTCTGGAGCGGGACACAAGCACCACCCGATTGGTGTATATAATGGCAGGTTGCATCTCAATGTGCCAAGAGGATCACTCACCGAATTGACCGTCGTGACACTTCGTATCATTGTGTTTACAGAAAGCTGATCCTTCATTACTCGTCCGAGACGTAGGCACTCGCCGCGCGGCTCAGTTGCACACTGAATGCCTTCCTACAGGCATGTGCCTTCCAAATAACATTAGGAAAACCGAACGGTGTGGACGCTCTGAGATTGCTGGCGCGAGCCTGTCTTGCAGTATAGTCAATGGGCTGCAGGTATCATGTCCGCAAGAGGTCCTTCAACCGCAAGGGGTCCTTGAAGGACCTCTTGCGGACATGATAAGACATGGTACCTGCATACGGGCCCTGCTCTTGCCGAGCGAGGAGAAGCTTCACCCAACCGCGCGACCCGCACTTTATTGTGGGGTTCCGTACCGTGGACGCGGAAGACGCTACTAAGAGCCATTATGTATCACACGTACAATACAATCAGCATGTATTAGAAATAACACGGGGTAGCCTCGAGGTATACTCATCTCACACTGGTTCGAATGAAAGTGCCTGCGAGGGGTAGAATTTAAGTGTGGTTGAAATTGCTGTCATTGGAGTGCCGACTAGGCACTTCGTGATTTATTTACTGTGCCATACCGGGTAGTTGGCAGATCTCCCAAGTCGGCACGTGTCACCTCCCTTCAATCAGAGAGCAGGGTTCCCCGAAATCTATCGGGATGTTCCCAATCCGATCAACAATGCCAAATACGGTGGCATGCGCTCGCCACAATCTCAAGTTCCAACTCACAGTAGTCTCCTGAGAGTGGGATAGACACTCCCTTCGACCTGTGCCGGCTCTGTATAACCACGTCTGGACTTCGCCATCCGACGCCCTGTCTTACGGTGAGCTCGGTATCAATGGTCGATTGCCGTGTTCCCGCCACCCGGCATATCACGCGTGTGTAAACACAGACAAGCAACGCGCGTTCTGCGCCTCAGACGCGCTGCGCTTAGGCTCTCGATGCGATCCTGAGCGAGAAACCTTCGTCTCGACGCTATAGAAATCCCCTGTCTGCCTCTTTCCGACCTTGTAGTTATTGTCTTGTATCTAGACAAAGATATGTCTCAAACCACACTTCGCGAGAACAGCGCATAAGTTTTGTTGTTTCAACAAAGTGTTCTGATGATTGTGACAAATATGGACGGTGTTATACTTAAATGTACCGGTGTGCCCTGTTGGAACTTGAGATTGTGGCGAGCGCATGCCACTGTATTTGGCATTGTTTGTAGTACCTCGTAGACTTTGCGCGAGCCGTCCTGTACGTTCCTTACGCGTTTGACAGAGCTCAGACAAACGCGATATATCTTCATTGATCGTTCTCGCTTCGGGTCTCGGACGAACTTTTACATGCCCTTCGCTTGTATATCGACAGAGCTTGAGCGCAAGGGAGGCTGTAAGCTAAATAGTACCTACCAGTGAATAAGGATAACAGGACGACCTAAGCGATTCTATTAAACATGAAAGACTAGGCACATCATCCAATGCGTAACTCGGGGATTGAGATGCGTTGCTCCTCTGTATCCCAGAGAACTTACTTTAAAACTTCATCTGCCTGATCTTTTCTGCCATCACGTATCCAGAAGCGAAATGCGACAGCCTTGCGTCAACCACGTAACCCTAGGTATGATTGACATTTCGTCTAAGCCATCGATTCTCAACGTTCATAGACAAACGTACCTTGCTCTCATAAGCTATGAGAATCGGAACACGTCAGAAGGGAGATCATCTTGTCATGAAAATTCATACCTTTCAACTCTTCGTCAAGCTTATGCAGTTCCACAATCCGTGCCGTAATGAATTCGCCCGGTTCTGGCTTCTGCTGAGATACCTCGAGCTTGTCCGGGAACGGTACGTCAACTGCAATGAGCTTCATGTTCGCCGTCGTCATTCCGGGGTCGCAGACGAGTAATGGCGATGACTCTAGAACTTTCGTTCCCTTGAAGCCTGTCTCTTCATGGAGTTCGCGGATAGCCGTTTCCTCGGCAGTCTCTCCCTCATCGATTAAACCTAGATCGAATCTTAGTGGAAATTGTATCGATAAGAAATTGAGAAATACCGGCGGGGAGTTCTGTGGGATCGGGTCAACGAAAAGTACTGTAATAATTGTGTCTCTCAACTGACCGACGACATACTTGCCCACAGGTGCACGGAACTGTTCAACAATGACTGTGGATGGTTGGAAAGCGTTGCGTTCGGATCGAAGGACCGCCAAGATTGCGACAGCTTAGCGATACATACTCAGCTTTGAATAATGATTAGAGAGTAATCAGATCTCTACCGTCGATCCCTGAAGAGCCTCTGGTAGTACGCTCAGCACACTCCCATGTTCTCTGACATGTGCATCAGTCACATATTTCTCCTCAAGATGCAGGCTTATATCCAGCATACGTGCTTGCCCTCCGGATCGCTCCAATGGATTCGTTTCAGTTTTACCCATCTGAAGGGGGTCTCAATTATGCATTCTGCAAATTCGCTAACCGACGCATCGGCTTACTTGGCTTCAGACGTTGACAAGTCCTCCGCCGATAGTATTTTCGAATCCTGCGACATATTGCGACAGTATGACGTTCTAGGAATCCGCAAAGACAATGGCGACGAAGAGTGAACGAGGCGAGCGAAGGCAACGAGAAATCGCGGTTCAAGCAAGAGGACCATCACATGACGTAAGGCTAGATGGCGTAATAACGTCGGATGGGTCTGTTTAGACTTGTTGTGTAACAGCGTCGTTCCTGATCTCGATCAGGTTTGGTTATAATTCTCTCTACGCGACATGACTCTTAACCGACAGCACCAGTCAATTCCTGAAATACTGAAATTATAGTAAGCGCAGGGAATCTTCTGATATTGTGAGCTTGTAAGCTTGTTACATCTGTCACAGATGAAAAAGGGTTCCCTGCAACCCCAGAGCGGTACCTACGCAGACTTGATAAATTAGGCAGATGGTGATATTGACGTATCACGTTGTATTGTAGCAGACGCCACTGTATAGGAGATATTACGGTTCTTGAGGGTGATAGCGAGTACAGGCATACCAAACGGCGAATCCACGGCAATTAGGAATCAGGCTGGAGACTATTCGGAGTTTAGCCCCACCATCTCGAGAAGCTATTCAACAGAAATCAGCGTCATGTACTCTATCAAACTTTGAATGGTACACACTAGGTAAAGTCGCAGAATCGGGTCAGCGCGCTGCGAAGTCTCGACCTCAACGGCGCTCACAAACCACGCCTTCAAACCACATTCTTTCATCAGAACATGCGGGTACGTGCCGTTGTCTTCGTGCGCCTATACGCAAGTCACCGCGCATTCATAGAAATCGTGCAAGATATTTCCGTCTGCTGTGACTAGTGCTTGCCGGTGACTGTGAAACTGGTGATAAGGGAGAAAAACCCACATGCAAAGGATGCTCAGTTCCTGGTTTCTGAGGAATCTCTAATCTGAGACGTTGCCGTCAAATGTTTGTTATCGCTCGCCTCCTGTACCGAGCAGTGAATCAGCATCGCTGTCAATGCAGGGTCCAATAGGTCTAATCCACGCTACACTTTACGCAGTATGTGTTCGCATCATGGGACATTTGACTGTCATGCGGATCGGAGAATGGTTCGGTCCGTCAGATAGGAGCGACATGGCGCGCTAGCCAATTTGTCCGATACATGGAACCTCGTCAGGACTCGACGGTACTAGCAGCGGTCGTGGATATTCAAATATTCAAGGCGCCCGCGGCAATGGGCGTGGGAAACCAATGTTGCTCCTACTAGTAGCAACGTCCTGCCACCTACACTAACGCAGACCAATAAGTACGCGTAAGTAATCCAGCTCGCCATGCATGAGATACCCGGATCTGCCGAATATACGCATACTGCACTCATCTGATCGACCTCAAGCTAGCTGATAGCTGTCCCGAATTGAAAACGTAACTTAGAATGCGTTCCATATGTTCAATGAGTGAGTTTGAGTACAAAATACGGTTGTATAATACTCAAATCTTGCGCTAGCTATGCAACATGATCATCTCTCTTCATCTCGGTAAGCGATGTGAATCCGCGACATTCCCACACCCTCGTCACCTTCAATCCAGCACGCACCGCGAGGCTTTCAAATCCTCCCACGGTACGCTCTCCTCCGTTGAACATGCTGAACATCAACAGATCGTGCATATTGGCAAAAGTGTGAGCGAAGCCGTAATTAGCGGGGAGTGGTGCTGGTGCTGGCTTGAGATGTGGAGAACCCGCTGTCGTCTGCATGACGTTGTCTGCAACAAGTATCAGCGACTCGGGCCCCATAGCTTCGCGAAGGCTCTTCAGAATTGTGACACATTCGTCGTCAGCCCAATCATGCCTATCAGTGAATGAACAATACACTCGTTAGTATATCGTGCTGGGGTGAGAGCGACGAAGTGTCACATACATGATGTGCCGCAATATGTATATATCTGCACCCTTGACTGACTGCTCCTCAAAGAAGTTCTGGGGATGAAACCTGACTCGGTTTTTGACCCCGGCGTCAGGTAGGGACGAAGTCCAGAATTCTTTCGCCTTCTCCAGTATGACGGGGCGATCCTGCACAACAAACTGCAGCTTGGGGTACCTCGTCGCCAGCTCGAAGCTCATTCCACCTACACGAAATCAGAAAGCTATTCACACAAGTCTTGGCTAACATACCAACTCCGGCACCTACGTCAACAACAGTCTTAGAGCCGACAGCTTCCCAAGGGAAGTCTTCATATCGCGTGTAAGCAACGGTGTTCGACTTCATTGAACCTGTAGTGACTAGACTTACCAAGACACACAGCTGGGGCTTGAACATGCTCAAGACCGAACTTCCACATTCCGGTGAGCCAGATGTCAAGCTCTGGCCTTGGACCAACTGTACCATCCGGCTGGACTATGGACTCCTCTATCCACTCCCAGACGCTGCCTGTATAGTCGTACGCTGTTTGGAACGCGGACCTGAGCCCGGTGCTCGGTTTGCCCACTGTGTTATATAGAACCTGCGGAAGCTTCCCCGCAGCGGTGAAGGTTTCCATGCAGCTGATGGTGGTAAGTCACATATTGAAGAATAACCATCCCGGCCGGCTACTAACTGCACCATTAGCCAGCATCTGAGCGGCTCGTTATTGACGAGATGCCGGCTGGTATTGGTATTGCAATAGAAGTTCTCCTCGACCTCCGCAAATATATGGAGACTTGAGAGAGTCCGTAGTATCTTCGCTACAGTTAGGTAATGTTGGGTGATTCGCTCGACATTCGATAAGTATATACTCACATAGGCCTTCCGGCGCAATACCAACTTGACGACTGATCTCCTGGACTGAAACACCCTTCTGCGGGTTCGCGTCTTTGAGAGCATCGGCGATTCGAGTCTCCGCCGCAATGCGCAAAGCTTGAGAGTTGTAGAACGATGCAGCCACCTCCGTCATACGGACAAAAGGATCGTGCACGAGATCCATGCCCATACCGCACGCCCCAATGAAGACACGGCGGGCTTCGAACAATTCCTTTGATGGAAGCCGGGGCACCAAGGAAACGTCATGGGGAGTGTCTCCCTCAGTCTCCCACTCTGCGATTACAGCTTCCGCTGAATCAGAGATCAGACGGACAAGGGAGCGGAGCTGCGCCGCTTTTTCTGCAATAGACATGTCGAGGGAAGTTGAGGTATGCAGATATGTGAGTGTGTGGGAGACCTAGGAAGTGTAACAGATGATGTCGTATATATATTGCAAACGCGAGCAATTGGCGGCTGGAGGGAGAACATAGGTGCTCTACCACCGAGGTATGACAGATCACTATCGTATCTATGCCGAGACCCTGCCAGTGCTAAACCGGAATCACTCGTGAGCGACAATAAGTTACGGAGACATGTGGTTTGATCCTCGTGAATCTAGCGCTTCTGTGACTCTTTCGCATCGTTAATCAGCCAGGAAGAGCAGAAGCAGAAGCGCGTCTCAGGTGAGAGATAGCCGCGCAAGAGTACCTAGTATGTAAACTGTAGGCTGCATCAAGTGTCGATGGATCACGAATATCAGAAGATGACTGGGCTCTCGGCGTGGAGATATCCCTACTAAGACTCCCAGAAGCCGCCGCAGAGGCACGAGGGGCGGGCCGCCCGCCCGAGATGCAGATAGAGAACGCAACTCTCCCACTAGATGCAGATAATCAACTGCGGCGGTGATTGACAGGACGCTTCGACAACAAATTGTACCCTCAAGGGGCCGACAGGCGTCATGAGTAAATAGGCATGCGCTGGCGCTCGTTATACTATTGGCAGCAGTACTTCTCAGTTCTGTTTCAAGCGATCTGCTCGTGGACCGTGGTTGACATCTGCCAACATTGGCACGGTATTGGGTACATTGGTGCATGAAAGAAGGTGTTATTTTACGCGAGGCTAGTAATTACAGGTGCTAGCAACTACTCATGTGCTTGTCCAGCGTTTCCAAAGAGCCCAGCTCTATGAAGGAAGCGGAGGAAGAGAGGCCGATGGGACTCGGTCTGCCAGTGAGTGGTGCCGCGGCGGAGTCTGATTAGACATGAACCAGGGACGAAACCAACGCGGATCAAGTCAGCAATAAGGGGGGAAGCTCATAGCAATACGGGGCTAAAGTGATATATGACATCGCCGGCACTCCGAGTTCCACGCATTCACAGGCCTCCTGAGACCGTCGAGCTCTTTGCTAGAAGGTTTATGGGTATTTTTTGCAGCTACCGCTCACACCACAGTCTTCTCATACATGTAGGCTTTCTATAAATAGATTTCGAAGCGCAATTGCAGTAACAATGTTGACGCAAAGAGCGCATGCATCAAGCTTTCATCTCAGCTAACCTTTCAAACCTTGCAGAGAGTGCCCCGTCTTTGGCTCGTTGGCAGCAGCCATCTCTTTGACCATCTGAGCAACCTTGTCTGAGCGAGGTTCTATATAGCACGCGAATTGCTTCGGATGACTACCGATCCATGTCACTGACCTCTGCTTATACACTTCAGGGAAACTGGAAAGCGTACCTCAGGAAACCAGAGTTATAGTCCACAACAGGCTCGATCTCGTTACCGACGCTGTCTCTCGCCTTCCGGATGTTTAGCATTGCAATCACGTTGGCAGCAACAAGGTAGAAACTCGAATCCGCAAGCAGGCGACCGGGGCAGATTCTGCGATTAAACGCACGTTCAGTACGTCTCTAATGAATAATTTAGGTTACGGCTAACCGTCGACCAAAGCCAAAGACGAATTTTCGAGGGTCAGGGAGATCAGGGCGCTCCTCAAAACGTTCTGGGTAAAATTCCTCAGGATCATGGTAATATTCGGGGTCCCGGCTCATTCCCCTGTTCAACACATTCAGACAGTTCATTGGACGAGGCAGTTAGTACATACCACAAGTTAGGCACTACAGCAGCTCCTCCTGGTAGATTGTACTTTTGATACTCGTCATCTGTTGTCAGCTTATGCGGGACACCTAGAGTTAAAAGATTCAATAAATATCCTCTCCAAGTTGCACGATGGCTAACCAAGCGGAACCACCACCTGCCAGCTATGGGACATTGAAATCAGATACACAGTGAGCGAGTGAGTATTTCTGCACAAACCGATGAACTTCCTTGAGTACACATTCGAGGTATGGTAGAGAATCACGGTCCGCGTAGTCAGGGAAACGGCTTCCCACAACGCGATCTATCTCTTCCTGTGCCTTTTTGAATACGCGAGGGTAGCGCACCATCGCAAGAAGGAACGTGGACAAAGTGGCGTAGGTCTAATGACATGGTCAATTGTCACGAATGCCAATTGCTTCGTACGTATATACCGTATCGATACCAGCTAACGGTATAAGATGTCAGCGACTAGTCATGCGAATATTGCCTGGATGCCAACCTCCGTACACCAAAGTAGCAACAATTTTGATATCTTCTTCAACGTCTGGCGTAAGGGGACCCTTGCTTGACGCCTCTTCAATAATGGCAGACACGAACGATGGGGACGCGGTACCGGTAGTCTACAGCAATCCCACATCATTTTATCCGCACTGTAGCCCGCGGTGTGAGCATGACTTACCATACCAGCTCGTACGAAGTTGTACGGAGCATCGCGCATGCGCCTTACAACTTGTGTATAGTCTGCCGACTCCTTTCGGAATTTCGCCAGCCATGAGGGCAGATTTCTGACTGATCGGAAGTGAACATTCCCGTCGATCGATCAGTTGATGAGATTAGCACTTACAGATGGGCAAGAAGTCCAAGAGCGCCATGCCGGGGTAATCGCAGTAGCCAAGTCGCACTAACGCGTCAGCAGCGAACGTGACGAACTCATCGTTCTCTGAGGTCACAGTGTATCCATACTCGAGCTCCATGAGGACTGCTCCGACGTATCTGGAAGCAAGCAATTATACGGCTGCAACAAACTAGACATGTAGCACGCCAGGACTTACCGCCGGAAATGTTTCCAGTATTTGTCAGGGCTCTCGACAAGCTTCCCGAGAAGAATGTAGAGTTCCCTATGCTGCACAGGATGATAGTGTGCGAGCGTCGCCTTGTCGAGGAATGCGTTTTGTACCCATCGTCTATGTCTGCGGAACTCGTCATCGGCCGCTGTTCGCCCCAAGTGAGACATCCAACCCATCCTGGAATGTCTACATCAGAGCGAGCGGGGAGACAAGTCAAACTTTTACCCACATCTCTTCAATGTGCACGAAGCGGGGCCTGTCCGAGTACCGCACACTCCGCTTCTCCATGAGATCCTGCGCGATCTCCAGCGAGTTGATCGCAATCACGGGCTTGTTGAAGAATGACACATAGATGAGATTACCTGTACACAGTGAAGCATAAACATCATTCGAACTCGTTCACCAAGCAACCTTGTTCGCAACTGACCAAAATCCTTTCTCCATCGTGAGAGTGTTCTCTCCCTATGATCCGTGGGAAGTTGGAAGAGATTCCCGATCCAGGGAAGACCAACAGGTCCAGGAGGAAGTTTGGAACGATACGCACGATCCCATCGAGTGTAGAGGACATGCGAAAGTGTGAGAACGACGAATACAGCAGCGACCAATGTCTCCATTGAAGACAAGCGCTACGTGATGGATGTTCGATGAGGTAGGCTGAACGGGCGCTGGTTGCCTGCGTCTCGCAGATCAGTGCTTATATCCCGTGAGACATGCCGTCTGGGAAGTGGCACGGAGCGCCTTAAGAAGGCCGTGGAGACGAGAGATGCGAGAACCTTGGAGGTGGACTTGATTCGGATCATAGTAGCTGGACACATAGCTGGCCTCGATGCGTTGACCTGTTTGATGGACTCGCTGCCGCAGAGGTCTGCGGCATCAAACATTCGTCTGATAATTGTTCCACGCTGAGAATGCGATCCGAGAGCCCAAGCAATCGACGTATACGCAATTCTATCATTTGCGTACCTGGCGTCTCGGCTTTTAGTAGTGTAAAACAATGGAACTCCAATAGACTTACTACCAAGTTCCGCCACTCGTTTTTCCAGATAGAGTACAGGTTGGGGAAATAACGCTTCGGTAAGTATCACCCTGACAAAAGCTTTGGTCATGGTACGAGCACTGGACATATTGCCAACTACAACATATCGCGGGCATTTCGCGATATCCATACGCAATGGAGCCGAGCGGCCTTGCAGAAAGGGGAACCCGAACCACAGACTCGGAGATTTTCCTAAATGGAGAGAGCTGAAGCGAATTGTGCGTCAGATAGATGCATCATGAAATGATGAACATTGGAGGCCGTCCCGGCAAGGTACTGAGGCCTTTCGATTGCAGAGCGGACAAGCTGAGACACCGTCAAGCCCTCTGAGTCAGGCCTTGCTTTGTGGGAACGGCAACGGGAGCCAAAATAAATGTAATAGAAATTTGACTCTGGTACATTCAGAGAAATTTACTTCCGTCGGTGTAATGGAGTTGGTGGGAGAATCGAAACCTTGAGTCCGTCGTCGTCAACTGATACGGAATTTTCCCTGGAAGAGCGCCTTGGTGTCCGATAAGACACGGACTTGATGATGATCGCTATAGGCCGACGTGATATGTATGTCCGGCGACAACGGCTCGAATGGAGCTAGGACCTCTGAGCAGCCAGTCCTGGGCTTGTTCATTGAGGTTGGTAAAGGTCCATTCTTTATGGATGTGAGGTACATAGACCTGGAGCACATCGAAGAAACTTACATCGCATCCTTGCTATGAGTCAATGCGTAAGTTGCAGACGGATGACAGACGTGGTAACTTCAAGGGTACTGACTGTCGTGGGAAGTTGCGTTGTGGGCGCCCGAATTTGGATCCGAGAGCCACACGTGGCGATGCCGCGCCACCGATGAATCTAGCAGCTTACCTTCACATAGGAGAACTATAAGAATATGCTTCGAGGTGTTATAATGCACATCAACAGGATGGAAATAATGTTTTGATACAATGCAGCATTCTGTTGGAATTTAGGATTGTGCGCATACCGTCGTATTTGGTGTTATTTGTAGTACCTTGCATGCCACCGAGTCTCTGTTACGTTCCTTACGCGTTTGACAGAGCTCAGGCAAACATGAAATGAATTTTGTTTGTTATTCTCAATTCGGGTCTCAATGAACGGATTCTATGGCGGTTCTGCCATTACTAGTAACTTAACTTCAGCAGGAATATTCTGACCGTCGATGTCGGATGTCCGATCGTATCTCGGAGCGGTACTAGTTGCTCAGAGCCGCCGAGGTCAGGACGCTAGCAGCTTATACGCTTACAATATCATATGTGACGATATCAATGGAGGTTCCGGGAACGTTATTGGCACTCTACTACAGTACTATCAATGGTCACCGAGTTTGGAAAGCCTACGCTCGGTTTGACGAACTGAATTATAAAACGTCCACCAAGTGACCTGACAACTATTGGTGCATATATCAGAAAGTGCGCGCAAATCGATGATCCTCTCCATCCCACCCACCATACTCTTCCACGCGAACTCTTATGTCAGCGAAGAGTGGCCCGGGTGTATTTGCGTCTTCGATACAGGTACAGCTAAAGGACGATGTTTCCGTGCCAGCACTGGACGATCGGTTAATGTAGGGTCTGTTTTATTAAATATACAAATCTCAAGAGAAGCGTTCACGTCAACATCGGTGCGCTTTTAATTGATGTTCTTCAGAAATGACATTTTGAATGATGACAGGCGGTCTACACTTCTTAGGATTGCCTAGATATTCACAAAGAGAGCACTAAGCCTTTCGCACGTGCGACATCAAGCTAACCTTGCTTATTTGAGCTGTAGCTGGTATACCCCCCACTTGAGGTAAATCATTGGCAGCGATGTGGGCACCTTTCTCAATTTGACAGTATATGCTCATTGAAGCGCTTCAACACACTCCTTTATGCGATTTATGCGCTCTGACCTTCAAGACGAGGCATCGTACTTGGCTTAAAGCGGAACTCATTTCGGTCTCAAATTTGTACAAATATCGACACCTTGTCCAATAAGGTAGTGCAAGCAGCATAACAGAGCTATAGCTAATTCTATGCTGTCGACGGACCAATCCAATCTGAGCGTACGTCGACTTCGAATAGACACCACTGGGTCGGGCCATACCCTATATTATAAACTCAGAATCAAGTCCATCTGTGCACGTCGTGCGAGTTTACACGATAGCTCTCTGCATGCAATCGGTGCGGTAGACCAGGGATAGGCGCTTATTGGGCGCTCTTAGATGCTGTTCTAGTGTCTCGGAATTACCCGAGAGACGCTGCTTACTCGGTAGCCAAGTGATCAATTGAAAGCTGTAGCAGTGGAGTCGCGAAGTCGGACCAACATCAAGCAAGGTGATAACACCCTGTAACACTGCAGAGCTCTGAGGCCGTGTAAAAACACTCAATCGATAAACATTCTCGTCTCGTCCCTACCAAAACACTCCCAGATATACGCCTCTCGTTTCATCACGACTCCTAGCCGGCGTGTGTCATGGAGTACTCCGCACGTAAGTCAGCCGGTGACGGTATAATTCCTAAAAATACATTCTCACTCATGTCAGCGGAGTTAGGGTGAACTGCATCGTGGAGGTACTTCCATGTCAAAGTAACGCTAGAGGCGATCAATGACAGCTGCCCTCTTTTGCCGCGGGTTGAGGAATGCCTGGCAATACAAAAGCCGGCGTCCGCCTGCGAAACTTGAATGAATCATCTATACTTCGGTTCATAATGGCCCTGCCACTCACCCACGCATGTCTTTGTGTCATCTTAGTCTCGAGTTTCGTTTTGTGGCTTGACAGGCGACTTCGTCGCTTCCCTATGCCTCCCGGTCCGCGTGGGTTTCCTATCATCGGAAATGCTTTGCAAATGCCTCAGGAACGCGAGTGGGTCAAGTTCACTGAATGGGCAAAAACATACGGTAAGTGGTTTAGTGCAAATATCACAGACCGATCTATAGGAATGATGTAATATCTCTAGGCGGCATCTTACATCTTTCCATTTTCAATACACATTTCATTGTCTTGAACGACGCGGAAGTCATAGCCGATTTGCTCGAAAAGAGGAGCGCGATCTACTCTGATAGGCCATTTTTCCCTCTCGCCTGCGATCTGTGCGTCTCCCACCTCCTTTTACGCGATCACCGTTGACAGTATGTGCTAGGATTGGTTATGACAAGTTCATCATATTGGAGCCCTACGGACCCCGCTTACGAGAAGGTCGCAAATTCCTCCTTAACAACTTCAACACGCGCAACATGACCGCCTTTCACACAGTACAGAAGTCCAAAGTATCTCTGTTCTTGCGTAAGATTCTTGAGGATAATGCGAACTTACGTCTGCATGTACGATGGTGAGTACAAGCAGTACTTGTCATGTCTGAAAATGAGATTGTACGTAAACATTTAGGTTGGTCGCTGCCATCGTCTTTCAAGTCTCGCACGGCCGCAACATCACGGATTTCAATGATCCCTTCGTTAAACTTGTTGAAACGACCAATGAAGACTTTGCCCTCTCGGTTAGGCCATTTGTCTATCTAGTCGACAGTCTGCCGTTCCGTGAGGCTCCTGACAGCTGACAGATGTAATGTATCTAACAGAAGTTCTGTTCGCTTTAGTGAAGTATGTACCCGACTGGGTACCCGGGACCGGCTGGAAATCCGTGGTCAAAGAAAGGCGACGCACGCTAGACAGGCTGCGCGACTATCCTTATGAAGTCGTGAAACAACAACTTGTGAATATCATTGCTCGCAATCCTGCGGATATACGTTGACTATTAGTGAACCCAGGCTCAAGGTACAGCGCAGCCCTCGATCACAGCGTCCGTGATAGAAAACAATCCTAACCCGGATCCAAAAGAGGAAGAGCTGCAAAAGACCTCCACGAGCGTCTTGTATTCAGGTAAAATCTGATGCATTGCGAGGGAAATGTTTGCATTAACAACCCCTTGCAGCTGCAGCTGATACAGTAGGAATCGCAGTACCAATTCGATGCCTGAATGCTGACATACATCCAGTCGGTCTCGGCAATCGAATCGTTCTTCTTAATCATGACGCTATATCCAGAAGTGCAAAACAAAGCACAGGTTGAGCTCGATAGCGTCGTCGAGGCCGGAAGACTTCCAGACTATGGCGATAGAGACAAGCTGCCTTACATTGATGCCTTGATCAAGGAAGTTCTGCGGTGGAACCCCGTGCTCCCGCTAGGTGAGACTGATGCGCGCTCGCGTTGACAAAGCTGCTGGGCTCGCAAGCTCATGGACAGCGATGCAGCTCTTCCACATAGTCTTATGGAGGACGACACATATCGAGGCTACCACATACCGAAGGGTGCTACTGTGCTAGCCAACAGCTGGTGAGTGCGTGGCGTTGCTGTATATATCACTGTTCTGATCCATTCCAGGGCCGTGATGCACGACCCTGCGCTCTATCCCGACCCCTTCGAGGTGAAGCCAGAGAGGTATCTGAGCGATCAAGGTGCTCTGAACCCCGACCCTCGGCAGTTCGCCTTCGGTTATGGAAGACGGTCTGTTGTGTTGTCTGATCACCCCTGATTATGTATTGACTGTATATGTCGTGCACGAAGTGTCTGTCCTGGACAGCTACTAGCTGAGGACACGCTCTTTCTTCTGATAGCATCGGTATTGTCAACGATGAACATCACGAAACCGATAGGCTCTGACGGCCTACCTATTGACGTCAACGTCGAATATACCTCCGGGGCTATAAGGCGCGTCTAGAGTCATACGTTTTGCACATGTGCAGGCTTTCTCATCGAACTTTCATGTTTAGCCATCCCGTCTCTGTACAGTGCGGCATCGCCGTACGATCAGTGGAAGCTGAAAAGCTTATCTTGAACAATACATTGAGCAGGGATGGAGAGGCTTGAGACTGACGAATATTGCGCAATACTACCTTGTGCCCTTTATTCCTAATTGATGGTTCAGATCCACAATGTAGTAGATGAGGCATTATACAGTTCACGACGATAGACGCCATCGTGTGGCACATTACCTCAGCGGACTAAAATGTCTCACGCCTTCAGTAGGACATTTGCAAGACACGTAGCGCAGACTCTTCGAATCACCGGGTTTACCAGACTCACCTTGACAGCCAGTGACTGCTGCAGTAACTTGACTTCTCGTTCTGCTCAGTTTAGCGAGATGTCTGGAATGGTAGGACTCGTGTCCATTAGTAAAGTCGCTTTCCCGGAGTAATGATTCAATTTCCACAAAACATGAGTGATTCTCAGCTTCACAACGTACGATGAAGAGCCTGCAATTTCTGGCGCGTCACACACAGTGTGAGTATGACAGCATTATAAGAATATCTTCAGCAAAACGGGGAGTTCGGTTGCAGAGAAATCTCGGCCATTGCCAATGGTTGGACTTCGACGCCAACATGCTCGCTCAGCGGTCTCCACGATGCTGTATAACCGCCCAACTCTCACATGGCATGACTGCATATGATCAATCTAATCCGACTCGAGGAGTGAAATACATTCAATATTCAGGAACAGTGGGGCCGACTACTGAATGACGACAGCTGAGCGCTGAGCAGGAGTGTATTATCAGGTGACAATGACAGTAGTTTGACTCTCCGTGATCAATATTCTACAGCCGCTTTGAACTCGTGTACAAGGCGTGTGGCGTGTTCCGATCGCGGCCTGATATCGCAGGGAAACTGCACCGGATTCCTGCTCGTTATGAGCGTGCATCTCATCTTGGGGCCTCAGGGCACCTACCTCACGAATCCCGACGTGAACTCTACCAGAGGGGTAATTTCATTGCCCCGGTCATCGTATGCCTTTCTGAATCGAACACAGCAACAAGGTTTGCGATCGCGAGCCACAAGTTATCATCTGCAAAGAGTCGTCCTGGACAAGCCCTGTGAAGCGAATTATTCTCAATATATCCTTTGTAGGGGACATAATGAGGTGTTAATTGACTCACCGCCGACCGAAGCCGAACACGAACTTTCGCGGGTCTTCTGCTGTTGCTTCCGGTATACCTCCTTGAGTGAAGTGTTCAGGAATAAACATTTCCGGCTGAGGATAAGCTTCGTGGTTCTGGCTGATCCCCCTGTATCTCCCGTGAGCCACTGATTTCCAAGTGTGATCAGCTGCCTACCAGAGATTTGAAATAATGACAGAACGACCTGGTATGTTGTACCCTCGATAGCGGTCGGCTGTGGAGACTTCGTGCGGAAGACCTAGTGCCTTGCCAAAATTGGTTTACGAACGAAGCTACCATATGTACCAATGAGAATCACGGTGTTCCACCTGGTCAACGGAATGAGAATGAATACAAACCGGATCGCCTAGTAAAGGTTTACCGATATGTTTGTTCAATAACACACTCGAGATAAGGTAATGATTCGCGGTCAAACACATCTGGAAGATTCCCACGGCTGAGCACTTTATCGATTTCCTTTTGCGCTTTTCTCAGAACATGCGGGTGGAGTACCATTGCCAATACAAATGTGTATAGCGTGGCAGAAGTCTGGAACAATGTCAGGTTGACGTTCGGCCATTTCCCGATTCAGACATACTTACTGTGGTCGTTCCCACTATATCCGACCAACAATTTAGTAAAACGCATGGCCGAGTTACAATTGTTTTGGAGCACCTCTATACACCATAGCTGCCATTATCTTGATATCGTCTTCTTCCTCCGCGGAAAGTAGCCCTCGTGCGTTCGCCTCTTCAATACAGGCATGGGTAAAGGACGTTTTTGCCGCACCAGCACTCTGCATTGACAGTCACGAACCGGTCTACCAATGGCTTATTGGAAGATATACATACCATCGCTGCTCGCGCCATCTTGTAAGGACGTTCTCGCGCGTCTATTGTAGCTCGTTTTGCGACATCGGCCTTACTCTTGAACCCCGCCCCTGGAAGCGAAGACGGTATCCAGCGTACTAGATGATCGTGTTATTAGATGAACTCATCAGGGACTGGGTGGAAGGAGACCCACCAATGGGAATATTATCAGGAATTGTCAGGCACGGGTACCCGCCATCACGGCCAATACCATCCATAGTCCGAGCAATCGCTAAGATGGTTTCATCTCTATCCGAGATCTCTACCTTACCGTACACAAGTTCCATAAGGACTCTCCCCACGGATCTGTTGAGGACTTAGCACGGCGCTGATGGACTATCAAATCCTCGAACCGACCTTTTGAGATGAAATTGGACTTCGTGCAGAGTCTCAAGCAGTTCAGTCAGAAAGGCCGCAAGCTTCTGCGTTGAATGGGGTGGTATTGTATGCGGGAGTTCCTGGCGTGGAAGGCCCCAAGAACCCCATCTACTGTGTTTGCGAAATTCCTCCGCCGAGGGTGTGCCTCCCATGTATAATTCTCAGCCTATCCTATTCGGCAGGTTAATGTTCCGCATTAGCACAATTGGGGAGATCACTGGAGTCCATAAAATACATTTCGCTGATGTTTGTGAAACGAGGCTTATCGGAGTACTTTGCGCCTCGTTTCGCCATCAAGTCTCGGGCTCCTTTTTACAAATGTATAATGATAACCGGCTTGGTAAAGAATGATGCGTATATCACGTCCCCTTAGTGGAAGGAACACTGTTTTAAGACACTCTCGAAGCCACGAAATACGCCACTCACCAAATTCTACCCCATTGAGCAAGGGTTCGTTCCAAGTGGTCGTGAGGCAACCGATAGTAGTTTCCGAGCAAGGGTACAGGATTAGGACCTGGGGGAGACGGAAGGTAATGCCTGGATACAACTTGAGTGTACACGAAGTATACCACGAGCAAGACGGCAACGATGACACCCGTATATGCCTCGAGAATGATTGTCGCAGACATGGCCGGAATAGCTACTACTGTAGCATATCGATCGTCCTTATATACACGCTCGGATGAGCATACATTGACGGATTTCGTTATCGAGTACCTGCTGACACGGTCTTCTGGCTTCGGAAGTCGGAGAGGTGCAAATGCTTTGGAGATTCTCATCAGATATATGAAATTACTCTACCAGTGGCTCATCTTCCTCGGTTCATCTAGACACCTTCAGGAGCCGCGCGCCATGCAGTGAGGAGCTGTACATACCGTAACAGAGGGCTAGCCTTGTATATTCACATGGGATATCGGCTGTAGTTGGATGCAGGCATGATTCGACGGGTACTAGCCTTACTACTTCATATTGAACCTGACAAAAGACCCGTACTTCTCTAGTCTCGCTGTACATGCACATTGTGCAGATACGGTGAGATATGTTCATCTGGTGTGGTAATAGCCTTCGATATGAAACATGAGTGAGCGCTCGGGACTATAAGAGCAGCGATTTGACAAGTGAGGTACAACTTTGCTATAATCCTTTCGTCTTCTCGCCATCATGGTCAGTAATATATCCATTTCAGAAACTCGTTGTACACATGTCTGGCTTCATGACTGATGGTCAAATTGAAGCAGCCACTGGCATTGCGTCATGGGGTGCAGAATTTGTCACTGTCTGCGAATGCTAGCGGAAACAGAGAGCGACGGGGGTCGGGGTAGACCTCGGCAAACGGGCAATTATTGAAGTGTTGGCGTGGATTACTTTATATGGCTGCCGCAAACAACGTCTAAGGGGATGACACGTCACGACGAGATGCCGAGCGCCGCTATGCCCCGTGCCGCCTATCTGTAATTTTCGCGAGGGAGGTTTATCGTTATTGGTTTCACTGTAATGGAAGTAGCTCGCAATAACTTGTTATCATGAGCAGTGTGCATAACCAGACGCCAGCACAGACGCCAGCACATATCTAAACTTAGCGGGTAGTTAGTTTCGCCGAATAAATGTGAGAAAGCTAGGAATTGCAGCCGTACAAAAGTCCATCATTTCGACAACTGGAAGGATGTTTAAGTTTGCCCGAGATCCGGGACGAGAAGATGAGTCGTGTTTGTCTGAGCTCCATCACATCCCACACACTGCGTGTGAGCGATTGCCTTCCCGCAGAGGTCTGGACACGATTGCAGAGTAGAATCAACCTTGCGGCAAGGCAGCGCATCAGCGAGACCTCTGGAACCTAGATCTGATGCCGGTTATTTGGCATTACCTCATTAGGTACTCATGTGTAGGTTAGGGTTACATCCTCGAGGACTGCCGAGGCATACCTACTTTGCAAGTCCGATTCACACAAGTTGAATCGCTATCTGACCATTCTCCTGTGAGTAGAACGTAATACACTTCCTTCACCTTGATCTATGCAAGCTCCGGATGTAATTGCATAACTCTGAGCGGCATGGTTTTGCTCCGTTTCTTGAACGCAATCATTCTTGTATTTTGAGTCAGACTTACTATGCTCTCATGCAGTCATCATCATTCGACGAAGGCTGACACTCTCAACGGACACGTCTTAACTTTATCAGTATCATTTGCTTCTATAGTCGCCTGATCAATCAGAATAGGTATTACGAGTCAACTACCTTTGTGTGCTTCGCACATGCAGGGTCCAGTGGCAGAGACTCGCTGGGCACTTGACTACATGGCCACCGGCTAGCACGGACATGACGTGAGTGCGATCACTGTTTCGATTTATCCACCAGCATCCAATAAATGTCTCCCATCTGTACTAGTTCAGCCATGTGACATGTGACGCCGATGAACTACCGGGACCTTGGTTCAGAGCATGAATTGATGCGACCTGGATCCTAGGTATGTGTATGGATATCTGGGGTCTGCGTGAGTCGAAGGAAGTGTATTATGCTCTGCTCACAGGAAACTGACTACGGGTATTCCCTCATAAGCCGCCATCAACCTCTGAACTTCGACATTAATAATGCCGGGCGCACTACCGCGCGGCTTGCATCTTGGCGGGCGTGTCCTATCCTTCCTATCTGGCATATATTTTTTACGAAGATCTTCACTGACGCCAACGGAGTTTAAGTGAATCACGCCGGAACAGAAGGAACTTCCATGCCACGCTCCAAGCGTTGAATGATCACTGAGACATAGCATACGGAACTTGCGCCTTTCAGGTGATCCTATCATCCAGCTCGTTGGGTAAGCGGAGACGTAATGCGCGTCTAGGGTCCTATTTACTCCTCCGGAACCTCGAATTACAGTCAGTGTACCATGGACCTCTCGTCTGTTGCAGACAGCCTTCTGGTTTCCCGCTCTAGGATGGACCCGCCATTCATCTCCGTGTGTCTTTGCGTATTTTTGGTCTCAATAGTTGCTTTGCAACTTGGCAGACGACTACATCGCTTCCCTATGCCTCCCGGTCCGCGTAGGGTTCCAATCATCGGAAATGCCTTGCAGATGCCCCGCGAGCGCGAATGGGTCAAGTTTGCTGAGTGGGCGAAAGCATACGGTAAGCAAATCGATACAAATATTATATGAGTTCGAGAAACGAGCCTATTCATAGGTGGCATCGTCCATCTCTCCGTTTTCAGCACGCATTTCATTGTCTTGAGTGATGCGGGCATCATATCCGAATTGCTCGAGAAGCGGAGTGCTATCTACTCTGATAGACCGTACTTCCCTCTGGCCAGCGGGTTGTACGTCTGTCTGTTTGTCTGTCTCCGGTGTGCGGCATTCATTGACCTTCGTCAGGATTGGTTATGACAAATTTATTATTTTGGAGCCCTACGGGCCCCGCCTACGGGAAGGACGAAAACTCATCCTGAACAACATCAACACGCGTAATGCGGCTATTTTGCACCCAGTACAGGTGTCAAAAATGTTGCTGTTCTTGCGTAAGCTGTTTGAGGATAGCGGCCACCTTCGCTTGCATGTAAGATGGTGAGTACAAATTCTGTTCACTAGTTCAAATACGATGGTGTAAATACGTGTACATGTACAGGCTGGTTGCTGCTGTCATTTTCAAGATATCCCACGGTCGCGACATACAAGACCCTGATGACGCCTTCGTCAAACTCGTCGAAACTACAAATGAAGACTTTGCTCTCTCTGTCAGACCTTTTGTCTATCTAGTCGATAGTCTGCCATTCTGTGAGGCCCCTCACTCGCTGACAGACACGAGATATTGAATTCAAGTTTTGCTCGCTCTAGTGAAGTATGTACCCGAATGGGTACCCGGAACCGGCTGGAAATCTGTGATCAGAGAAAGGCGACGTATGCTACACAAGTTGCGCGACTATCCGTATGAAGTCGTGAAACAACAACTAGTGAATATCATTGTTCGATATCTTACGGATATATGTTGACTAGTAATGCGACTAGGCTCAAGGCACAGCGCAACCCTCGGTCACGGCATCTTTGATAGAAGAAAATCCTAATCCGGATCCGGAAGAGGAGGAGTTGCAAAAGACGTCAACAAGTATCTTGTATTCAGGTGACCATACTTCATACATCGCGAGGAAGATGTTTGCATTCACAACTCCTTGCAGCTGCAGCTGACACAGTAAGCTGATAATTTGGTACCTGGTCCATATCCGAGTGTTGACGAATTCTCAGTCGGTCTCGGCAATCGAATCGTTCTTCTTAATCATGACATTATATCCAGAAGTGCAAAACAAAGCGCAGGCTGAGCTCGATAGCGTCGTCGAGGCCGGAAGACTTCCAGACTATGGCGATAGAGACAAGCTGCCTTACATTGATGCCTTGATCAAGGAAGTTCTGCGGTGGAACCCCGTGCTCCCGCTAGGTGAGACTGATGCGCGCTCGCGTTGACAAAGCTGTCGGGCTCGCAAGCTCATGGACAGCGATGCAGCTCTTCCACATAGTCTTATGGAGGACGACACATATCGAGGCTACCACATACCGAAGGGTGCTACTGTGCTAGCCAACAGCTGGTGAGTGCGTGGCGTCGCTGTATATATCACTGTTCTGATCCATTCCAGGGCCGTGATGCACGACCCTGCGCTCTATCCCGACCCCTTCGAGGTGAAGCCAGAGAGATATCTGAGCGATCAAGGTGCTCTGAACCCCGACCCCCGGCAGTTCGCCTTCGGTTATGGAAGACGGTCTGTTGTGTTGTCTGATCACCCCTGATTATGCATTGACTGTATATGTCGTGCGCGAAGTGTCTGTCCTGGACAGCTACTAGCTGAGGACACGCTCTTTCTTCTGATAGCATCGGTATTGTCAACGATGAACATCACGAAACCGATAGGCTCTGACGGCCTACCTATTGACGTCAACGTCGAATATACCTCCGGGGCCATAAGGTACGTCCACCTGATGTGGCGTACATATACATGAATACTTAGCGGGTTCTATTATCAGCCATCCCACCTCCGTACAGTGTAACGTCACTGTACGATCAGCGGAATCTGAAAGGCTCATTCTCACCAACGCGAGCCGTGATGGAGAGGCTTGAGGCTCTGTGGCCACCTGATATTGTCTCGTACTCCTGAACTGTGAAAGGGCCTGTTCCAAAATGTAGGGAATGAAGGATAGTACAATCTGTGACGTCATCGTTATCAGGAATATCTCCACCGGTCAAAGTGAATTTATCTCACGCTTTCACCGAAACCATGCACACATATGTGCTTCATGAACATGACACAAAACCACGTGAAGATTACGGCATTATTCGATTTTCAGAGGGCCGTCAGCGAAGACCAGCCTCTAATGTATGTTCTCCATTTCTCTTTTTCCAAACGATCATAATGACATTGCACGCCATCGTTCTCATTGCTCATTAAGTACTTCCAGTTCTAGCGAGAATGCATTCAAGCGCGTGCCCCAAATTGTGGGAATAGCACCCGCATACCCCTGGTCTAATTCGCTTCCTCTGTCATCCTCTGGCATGGGACCGTCTATCTTGCTTCTCCCATATCTAAGTTTCTCACCGTCAGCTGTTAGAGCTCTGGGCTCCCTGTTTATGCCAATGTTTCTCGTGGTCTTTAAATACCGTGGCCCTCGGTAGGGCACCTATTTTTCTGCAGAATTTCTCCCTAGACTTGAGTCAGAGATGATTCAGACTCCCGTTTACACAGCACTGTGTTGTTTGCTTGTCCTAGTTGCTGCTCGCCTGCTCGGCAAGCGGTCCTCCCACTTGCCTATGCCTCCTGGACCGCGAGGGCTTCCTGTACTTGGAAATGCTCTTCAAATGCCCCGCGAACGGGAGTGGATTACCTTCGCCAAGTGGGCGAAGACATATGGTACGTTACTTTTGAACACCATAACTGAACTAGAAAATGCATGACCCATGCACCCAGGCGACATCATGCATCTCTCCGTCTTTGGTAGGCATATCATCGTATTGAGCTCCCCAGACGTGATCCTCGACCTGCTGGAGAAGAGGAGTACTATATACTCTGATCGGCCATTTTTTACGATGGCGAGCGAATTGTGCGAAATTTTCCTTTATATGCAGTAGACACGTACGCTGAAGGCGTTATCTAGTATCGGGTTTGACAAGTTCGTTGTAATGGAGCCATACGGAAACCGTCTGAGAGAAGGTCGCAAGCTCATCCAAGGAAACATTAACGCACGAAGCGCGTCAAGGCTGCAGCAGGTGCAAATCTCGAAAGTGTCACAACTCTTGCCCAGAATCTTGAGGGATAACTCCAATCTACGTATGCATATCAGATGGTAAGTAGTACCGCAAACCATGATGTAGCACTCTAGCGCATAAGTCTTGCATGTCCAGGTATGTCGCCGCGGTTATCTTCCAGGTTTCCCATGGCCGCACTATCGACAATTTTGACGACCCCTTTGTCCGACTTGCCGAAGCATCTACGGAAGACTTCGCGCGATCCGTTCGACCGGGCGCATATCTCGTGGACAACTTTCCATTCTGTAAGCATTCGAAAGGGTTCATGTGGTCGTTTCTCATCCCACATGTGTCGATTAGTAAAATATGTCCCCGATTGGGTACCGGGCACGGGATGGAAAGCAGTAGCAAAGCAGCGGAAACATACCTTGGCTCGCCTTCGAGATGAGCCTTTCGAGTATGTCAAACAACAGCTGGTACGATATTCAGCATCTCTAGACAAACTTACAACGATATAACCCTAGCTTCTGCTCTCTCATTGATCAGGCTCAGGGGACGGCACCACCATCAGTGACAGCATCCGTCATAGAAAGTAACCCTAAACCCAATGCCGACGACGCGGAGCTCCAGAGGACCTCAACGGCTATCCTCTATGCTTGTCAGCTGTTTATTACTTGTTGCTCACCATCGTGCTGACCATTCCGTAGCTGCCGCTGATACAGTAAGCAACTCATCTAATGCTTCGTATCATGTCTTGATAATATTGATTGCATGACAGACAGTCTCTGCTTTAGAGTCGTTCTTTCTGATAATGGGACTCTATCCGGAAGTCCAGAAAAAAGCTCAAGCCGAGCTCGACACCGTCGTCGAGGCTGGCAAGCTCCCCGATTACAATGATAGGCCGAATCTGCCCTATGTCAATGCCCTGATCAAGGAGATCTTACGGTGGAATCCAGTATTGCCACTGGGTAAGAACTTAGATGTCGACCGCATTGCGTACTCACGAAGAAGGTGACAGCACTACCACATAGTTTGATGCAAGATGACGAATACAGAGGCTATCACATTCCGAAAGGTTCTACCATATTTGCCAACAGTTGGTAAGACCCAGGATCATTGGCAACTGACCGTTCCTCACGTCGAACGATCAGGGCTGTGATGCACGATCCTTCCCTTTACCCGGATCCTTTCGAGGTCAGGCCGGAGCGGTACCTGAGCCCTAGTGCTGCTCTCAATCCAGACCCGCGGACTTTTGCATTTGGCTATGGGAGACGGTAAGCTCACAGTCTAAAGTGGAGCTCGCCATTTTACGGAGGATGGATCAGCGCCTGCCCTGGGCAAATTCTGGCTGAAGACTCCCTTTTCATTATCGTAGTCCGTGTCCTTTCGACCATGACTATCGAGAGAGCTCTGGGTACAAACAATCTCCCCGTCGAATACACCTCAGGTGCTATCAGGTCCGTCCGCGACACGCAGTGGGTCCGTGAGACTACTAATAGTGAACTTGATCAAATTTAGCCACCCCACGACAATGGACTGCAAAGTCACCGCCCGGTCCACAGATGCTGAGAAGCTGATTCTAGGGGTCGAATAGCGGTAACTGAAAGTGGGGAGTTTGTGATGTCACTATGTACTAGTAGCCATTACCTACCCCTAGAGTGTGATTTACCGACAACCTCTGAGGACACAGCCTTAGCCTCATATCAATGCGAGAAGCTTGGAGTTGTACTGTCTGGCAAGCCCGGTCAAAATCGCATCTGAGCAGATCCAGGGGAATCGTGGTGTATCGGAGCAATTGACGTGCTGTCAGAATTTCCGATAGACCACGTTATGCCCCGCTGTACCTCCCAATTCTGGACTGAAACCGAGGGGCATATCGGAGCCCATTGGTGCAGAACGAAGCTATCTGAATATCCTCGCTACGCTCCGATTGTGCATATATGCTCCGATTGTTAATATACACTCCATTTGTTCAAATACGCTCTGTTTGTTTATATACATGCCGTTGTCCTTAAACAACCCACTGCCCACACCCAGAGATGCTCCACCACTTGCTTTCAGCCTGACCACTTCTCCTTGTCTGCGCTTCCACCAACATCTCGGGCTCGCTGATGTTGCAGCCGAGCAGACACAACATATGGCCTGTCAGGATTGCAGACCCCAGCTCAGTCAATCTACATAGTCACATATTGTCAGCAGAGAACACAAGTAGGACAGGACAGGTAGCGGGACGCACTCTCGCATCTCAGACTGCATGAGGGTGAACTAGTTAATGTCAGCAAGGACATCTATCACTATGCTATTCATTATGCTGCCGTCGACAATGGTGTGCTTGAGGACTGTCTTCAAGTGTAGCCTCATGTTCCGAAGGGTTGTGTGTGCCTGTCCGCGCTAAGCGCCACACAGAAGATGTGGCAAGGAGTATGTACGAATGAGACCTGTGAGGTGTAGCACGGCAAGCAGAGTCAGCTATATCAGACAGGGGGTACTCGCAGCGAGTAGACGCACCAATGAGTATTCCTACCCCACCAGGGGCCCGCCACTGGGAGAGGGAACTGGAGAATGCGAGTACGAACTAGATGCCTTCAATAAGAGGGATGGAGGTGGAAAGAACACTGATCTCGAAAATGGGGTCACTATATGCGCATTAATTTTTAAACATGAGCTGATAACGACTCACGTAAAAGGGATAACGCCTCATGCCTATGCGATTATCTCAGTCAAGGTGTCCATGTACCCCATATACAAGTTCACCCCGCGTGTGGGCACGCGCATGACGCCGCGACATCGCGTCAGGATCTGCGCGACATTGTCGCGCTCCTTGCGTTCCTGATCAGCACTAGATTCGGACCTCTTCATTTAGCCCGAGTACTGTAGTTAATAATGACTCACCGTGCTGCCGCACACTTAGGTTTCTCGACACGAGCTTCGGTCGATGTTTCCATCTCACTGAAGCTCACAAATTCTTCCTTACTGCCCCTTGTACCGTACATATGCTCACCTCCTGTAGAGCGACTGGACGCCATTAGATACAACTTTGCTCGTTCCTCGTTGAGACATGTCTGGCCTATCATATACGATCTACTCACATGGCTGCTGTGACATCAGACGATGAGGATATCGTAGGGGGCTTGTAGTGCGTAGATGCCGTGGTGGGTTTTCCTTGATGCTTACTATATGTCTCTACAAGTAGAGGGATAGGATACTGCCGAGTTTGTGCTTGATTGTGGTAGTAAGAGGGAGAAGAATGTAGAGTGCGCCGCGCGGCCAGAGGATGCAGTCACATGATCAGATCTAGTTCGTGTATGGAGACAAGGTGTCCAGCATATATGACGAATTGTTGTGTCCAGTGGAACTTATGACGTGCATGAAGCATCCGCGTCATGCAATACCGGAGTGTGATCAGACAAAATAGCCGCCATTTTCACTGGGAATGACGTTTGATGTGACGGGCCTAGATAAGGGATGTATCGCTCAGATCTGCACCGCTCTACTCAGTTGGACGAGACAAGCCCCGTTCTGCCTCGTTCCGCTCAGATGCACTTTTGACTGGGTGGCAAGAACTAACCGAAAAAAGGAATTCGTCGCAAATTGAAATTCGCTGCTTAAGACAGAATCACGTGATCTCAGTCGCGTCTGTGGCGAGCGAGACTCGCCGGCTGCTCGCCGTCTCTATTCTATCAACTGAACATCTGTATTTCTGGCCTTGTGATATCCCCTACACGACGCCTCTACCTCAGAGGACTACGGCTTTGCTTACACATGTCGAACATTGCCTTCCTTCAGCCGTACCCGCAACCACAAGAAGGGCAGCCACGAATATCCAAGAACGGCGAGTCGAAGGACCCGGATGTACGTTAATTTCTTGTCTCTTTTTGTGATGCTAATCAGAGTCACAGTTTCTCATACTACGTCTGCTAAATCAACGCTCGCGTGTACGCCTCTCGCCAAGGGACGTGAACCCACAAGACCTCCCCCATGCGACTCAAGCCCGTTTGTTCACCGTCGCCAATACCAAACAATGCTTTGCTGCAGTTATACGTACAGGGGAGGCTGGATATGGTGAGTCTCGCTGTTGCGTGCTGGTTTTGCATTTGTTCACACCAGCACAGGTCTAATATGCTGCCCACTCGCCGAATTGCGTTCTACATTTCTCACCGACTCAGACAGAGAAGGAGAGATCGATTTTGAATCCCAAAAGCATATTCCGCTTGCCGAAAGGCCCGTAATTCTTTCCTTTGCGTGTAAAGAATCGCGCCTGCTCGTTGTCTCTGTCCAGGGCGAGATTTCAGTGTTCGACACTCAGGCGCTCCTCTCTGGGCCGGATTCCAACCAGATCCCTTTGCATACATTCAAGTCTAGCGGCGACATCCCACTCAAGCAAGTGGTTCCCAACCCGGGAGACATACCAGAACTTGTAGCTGTTTATCGCTCAGTTGATGAGGGTTCTCCGCACCTTTCTGTTGAGCTGTATGATATCCAGAACATGAAATCGGTGGGTGGATGGAAACGGGGCAGTACACCGGACACCAATCCTTTTTCTGGTGCGTGTTTCTCGGGTCAGCCTATGGGATATAACTCACGTGGTTCATGTGCAGTAACGTGGTCTCCGAAAGGAAAGCAGCTGGCCATGGGTCTCGAGAATGGTGATATCATTACTTTTGCACCGTCTACACCGTCCGAGCTGAAGAATGTGGTACCAAAACCGCCCGCTCTCGGGGACCAACGTATTGCTTCATCTCATTGGCTCACAAACACGGAATTTTACGCAGAATTCGTGGTCCGCGGCTATATTCCTCCCGAGGACATACCAACCTACAGTCATTATATCGTGACATCTGATCCGAAGGCCCGCACTGCAGGCGACATCAAGCTGAATCCACCGAATTACCCTCTTCCTTGCCTGCGCCCGCATGCACAATTTGTTGTGACGCTGCGCAGCTGGGTCAATGTGCGCATGTTGATTTTCGTGGGCGACAGTGCATCGTCAGACATAGGTTTACTTGGCTGTCTAAACGACTCAACTGCTATCGAGCAATGGTGCCACCTGCCGCTGGATGAAATGTCGACTCCTACTGTGCCTATGAGTATGGAAATGGACGATACTATCCTAGTTGGCTTAGAACTCGACCTAACCAACACTGAGCCCTATCTGCACATCACGCCAGCGGGTGATTCTGTGGAAGTACCCCCACCTCCGATCTTGTACGTGTACGCAAGCGATGGGACGGTTCTGGCTTGGCAGATTGTCAATACGGCTGGAGTTCCTTACCCAGGGATGTTGAACGCATCTTCCGCTGCACAGGAATCATCGCAAATAGGGCAACAGCATTTACAGTCCGCACCGGAGGCGCCCAAACCCAGTCCCTTCGGCTCTACTCCGGCGGCCTTCAGTACGACAGTGCCATCTTCAAGCGGCGGTGCGTTCAGTGCTTTCGCAAATGCTCCGAGCAAGTTCGGGCAAACTGCATTCAGCTCGTCAGCATCCATCTCGCCTACTCCAGCCCCACAAGCCTCAGCCTCCAGCATCACTGACGACGCGATGGATTCTGAGTTTATCGCTGATGCTGGGCTGGGGGGAATGTCTCTAGGCGGTGGTGACGACAATGGAAAGAAGCCGTCGGGGCAAGGATCCTCGGGGATGTTTGGATCGTTTGCTGCAGTGTCGCCGCCCGCTCAGGGCTCGACAACCAGTGGTACAGGATCTGCTTTCGCACCATCCTCTCAATCGGCGTTCAATGGCCTCAAACCTGCCGTAGGGTTCGGTGCTTTTGTCAACCAGACGTCGAACAACCCTTCCATCTTCACTTCTGGCAGCTCAGCGTTCTCTTCCACCCCAGCACCGGCGACGACGTCCGACTTGAAGCCAGCCTCAGGGTTCGGTCAGCCTGCTTTCGGGCAGCAGTCAGCTCTCGGCAAACCCGGCTTCTCGCAGCCAGCATTTGGACAATCGGGATTCGCGAAGTCTACTACTGCGCAACCTGCTTTTGGGCAGACCGGATTTGGGCAGCCTGCTCTTGGGCAATCTGCTTTCAGCCAATCACCACCTGCACAATCTGCCTTCAGCCAACCAGCACCCGCACAGTCGGCGTTCGGGCAGCCGGCGTTCGGTCAGCCAGCATTTGGTCGGTCAGGATTCGCGACGGCCGCCAATCCGCCAACTCAATCAGCAGGCGCTGCTGGACCTTCTAGCGTGGGATTCAGCGCATTCGCTCAATCACCTGCTAGTGGTTTCGCCAGCTTTGCAGCGAAAGCAGACGCCAAACCGGTGTGGGCCACGTCTTCTGGCGGTGATTCCGCGATGGACGACAAGGACAGTGGGCAGAAAACCCAGTTCTCGACGAGTGCACCGGCGCTAAGCGCGGCCGAACAGATCGCGAGGGTCCCGTCGGAAACGATGGACAGCACTTCAGAGCCTGCGGCGGCTCTCGCACCCGCCACTCCATCGACAGGAGCCTTCGGACAACTGAAGACAACGCCGTCTGCATTTGGTCAATCCGTGTTCGGTCAATCCGCCTTTGGCAAACCGGCGTTTGGCCAGCCTGCCTTTGGCCAACCTGCTTTCGCACAACCTGTTACCGGACCGCAGACGAGTCAACCCACACCTGGGACAGGAGTAGGTAGCACGAACGTTGCGACTGGCAGCGCATTCGCGGCATATGCTCAATCCGGAGCAAGTTTTAGTAGCGCATCATCTCAGCCGGCCGCGAAGCCTGTGTGGTCAGCCTCAACCAGCACGGGGGATCAGCCCAGTGCCAAGAGCAGTGAGACTACCAGAGAAGACGCAAAGTCTACTGCCGGAATCAACAACGCCACGCAAGAGGGCAAGAGAGCAGAATCCCAGGCGAGGGACACGCCCGACACAACGAAGCCTAGCCAGAGCGGCAGTTCTGCGCCGACTGGGACGGGTGCTTTTAGCCAGCTCAAGACATCGCCCTATGGATTTTCTCATATTGGCGCAGGATTTGGTGCTTTTGGTGCGATCGACACGTCTTCATCCTTCTTCAAGGCAGCAAAAGCACCAAGCAGCTCTCCAGCAGGCTCTACGGCCCCAGCGTTGGCTCTTGCATCCACCACTCCACCTAGCACGCCACCGAAAGCTCCTGCTGATGCCGCCAAGCCGACTTTCGGCTCACCTTCGCCACTTGGTGCAGCACGATCCGTGTTCGGGCCTAGTGCCGCACCCCCTCGTCCGGAAGTGATACCTGTGGTCAAAAGTGCGTTTGCCGCTTTCAGCGGTACTAACGTCGGCTTTGGAAGTGCTCCTAGTTCAGGCAAATCTTTCGGTGACATGTTGAGAGAAAAGACAGAAGTGCTCCAGGACGAGAAGAGTAATTCAGCGTCCGCTTCCACAGCTAAATCCAACGCCCCTGTGTCGTTCTTTGCTCAGCGAGAGGCACAACGTAAGTGCTCGTATGGATCTATGCGCCACGATATATTAACAGATCACTATTGTAGTGCGTGACAAGGGTAAAGAACGTGAAGCTGAACCTTGGCGGCGCGAAGCTGATTACGAACATGCTTTGGAACAACTGGAAGGGGATGGTGATGATGATGACGACGACGACGATGTCATCTCATTTTTGTCCCACTCTTCCGTTGACGGAGAAGGCAGTGAAGAAGACGAGGAAGAGGAAGACGATGAGGACCATGATGGCACGGAAGAAACTGTGGAGGTTTCCAGTGTGCCACAAGCAGTCGTGACCTCGACGGAAGAAGAAAAAATATCGCCTACTCCAGCGACTTCAACACCGTCTATGACATCATCGTCATCGCTCACGAAACCCGCTGGCACTACACCTCCCGGTAATCCGACTGTCGCTAAAGGCACACTTCCCATAATCGCCCCATCATCTCCTGCTCCCGTAGCGCCCTCGCTTGGTCTTGGGAGACCTTCCACACGTCCCGCAAGGAGTTCGCCTCTAGCAAGCCAGCCCATCAATGGCGATGAAGACACCGATGATACAGGTGCGACGTCAGATGCGTCCGGAAGTCAACGATTTGTTGACCCTGCCCCGATACATGTTCCCGTAACGGCGGCTTCAGATAAGGCGCCCACCCAGTCAGTTTTCACACCACAACCGAAACCAGGCCCGGCGGGTCGAGCGCCGTTACAGTCACCTTCGCCATCCCTGAGTTTATTTCCAGGGCCTCAGATGCCACCGCTACTGCCCGGTGGTGATCGTGTCCCACAAGCACAACCGAATATCACGCCAACAGCACCAGTGGTAGAAGAAGGCATGCAAATGGAATGCATGCGTCTCTTCAGCACGCTTGCCAGAGAGATGGAGAAGGTAAACCACACGTCCCACCTTCGTAAAAGCCCAATATACTAACACGCTAGCCAGGTCAACAGTGAGGCACAACAAGCAGCCAAACTCAGGGTGTTACAGTACCAGCCAGGATCTGGATCACGCACGATGGCTGATCTTAACGAACCCAAAAAATGGACTTTGGCCGATACGAGTCGGCTGAAACTTATCGGCGATTCACTAGAGAAGCAGCTGTCTGCGCTCCGCAATGAGTACACTACACTTATGGAGGGCATTCATGAGCTTGAAAGCCAGTTCCTGAGAGGTGAGTGTTGAAGATGCTTCATGGTCTGATATCTAAGTGTACGCCACCAGCGAGTATGCGAAAAGAAGAGATAGTTCGATTCAGTAAAGCATCGATGGATGCCGAGTTCGCACGGATGCTCAAGGCTAGGACGCTGGGTCCTGAACATCTCGAAACGCAGAGTCATTTGCGCAGGGACATAAGGGTACGCGTGCTATCGACAAGCTGTCATCGATTTTCCTTAAAAATGTCGTTCAGAATTTACGTGAGAAAATACAGCAACTTGAAGAGCAAGTTGAGGCCGCAAAAAAGCGGCTCTCTCGGTTAAAGACTGGCAAGGCCGCCGTAATGTAGGTCATCACGCACAGCGTTGCAGTGTGCATACTCAATGAGCATTCCCAGGGCGCCTTCTCTGGACACCATTAACAGGATCTGTCGCAACATTGATGTCGCTATAGAGCAACAGCGAGAGAAGGTCACCGGCTTGAGCACCCGAAGTGCTAAGGTGAACCCACAACCCCGGCAAATCACACCATCGCCGGGCGAGAAATCACTTGAGAAGTCGCCAGCTAGCCATTCCGGCACGACGCCGAATGTCGCCACATCCACTGCAGCTGCCTTGAACGCGGAGATGTCGGCAAGCAAGCTGAAGAGGGCCTTGTTGAAGGTTCGCAAACAACCCTTGTTGAACACCCAGGCCGCCACGACAAAGCCACGCCATGTGGACTATACACCTCAGACGCCTGTGAGGACCCCTGCAGGCCAGCCGTCCTTGTTTGCTGGACTCACTCCCTTCACCCCTGGGCAATCGAGTACCCCAATTGCCATCCCCATTTCAACTACTCCGGCTGCCACTCCTACCCCGACCGCTCCAGATTCCTTCCCTGCCCCGACTGAGACAGACTTCCCATTCTCACCCTCTAGCCCAGAGGAAGATTACGGAGCAGGAACAAGACGACGAACCACGAATAGCAGATACCACGCGAAGCCAGTCCAATTCAAAAAATCGTCGACAAGTCCTAGCCCTGCGGCGAAATTCGAATGGGGTCCGCTGCCGAGTTTCGCATCGACCACGCCGCAGAAGACATTGCCCGTAGATCTCAGACCGAAAGCTCCTATGCAGCCTACAACACCTACAACACCCACACCTTCATTGTCTAGCTCTTGGGTGGTGGATGATTTTGGTTCGAAATAAGTTAGTCTTGGCTTGCAACATTGCTTTCTTCATCATGTATTTCGCTTTGATTTGGCTCGCTGAGGGCATGTATAATTCATGCCGTGTACGATGCAAATATAGAGAATCGGGACAAACGTACCGGGAACGGCAATGCAACAGAATGGATACGTGTGCAGTAAGATTCGAGATAGCATAATAACTTAGCATGACAGGCAGCCGAGCAAATCGACGATATCAGTAACCGCCTCTGTCGTCTGATCCTCTGTGTGACGCCATCTGGCGCCGCTGGGTATCCTCCAATTTCGGGCAATTCGAGATACCATGGCCGAGACCTAGACAGAATGTTACCCTTCGGACGAATGACAAGAGCTGAGCGGACATACCTCCGCAGACTGGGCAGCCTTTGAGGGATCCACCCTGCGCCGCCCGAGGATCTTCGATGCTCTGCAGGAATGGTGGAACCCTGCAATGTGCATGTCAATTCGCGTTCCAGTAACTTATGCAACCTCTCTATAATCGCTCACTTTTGACCGGCTTCCATCAAGAGATACTTCAGGTCCAGTAACGTTTGCTCCGGCGTGTTCATGTTCACGAACGTCGTCGCGATTCCGGTCTTGCCACTGCGTCCTGTACGTCCGATCTGGTGCACGTAATCCTCGATCTCCTTCGGCATGGAGAAGATGATTACGTGCTGAATATCGTTGAAATCGAGACCCTTCGAAGCGACGCCGGACGCGACCATAACGTCTTTGGCGCCAGATTTGAACGACTTGATCGCATACTGACGTTCCTCTTGTGCTACAGGCACAGTTCTCAGATCCTTTGAAATATTCTTTCATCACATGGAAACTCACATTTCGAGCCGTGAATTGCGACGGCTTCCACTCCTTTGAGTAAGAGGTATTCTTGAATATCTGGAAGGAATGAGAACTGCTTTCACTATGGAGCGTGAACGGTATACTTACCATCCACCTCATTCTTGTTCTCGCTGAATATGATCACAGGCGGAGGCGTCTTCTGCAGACATTCAAGCAGATACACCATTTTGGCTTCCTGCTTGACGTACTCTACCACCTGCAACACATCCAAATTCGCAGCACCCGCGCGTCCGACATTAACGAGGATAGGTTTCACGAGAGACTGCTGTGCAAAATCCTGGATCTTCCTTGGCATCGTCGCAGAGAACAGCAGCGTTTGTCGTTGGCGCTGTGAACCTGATGAGATTTATACACACAACAGGGATAGGGGGAAAGGTTTACCTTGAAGTAACTCATGATATTCCGCACGTCATCTTCGAAGCCTAAATCGACCATGCGATCGGCCTCGTCCATACACAGATACCGACAATTGTCGAACGTGAACCGCCGCTTCTCGAGCATGTCGATTAGCCGGCCAGGCGTCGCGACGACGACGTGCAATCCCTTGTTCAACACGTGGCTCTGGTCACTCATCGAGATGCCGCCAATGCACAGCAGCACGTTTAGCTGAGGGTATGCGCCGTCGCGCGCCAGGGCGTTCGTCCATACGACTACATTCTCGTATGTCTGCGTTGCCAGCTCGCGCGAGGGGCAGAGGATAACGCCAACGGGACCCTCACCACGCACGAAGGGCAGCTTGGACTCCTCTTCGAGCGCGAACATCATCATCGGCAGACAGAATGCGAGCGTCTTGCCTGAACCCGTAAATGCAATGCCTATCATGTCACGACCGGAGAAGCTACAAAGGGTCAGCACACAGGCTGAGGGGTATCATGAAGGTACTCACGCCGTGGGGATGCCTTGTAACTGAATGGGAGTGGGTGTTGTAATCCGTTTGGACTTAAGGAACTTGACAAGAACTGCCGGGACTTTCATGTCCTGCACAAATAAAAAAAGGAACAGCGGAAGGCATAACGATTTACATACGGTGAAGTTCTCAATGGGGGCCGGGATGTCCTCGCCATCGACCAGAATATGATACTTGTCACGTATTCGTGTATTCTCCTCTTCGCTTCTTTCGCGAACGAACTTCGGTGGTCGCCATCTGTGCCAAAAGTCAGTACAGAACACAGCCTAGACAACTACGACGTACGATGACTTCATCGAGTCCGTATATGAGACGCCCTTGGCCAACTCCAGGTCAGATGCTAGCTTCTTCCGACTAGCAATGGCAGCAAGAATTTCTGCATCGGCCTCCTCCGCCTTTTCAACATCGGTCTTCTTCGAATCTACGCACATGAGTCACCATAAGCACAAAATGTACTTTGTGGACGCACCCTCTGCGGCCTTCTTCTCGTGCACTTCCTGCGCTTCCATCAAGAGCGTCCGCTCCTTCCTGGCTTTCTCCCTCCGCCGCTCTTCCTCTCGCTCCTCATCCTCGCGCTCGTCTTGCTCGTCTTCTGGACTTTGATTTTTGGTCTTGTCCACACCCCACGAGGTGAGCTTTGCGAGCTTTGCTTGACGCCGCTGAGTTACAGGAATGTACGGCTCGTAGGAGTCGTCCTCGTTGTCTAACTTGTAGACCGGCGAAGGAGATCTCTGAACGCGTCGCCGTTTTGGTGCAGATTCTTCAGACATATTCAACACAGATGTGTTCGTATCTAGGTCAGACCAAGTCGAAAAGAGTGCGCAGCAGAGACAAGACCGACTTGAGACAGACCCGGTCCAAAGGTTATTGATTAAGCGCTCGCCATACTAAACACGTGCTTAGATAGTGTTCAAGCGCCCAGCCCCACTTCGAGCGCTGCCACAATCTAGCCACAATAGTTATAATCTCCTCCACAACGCAGCTAGTGCTCGAAGATAATATCGGCAAGCCCTCATAATCACATTGTTTACTTTCACAAGCGCTCACAGAATCAACATGTTGGAACTTGGGATTGTGGAGAGGGCATGCCACCGTGTTTGGCATTGCTTGTAGTACCTCGCAGACTTTGCGCGAGCCGCTCTGTATGATCCTTACGCGTTTGACAGAGCTCAGACAAACGCATATATCTTCGTTGATCGTTCTCGCTTCGGATTGCGGACGAACTTTAACACAAAGTATTTGTGAGGCACATAATGAACTATAGGACAGCTATCCACTGTTATAAAGGGTTTAATGGTCTCCTGACTCGGAGCACGCATCGCTTTAGTCCTTTCTCTCGCTTCAATGAATTATGGGGGAACATTGACATGCTACATATATCACAAGCTCTCGTGAATGCGGTAGGCGCGTTGACATTGATAAACGAGCATGGTCTACATGTATACACCACGCTGCTGGCCGTACGCCCCCGCAGGTTGACCATATGCAGGCTGGTAGTACGCGACCACCAAGCGCCAAGGCTGCCGCTTCACGTCCTTCCGCCCCTCTCGCCTTTGCTCCCGCTGCTTCTTGCGCTCGTCCTTCGTGTGCTTCCTGTGCTCCTTGCGTCTGTCATGCTCGCGCTTACGACGCTCCTTACGCCGGCTGTTGTCCGAGCTACAACTCGAGCTACTGCTGCTTGACTCAGAGCCGCTGTTCAACCCCAAGTCGTCGCGGCTGCGGTACGCGCGCGAAACCTCGTGCTGGCCGATATCGGGCGGTGGCACGTCAGGCCCGCTGTAGCTCATGGGACCCTGTGCGAGCACCACGTTCATGTGCCGCGGGTGAAAGAATTGCTACGTGCAGATGTCAGCGTTCTGTGGGGAAGCAGAGGTGAAATACCGACGTTGTTCCATCTGTCAATCAGCTCTCCAGCAACACCGCTCTTTCCAGCTATCTGGCGCTTCTGAATGCCCCGCGACACGAGCAAGCCCGGCGATAGGTAGCGTCAACTACCATTGGTGACAGCCATGCACACATATACATACCGACACCGAAGCTGACGCCCAACGCAAGCGGCGCGACGTTCGACACGCTCCTGTCCGTCGTCGACAGCGCCGCAGCCTCCTTCACGTCATTCAAGAACCGCGTCCAGTCCTCCTTGTGTACATCGTGCGTCGCGAACGGATGCGGCTCGCCTCCCGGCGGCGGCGGGGGCACCTTTGGGAAGCCCTTGCTGAGGTCGCTACCAGCAGTCCTGAGCGCGACGGGAGGAAAAGGCGGGTACGGAAGGCCCGGCGGTGGCGCACGCTGGAAGGACGGCGGCGGAGTGTTTATCAGGTTCCTTGTGCCACTGCCGCTACTCGAGCTTGTCGCTTGACTGCCCAGTTCTGAATAGTTAGCGGCTATTCTGGCCTGTGTCGGCGGCCTAGCATGAGCGGTGGGCGCATAGGCGCGCGGGTCCCGCATTGGCTACTGGGGCTGGCGGTAGCCTGACGGGCTCTCATAGCGCACGTCCCCAGAGGGGCGCGTGGGTTCCACCATGTGCGTAGACGGACGTTCCTGGTCGTATGACTGGCGATTGTACCCCCGACCGTCTGGGCCTGCGTCAGACGAGCTCTCATCGCGACAGGGATCGTAATCGCGAGTCGCATATTGACCATACGTCGCACGACCTGGGTCGTTTAGCGTATACGGCCTTCCTTGCGGTGGTGCGTATGATGTATTCTCGTACGACGGCCCTCTCTGACCTGCATGATGCTACAAGTATATTAGCTGTCGTCAGCCTGAGTCTAGTACCGAATTCCGACTACATACCTGCTCATAAGGTGGCGGGGGTGCAGGATCCTTGTCCTCGGCGGCGCTGTAGTTCTGTGCATGGTCGAGTTCCCTCTGTTCTTCATCCTGGTAATATTGGTGGTCACCCTTCTCGGGGGTGCCCTGGTCGTTGGAAGACATAGTTAGGGAGATGTTTTCGAGGCCAGAACAAAAACTGACTTTTTTTGGAGTCTGTACCCCTATCTGAACTAGTACTGCCACAAGCCCCAGACCCGCTGACTCTGTGACTGCGGACCGCAGCGAAAGCTCGTCTATTTCATCTCGGTGACCTCAAGAGGAGATCGATCTGCACGCATTAACGTGTCTCGGCGATGCCCAATCATGCCTTACTCTGTCTTACGCGTCGGGTTACCATTTTAGGTAATATCGATACGGGACTGCTCCAAGCCACTTGCTATATATGGTCATGGTCCCAGCCACCTAAGGAAGCTAGCCATTCGCATTAACCTCACTCAAACATTCATCAGATTGGCTTATATTGTGGCTATGACATACCTTGCCACAGACATGAGATCGAAATACCTGTACTTTACTTTCTATAGGTGGGTGGCCAACTTCATTAGGTGACTGAGCTCAGGTCTATATATAGCAATTCGCGTTGCTAACCATATATGGACATAAACGACAGTCAGTCCATATTTAGTATGGTGTGCCGAATTCACCGAACCGTCGCCTTATGTCTCAAAAAGGAAATCGCAGCTGCAGTGTCGACTTTGTGAATATGAGATCTGTAGCTATATGATTTGATATTTTCTTGAATATACCTTGATCATGCTATAGGCGTACATGATCGAGCTGCCAGGGATGCGGCCCCAGATTCTGGGCCCAATCCCGCTTACTAAGCGGTCAGTTTCCTTGGTGGCATTGCCCGTCCCCACTCACTGCAAGTTAACCATGTCAATTCGTACAACATCTAAACATAACTTCTAGTGCACTTTGGCATCCCGTACGCTCGGGTTCTGCGCTCGTCTCTATTCCTTAGCTGTTCGTGGGGTCGACATCTTTCCCTGTAGGCGCATCCGCGCTGAGCGGCGTGCTCTCCGCAACATCCAGGTAGTGCACTTCCGAGCAACCGCGCAAACGTGCAGCCGCTTGTTCAGGCGTGAGATCTCGCTGAGGCTCTGCCATGAGCTCGAACCTGTGCATACAGTCATTAGGCCCTATACACTGCATGAGAAAAGAGTCGCCTACCCGACAAGGAACTTGCGCACACTCGCACTTCGAAGCAGAGGTGGGGCGAAGTGCAAATGCAGGTGCGCCACATCGTTCTCGTCGCTGCTGTCATTCGCACGCGGCACGGGGCGTTGATGTAAACCCATGGAGTATGCGAACGAGCACGAGAAGAGGTTGTCATAACGCTTGGTGACCCGCGACAGAAGATCCGCGAACGCGCTCGTCTCCTCTGGCGTGAGGTCCGTGATGGAAGAAATGTGACGGCGGTAGGGGAGCACTGACGAGAGCATGAGCGGCTGGCGCAGGTTAGTGATAATGTCAGAGTCTACGCACAGAGGATCTCGAACGGCCAGATAGCCCACCAGGGGACGAGCGCGAGCCAGTGGTCGTTCTGGACCACGACGCGGCCCTCTTCTGGGCCGACGCTTGCCTCAAAGTGGGCATACTCGCACAGCATACACGGACAGTCATGAGGACCGCGCGGCGCACCAGATGGTGCGACGTCGGATCCTGCGTACCGCTTGAGATTCGCAAGCTCGGTAGCGGGGAGCGACGGAACCGTGGATAGCGACCAAACCTGCCCATGCGGGTGGGGATTAGAGCACCCCATCATGGCGCCTTTGTTCTGTGTCGCCGGTAAGCAAGGGATTGCCAAGGCATACACGACGCACCTCGAAAATCTGCACATAATTGATTCCCTCCTGCGCACCGCGCTTGCGGTAAACCTCGCACCACTCCCCGATTATACGCTCGATGTCAGGAAGAGAGAGGCGTGCCAGCGTCAAGTCGTGTCGGGGGTGGAAGATGAGCACATCGCAGCCGCCTTGTACAGGCTGGGTGGTGAGTAGCGGGTGGGGCGCAGGCGGCGCGGCAGGGCCGGGCGGAGGAAGTACGGCAGCATAGTCATTCTCGAAGACCATGGTGTGCTCATACGCAGCGTTAAGTTGCCCACCGGCGCGCGCATTGCCGGGGCAGAGGTAGCACTTCGGATCGTACTCTGGGAGATTTACGGATTGCGGCGGCTCCGTCTGACCGAGCCATGGCCGCTTTGTACGATGTGGGGAGACGAGGACGTGCTCGTTCGTGAGGGGGTTTACTGTGTGCGGTCAGGAGGGCTCCGGAGGCGCAGACGCAGGGACTCACGTCGGCGGTGGGGGTGGGTACTCGGGTCGAACTGAGTCTCAGCCATTGGTGGTGGTTGTGGGCCAAGAGACACAGGGAACTGGTGCGAGAGCCATGGCGAGCCGGGACTCGATGGCTCAACAATGTCCGTCGGCACCCCGGCCCGCCCTGGCCGATCGATCGTCGGTCCCTGTCGGTTCTATTCAGCCGTTGACGTCAACTGCAGCGACAATCATTACTAGCTACCATATTTGTTCAAAATATCACAGGTACTGGTTCTCTCACCTCGTGTTGGCCTATCACAATGAACGGTAGGTATTTGACCGCATCTACGCGAACTTGAGCTCAATTGTGTGATCTTAATGTCCGGTAGAGAGCAATCGAGAGCAGTCCTCGAACTTTTTTCTAGCTATATAACATGATTATCCCTTTTCATCTCGGTAAGTGATGTCAATCCCCGACACTCACACAAACGGGTCGCTCTATGCCGAACATCCGATCCGAATCTCCGTTGCAATGCGCAAAGCTTGAAAGATGTAGAATGACGAAGCGACCTCCGTTATTCGGACAAAGGAATGCACGAGATCTATGCCCGTACCGCACACTCTAATGAAGATACGGGGGGCCTCAAACAATCTTTTTGACGGGAGCGGGGTCATCAAGCTCGTTTCTCATGCGGGATGCATACCTCGGCCTCCCATCCCGCGATCACAGCTTCCGTTGAATCAGAGATCAGACGAACAAGGGAGCAGAGCTGCGCCACTTCCACAGCAACGGGCATGCTGCAGAAAGCATCAATAGCTGGATTTCTGTGGGTTGACAGCCTAAAAGACGCAGCGGAGGTTGCGCTTGTTTTATCGCAGATGTGAATGACTAGCGTCCGGGTGGAGGACGTTAGCGTCCTCACTCTGAGGGGCTACTACGCCCTAGTAGAGAGTCCGTTACACCTGGGTCATTAGCAGGCAACAATAAAAAGGAAATGTAGATGGTTATGTCAAACTTAGCGCCCCGGCCTGCAGTTGGGGAGAACACAGTTTGCTTGTAATGCTTTTGGAGGCTGCTGTGTGGTTATACGGTTCCAAAAGTATGTAATCACATGGTTTACATCTTGTCAATTGGCACAAATGAAGCGCAGAAGGGCAGATGCACTGAGTAATCAGAAGAGGAGCTTACACCGCAGCGGCTGCGATCAGCTGTGCCGCATTCTCCGAGCGAGGCTTTATATCGGACATGTAGTCTTCGAAATGGCTGCAATCATGTGTGGCAGTGCAAAAGAAAGTCACAGGCAGAACGACACACCTTATAAACCCGGAGGTACTCTCCACTCTCGGCTCGATCTCGCTTCCGGCACTGTCTCGAGCTTTACCAATGTCCAGCGTAGCTACCATGTTTGCGATGGCCAACCATATGTTCGCATCCGCCAGTAAACGGCCGGGACAAATCCTATATAGGCAAACAGTGGATCAACACTTATGTATGCTCATCAAACGATAAACGAACCGTCGACCAAAGCCAAAAATAAACTTTCGAGGATCCGTTTGTGGGATCGACCCTGCCCTCGCATGTTCGAATCTCTCGGGGTAGAAGGTTTCAGGGTCTGGATATCGCTCAGGATCTCGACTGATAGCCCTGCGTCATTTGTCGGCGGACATGTCGTACAAGTACAAAATCTAGAAGAATACCATAGGTTTGGGATGATAACGGTCTTTCCGGGGATATCGAAGCCTCTAACTTTGTCGTCTATTGTTGACTGGTGGGGAACACCTGTTCTTTTGTCAGTCGCGTGGCCCGTGGTGGTCCTAAGTATGTGTTACCGAGTGGAGCGACAACATGCCATCTGTGGATGACACATCTCAGCGAAAAGTGAGGCATATTCCGAGCTGAGGGCGTACCGATATACTTCCTTGATAATGCACTCCAAATAAGGTAGTGAATTGCGATCACTAAAGTCTGGAAGACGGTCTTGATTGACGACGTAGTCCATTTCTTCCTGTGCCTTCTTGAGCACCCGAGGATTAAGCACCATTGCTAGGACGAATGCGGATAGGGTTGAGACTGTCTGCAGGGTTGTTAGGTGTTGCCATAATCTCTTGCGCCGACGCTTACAGTATCCATGCCGCCTGGACAGGAAGTCTATGTCAAAGAGAACGCTTTCATGTACGAAGGGAGTGCGCACCTCCATAGACTAGAGTAGCCATGTCCTTGATGTCTTCTTCTTCTTGTAGAGTGAGAAGATTTGTGCGCACAGCCTCTTCTACCAGAGTTGAAGTGAACGATGAGGGTGCAGTGCCAGCTGCCTGGGACAGCCAAGAGTTCTGTACACATGTACAATTTGAGACACAGTGATACTCACCATAGTCTTTCGGACGTAATCATAGGGATCAGCTCGCATTTTCCGCACCAGGTCTTTGAAACGTTCCGATTCCTTCCTGTACTTTCCGAACGGCAACCAAGTAGGCACGTATTTGACTGAGTGGATTATAGTTTGGTGAACAACCAATCCCTACCTCTATTCACTAGTCGTGAACACTTACGGAACGGAAGCCAGTCTGGAGGCGATAGGCTGGGATATCCGGCATGAGCGACCTCTTCCATGACTTCAGAACCATATTTGAGGAATTTATCGTCCGCTGAAGTCACAGTATAACCGTACACCACTTCCATTAGGATGGCACCAATAAATCTGTGCGACAATCAGCTGCGAGTACTATCGAATTTATAAGTATGAGTGGTAGGCACACACCGATTCAAGTGTTGCTCAAATTGACTGGAACTGCCGCTCATGCCGTCTAATAGAACGCGCACCTCCCTTAGCTGTATCGGGCGATATTTGACAAGGGAGTTATGAGCGAGAAACGCGCTCTGTAGCCACTTTCGGTGCTTGCGGAAGTCCTCGCTTGATGCGGCATACCCTAGGTGAGATGTCCATTGCATCCTGTCAGCTGTCAGTGGTTACCCCATCGACATCGAAGTCGGAGACCTACATCTCTTGCATGTGAACAAGACGTGGCCTGTCAGAATAGTGCATGCTTCTCTTTTCCATGATCTCCTGTGCAACATCGAGGGAGCTGACAATCAGCACGCGCGTTCGGAAGAACGATACGTAGACGAGCTTTCCTGTGATAAACAGGTTCAGCGAAACGAAGAGTAAAAAGCTCTACACTGACCGAAAACCACCGCCCAATCACTCATGGTCTTCTCCTTGTGACCATCCGGGAGCTGATAAACATTTCCTAGCAGGGGAAGAGGACTAGGGCCAGGCGGATGATGAACGCGGGACCAGCAACGGATCCATCGTGCATACACAAAATGCGAGACGATCGAGACGAATACGAAGGCATAAAGGGCTCTCTCAGCAAGAGATACAGTGAGCATCTGTCCCCGATGAAAGCGAATGCGCAGCTGGGGGACCCCGCAACGATATGTCCGATACTTATTTATATGGCCCAAGGTAAGGTTCACTGTCGACAGATGCAAGCATGCTCCACAGAAGTGGCTTACTTTAAAGTTTCTCCTCGCTGGAAGCTCAGAGACAGTACAGGTCAAACAGCTGACTGATTCGCGGAGATAGCGATATGGAAGACACCCCATCCGGACAATATGCACATAAGTGGACACCTGAAGGGGCCATGCACAGACTAGAAGAGGTTCGGGTGCAAAGGGACGTCACCACGACATAATTGAGTACACTGTCTATTAGTGGAAAGCACTAAGCTGACCTGAGCGAGGGCCAATACACGCCTGCCCAAACCACGAGAACTCTCTATTTCATGTGCCTGAGCGGAAGGAGCGGCAGTTCTATGCCGATAGGCAACCCTTAAAGAAGACCATAACGCGATTTATGGTATCACAATGGTGCTGAGTGGTACTGTGCTACCTTATGCACTGCACGTCTTCATTGAAGCGATGGCATTGATTGTGGCTGTGGTGCGAAGCAGATATCAGACGTCCTATCCCGATGGCGTTCGATCGAGGATGCCGCAGAATATTGAATGTCATTATCGCACTCGCATCGACGCGCCACTTCATTTTTATGAGTAACGTACGTGCCTGCCAGGATTTCCGCCTATGGACGTCAGCGAGGCGCGTGTCAAATTTCGCGTGAACAGATTGCGGACTGTTGGAATAAGACATGCATCACGTTCGTCAGCTCTTGAAATTTTTCGAGAAACCGATGGCTTGAACCGGCATCACATTTGCCAGACCTAAATGTACATGTACTTTTTTATCAAATCAAAAGTGGAGCCTAGACCGCAATGTGAGAGATAGTATGCACTGACCGGATTCTCCACCCTAGTGTTTACCGTTCTTTCTACCGCAACCTAGGAAGGCTGGCCTGTCCAGCTCACGTCACGGAGCTTTGCGTCACAGAAGAGGTCATCGAGCCGTAATCCGAGACGAGCGTCCGTGCAATATGCGACATTACAGTCGCTCCGAGGATAGGCAGTGTTTCTGCGCCGCGAAGGTGCCATGACGTAGCTTCTGTCTCACCCACGTCGCAGTATACGTAAACTTCGGGAGGAGGTCTATCGTGATTGAAGATACATATAAACGCTGAGGAGTCGATGAAATTAGCAGCGAGCAAGAAGCCGATTGGGCCGGACTCCGTGGAGTGTAGAGGTTGATTGGTATATATGGTGAGCTGATAGTCTACATGATAGTGTACAAGTCAATACTGTCTGAGACATGAATAGAGGGAAGTTGCGCGAGCGCTTCGGCATGCTTCAAGAACTTGTGACTTGCATCCCCAGCTTGTTGGCTAGGGTCTCCATGTAGACCTCTGAGCGCAGATATAAGATGTCAATAACAGGAGAGAATGATCCGAAAACGAGACATTACCTGTTTCGTGTCTCAATCTCCAATACTCTGCCATGAGCTCGTTAAGCTCAGCCTGGTTCTTCTTGAGATGCTCCGCCATCTGCGTCTCTCAGTCAGCTTGACTCATGGAAACTGAACAGTCAAGCATACCTTCCGCTCGATCTCGTCCGCTTCTGCTCGCAATTCCTCCACCTGGCGATCATTATCCCGACGCTCAACTGCCATCTCTTCATATTCGCGTTGAAGTCGCTCGATCGTCTGCTGGCTTGCAATACGCTTATCTTCAGCGTGCCGCTGGGCGCGTTCGAGCTTTTCTTGCGCATTCGATAATTGTTTGTACACACGCTGTGGCACATTCTATGAGGTACCGCGATGATTACGAATAGACGTAAGCGAACCTCGCGCTTCATCTGCAGCTCTGTGCGCTCGCTCTTCTTGATATCTAGCTGGTCCTTCGTGTCATTCAACTCCTTTTGTGAGACGTCAAGAGCTTGCGATTCCTTCTCGATGGTTTGAAGTTGCTCAATACAAGTGCGAACATCCTTACCCACAGCCAGTCAGTGCCGTAACCTAAGATACGTAGAATCGCACGAAAGCAAGTCACCCTCTCAATGTTCTGCAAAGCACCAATCTTCGCCTGCAAATCCCGAATTTTGGTCTCATGCATGTTAACAGTCTTCTTGTCCTCGGCAGCAGTGACGCTCATCGTGGCAATATTCCGCTTGATACGCTCTGGTGATTGAACGATGCGCCCCCGCGCACGATTAACTTTGTCGTTGACCAGAGCCATCTCTTTATTGACACCTTCCTATACGGAGTAAGAACAGGAACTGTATCGAATTGCAAGTATGTGCGTGCCTTAGTCTGCAGGAGAGACTCTATTTCCTGCTTCAAACCTTCCAAATCCTTCAGGAGCGCCAACTGTGTCTCTTTGTACTTGACAAGCTGCTCAGTCATGGACATGTTCTCGTGCCGTAGAGCTTCGCACGTCGGCTCGTCTTCGGCACGTCTCGCCCTACGAATTCCTGAGACTTGTTCATGAGCATCAAGAAACGAAACGTGACGCACTTGATATGCGCCACTTTCTGGCGAACCTCGTCGACTTGCTGAACGATCCTATCGCGCTCCTCGATAGCAGCAGTAGACTTCTCACGTAGTCCATTTATGAAAGTTTCACACTGCTCAGAAAACTTTACAAAATTGATGAAGGCGGAGAAGATGGCGCGCGTTCTGTCAGGTTCGGGACGGTGAATATCCTTTGCGGAGAAATCAAGGCATTTAGCAGCTGCTGCAAAGCGTTGACTACATCCACTATTCAGCATCGTTTACGTGTTGTACTGGAGATATACATACAGGTGATGTAGAAGAAGATTTTGTGACAACGCAGAAGCATACAGATCCTGACAGCAAGTTGGGGTGCATTCGTTCTTGTAAAGGAACGGGGCGTACTGGGTTCTCAACCGTGGAAAGAGCAGCCTCCACAGGCCTCTGCAAAGCTTCCTGCGTAATGCCAGTGACTTGCTCCATGCACGCGGTGTATATGCCTAGGACGAAATCCGGAGTAGGCTTGGCGACTTGCTCATTTGTGATTGAGTATCCCCATCCCGTGAAGGCGTCGACAATCTCAGGGACCGACATGGAGGGAAACCAGAACTGGCCAGGCATGATTCTTGAGTCGCACCAATGAGCATGAGCTAGAAAGGGTGTATTGACGCAGGTAGAGCAAAGAAATGAAACTAACCCAAGCCAGGTGTGGAAACGCGACGCGCCGGTCACATGACTGACGCGACTCGCGCCGCGGGGGGCGTCGCCCGAACACCCGCGGACGACCTTCTCGATGCTCCGCTTATCTTGATCGTGCTCTCGACTTGTACCAACCGCTTGAGACTCCTCTTCCGGGAAACCTGCTATGTCTGGGCCGCGAAATAATCTGGAAGACTTGCGTCGTAGGCACGGTACTACCATCAGTAATGGTCCCGTGTCGAGTCCTACGCCTGGCTCCCCACGCTCCAACAAGGTGGGCTCTCAAGTCGCATACCCCTGCTGACGCTGCTGAAATGCCGTAGGCTTCGAAGTTTAAGCCTGCGAAGTCGTTCAGTACACCGCCGGCCGCTTCAGGTACGAGAGTTACTTCACCTGTGATGACTTATCATATCAAGAGATGCAGATCGGAAGCCGCATAACACGCTACCTTCTTTTTCAACGCCAGGATTTGGTAAAGGCAAGCCCACGCCTCTCAGGACCGCCCTCACAGCGGATAGTGCTAGAAATGTCATCGACATTTCGTCCCCGGATACTACTCCGGACAGACCTTCGGGTTCTCGTCCCTCCGTCAAGCGTACATCCTCCGATTCCGTGTTCGATTCTGATTCTTTTGCATCCGCAAAACGTCCACGCATGGAACATACGTCTGACAAGGAGAACATTTCGCGTCTGAATCGGAGTGGCAAAGACAAGGAGGTTGCTCGAGTTGTTCATCCGATGGTGTCCTCACGGATCTCTGTACCTCCGCAACCCGAGGCTCTTCATAAATCACCTCAGTCGAACTCAAATCCTTTCGGTTTGCTGCCCGTGCCGCCGGTACCGAGATATCTTCCTTTGGACTGGTCCGACCTTAGCTCAGTGCGTGAACACAGCCACTGCTTTTGATTGTGCTAAGTTTACCGCACACGTTATAGAAATCACAAAACGATCTCATGATGCTAATGGAAAGTTGTCTCAACCAACGCAGCGAGGTTCAAAACCGAAGAAGTAGCCAGGGCGAGGATTTTGACGTCGTTGTCCTCGATCACATCGAGTGAGCACATTGTCGCCCATAAGCAGCATTTATATGTCACTTATCTGGACAATGCTTGGGTCAGGAAGCTTCTGGTCGACCGCATAGCTGTAATCAAGGCACATATCAAGGCGTTGCGGGAGAGCCAGAGCGTCACTATACCTGCCCCTGCTTGGAGGACGGCGTCGACGCCGCAGAAAAGTCTACACACCCCTTCGCTTGTCGTCCATCAGACAGATTCTCATTCCCACCCACCTTCGCGTTTACCGAGCGCACCGCCAGACCTTTCCTGGGATAACAGCGCATTTGCCTCGAGCTCGACCTACGTCACCAACGACTCCATCGATATTGAATCCTTCTCCCATCCAAGGATGACGATTGGTGACGCATTTTCTCCTACAAAGCTACCTTCCGCAGAAGAAGACGACGACGACGGGATATGGGACTCAGTCTCTGAGCCTCCGGCCGAGCTACTTGATGAGTTGCCAGTGCCATCGGCCTCCGTAGTGGCACTGCCAGCCACTAACATCGCGCTCACGAAGACAAGATACTATCCGGAGATTTTGCGCAAGCTGAAGGATGTCTTTGGACTGTCTGGTTTCCGCACAAATCAGCTTGAGGCGATCACTGCTGCACTCGACGGGAAAGATGTATTTCTGCTCATGCCTACTGGTGGCGGGAAGAGTTTGTGCTACCAGCTGCCGGCAGTCTGCAGTTCTGGGACAACCAAGGGTGTCACGGTCGTTATCAGCCCATTGCGGTCGCTCATGACAGACCAGGTTGAGTCGCTTCAGGCCAAGAACGTTGATGTTGTATACTTCAGCTCCGACCAGAGTCGAGACGAGAGCGACGAGGTTCAGCACCGCCTACGTTCGAATGGGCAGAAGCCAAGCCTTCTCTACCTGACTCCGGAGAAGATCAAGCACAGCGACGCCTTGAAGCGTGACCTGACAGACTTGTATGAATCCAAGATGTTGGCACGATTCGTTGTTGATGAAGCGCATTGTATATCATCGTGGGGCCGACAATTTCGAGATTCGGTGAGTGAAGCGAGTTCGTGACTGGCGTGCACACCTTCATAAGTTGACATAATTGTAAGTATGGGGCCTTGGCGTATCTCAGGAAAACCTTCCCTGACGTCCCTATAATGGCTCTAACCGCCACCGCTACTGGGGAAGCCAAGAACGATATCATCGCGCACCTGGGCATTCGTGGTTGCATCGAACTCACGCAATCGTTTAACCGTCCGAACCTCAACTACGAAGTGCGGTTGAAGAAGAAGAAGGTCACCGACGAGATAGTTGATTTCATCGTGACGAAACACAAGAACGAGAGCGGCGTCATCTATTGCTCCAGCAAAGTCAAATGCGAAGAAGTGGCGAAGAATCTCAGGGACAAGTACGGTCTTAAGGCACGACACTATCACGCTGGTCTAGATGACCGCGATAGGACGGTGACCATGCAAGAGTGGAAGCGCGGGGATTTCAAAATCGTCGTTGCGACGGTAACATACCCTCCCGTCAGTTGGACTTCCTCGCTTATGTCTCACCTAGATTGCTCTTGGGATGGGTATCGACAAGGGGAATGGTAAGTGGTACAGTGACTCGCGCAAAGATCGGTTTGTGATACCGGGGTGAACCTAGTGCGATTTGTGATTCATTATGCTATGCCGAGTTCGCTCGAAGGGTATGCCAAGTGTTCCTTAACGCGCTGCTACTAAAAGCTGGCTGTGCTATAGTTATTATCAGGAAACTGGCCGCGCAGGCAGGGATGGGAAACCTGCAGATTGTATCCTCTGTGAGTTCGATCGATCTGCACACCTTGTCGCCACGTATTGATATCAACTACGCAGACTATAGTGGGAGTGACGCTCATCCAGTCTGGCGGCGAATCAACGAAGAGAGCATCCCTGAAACAGAGAAGGAGAAGCAAAGGGACACTTTCCGTCGCGTCATCCAGTTCTGTGTGAACAACGTCGACTGTCGTCGCAGGCAAGTTCTTGGGTTCTTCGGCGAAGTGTTCGACTCCGCCTCTTGCCGTAAGGGCTGCGATAACTGTCGTGATACTACCGACATTGAGAAGAAGGACATGAGAAAGGCCGCAGTAGACATAATCAACCTCGCGAAATCCATGATCCTCAAGCACAAGGAACGTATCACACGAATCCAGTTTTTGGACGTGATCCGCGGTGCCAAATCTAAAGGCGCCGACGAGCCTCTGTTTGGATGTGGCAAAGCCCTGGACCGCGCGTGCATCGAGCGGATCGTCGATCATCTTGAGATGCTGGAGGTATTCATGCAAGAGTCTATGCAAACAGGCAAATTTCATAGCAGCTATATGAGGGTACGCCAACATACTTGTGGAAGGACTCTTCCAACTCACTATTTCAATGGAACAGGTATTACCGAAAGCAGACGATTTCATTCGCAACAATGAGCCCTTTATCATCAATTTTAGAAAGGGCACTGCGAAGCAATCCTTGAATTCTGCATCAAAGGCTCGCAAACAAGCCGCTCCAATGGCAAGGATGTCCAGTAACGAGTCAAACGCAAGACGAAACACCCGACGCACAACATCCAGAAGTGTCCCTAATCCCGTGGACGACGATCCGATAGAGCTATACCAAACTGATACAGAGGATCCCTTCGATTTCGATCAATTGGATTCCATGCCCAGCCCCAGGAAGGCTCCTGATCCCCCGAAACCCGAGGCCGGCCCGTCCCATGTGCAACAACCCGGCGATCATTCATGGGAAATTAGAAATACAGAGCTTCAGGAACTGCGCCAGCAGGTATGTACACTCCGAATGCACGGGACATCATATACTGATGATAGGTCAGCTTGCTGCAGAACACAACATATACGACCCAGCAGATATTATCAATGATTATGCGTTAGTAACCCTGAGTGCCAGCCCTCCTGAAGGTGCGTTCCCCCTTCGCCTGTTGTTAGAATTCTGCTCATGTGCGCAGACCTGGCCGCGTTCAATGACGTTCTAATTTCCCCGCATGTATATGTCTGTGACGACTTCCAGCGATTCTCACACCAGTTTCTCAGCTGGTGTATCCAGCAGCATGTCCGGAAGCAAGATGCGACGAGGTACTAACCTGCATTGCCTCCCTGTATTCTACAATCTGACCAAGTGGCGAAGTTCAAAACCGCCGTCCATTACGGACTTGCACAAGCGGTTCCAGTATCAAGTGAAGCGATGACTATGAAACAATCTTGTACGGCAGTTCGTCTTTGGATATTCAACTTTGTATAACTATTCTTGCAATTTTGTTGCTTAATGCGTCGATCCGGCGATCCGTTCTATGCTCATCAAATGGTATCATATGTAGGAGTAGCTCTATGTCAACAGGCGTACCAGTATGCACATGCGTTATAGAAAATCCGAGTGTTCAAAGTCGTCAATGTCCGATCAATTCATAATAAGTGAGAGTCATGCACGTGAGTGGACTCAGAGAAGCAGGAACGCCTAGGCCTCCTCCCACTTAAACGTGCTGTACCATCCGCGATCACCGGTGTCTTCGTGCAGGCTGGTCATCGACATGCGCTGTTCGTGTGTCAGCCACGCTGTCGTGCCGAACAGGCGGCCGCTCAGCTCAAGGAGCTCCTCGAGCGTGTCGACCATGTTCTTCATGACCTCCTGCTCTGCGAACGCGTACACGAGAGACAAGCCCATCGCGTGCGTGTCCTCCTCTCGCGCGGTGTGGATGCTGTCCTGCACGTGTGCCTCGAGGTTCTCTAATGCGTGCCGTGGTGAGGGGAGGAACTGCGGGAGCGGCTCGCGCGCGCGGAACGCGTGTTGGCACGCATAAAGCGTGATGCACACGCACGACATCTGCGAACATGTTTGTGGGCATCTCATGTAGTGACCGCGAGAGAACGCTTACGAATTCCCGTCGCTCGTTGAAGACACTCGAGACCGTTTCTCTCCGGGGTATGTTCTCCCTGATCTTACGGAGGCCTGTCATTGCATCGAGCAACTTTTGCATGGTGCGGACGACTCTGCGATAATGTGCGAGCGGTTTCTTGTGGACGAGCTCAGACCAGGAGCACGAACAGCCTCGAGGGACCTACTGGTAAGAGACTAATCTCGTCGTGCATTGTCGTGATAAAGGCATTTAATCGATGCATGCTATTCCGGATTTGCAGCTCCAGCTTGAGGGTTTTCCGCCGATCAAGGTACGCAAGCGTTTGTTGCTTCCGAAACATGTCGCTACAACGGCCGGTCAGAGATATACATGGTCGAGGCGAGATCCGCCACTACATGGCTTACTGGCTCAGTGTCATATACAGCTGGCTTAGCAATCCCAGCGTACGGCTTGCGTCCGAAAGGAACAGCACCTGTGCAAGACAATCAGGGAGGAAGAAAGGAACCGGAGAACGTAATAAAGCGCACTCGACAATGTCGCGGAAATACGAGGCCATTCATGAGGAGCGCGGCAAAGATGCCCACAGCAATCATGAGGGCGCGGATCGCGGCGAGCTCTATGTGATGTTGCTGATCAGTGTGTGGCATAAGGAAACGCCACTGGAAGGGCGCACTCACTAATGATAGATAAGTTGGGATCCGAGTTGACGTATTCGTCGAATGCAATAATGGGTAATGTAACAGAGCTACGGAACGCTCAACACTGTAAATGGCGTTCGTTCCTGGCATCCACTTACGCAGGTACCGCCAAAGGCGTTAATGAGGTTCTCGTAATCATATATGTGAATGGGACATCCGCAACCTGCAAGGTGATCTTCTGACTGTGCGTCACTCAGCAAGGGGCGAACTCACCGTGATTAAAGCGGTTAGCCCATATGGATTTGTATGGCAAATTAGAGTGACCTGCCCCTGGTAAGTGCCCCGAAACTCAGGGCTGCATCGGAATGTAGACTCACGACATAGCCATATATTGCCGATAATGTTGTGCCGACCTGTGGATCAAGCACGACCAAGCAGCGACGTCAGTTTCCAGGCCGACGCCTCTCAAGAAAATGGTCGGCGCACCAGACGTAGGTATCCAGTCCGCCATGTAGCACCTGTATTTGTCTCCAGGACCCAAACATAGCTAGCGATAAGGTCAGCCGACCACCCCGGCAGCAGAAGCAAATTCGCGCAACGATTCACCTGATGACCATCCACTCGCCGTGCCACGAAGAGAACCACGCTCTTCCTAGAACCAGGCCAGACGTCAGCGCTGTCCAACCGCGCCGACGAGCGGGGTCCCTCACCCGTCGAGTCCAGCGGCAGGAACGCCGGGAAGCTCAGCACCGCAACGCCGATCGCGTTCTTCATCCCGTGCCGCAGATGCGGCGAGTGCAGCACCGCCCGTTGCACCCGCGCCGCACATATGCGCGCGCGCAGCACGTGCGGGTGCGACCACGCGGCCATGACCAGCTCCGCCACGCTCCGCCGCGCGCCGCGCCGCTCGCGCTGGCGGAGGATCTCGCGCGAGAGCCCGCCGGGGAGGCGCGGGCTGGACGCCGCGAAGCCCTGCTCGACGAGGCCCTCGCGCGTCTCGGCGGCCGTGAGGTCGAACGCGGACGCCGCGCCCCCCGGCGTGTCCGTGTCCGCCCAGAGCGCGGCCCCCGCCGCGACGGCGTGCAGCTGCAGCGCCGCCGCGCCGTCGTCCGCGATGAACGGCCCCGGCGGCACGCCGAGCCACGCGAGCGAGAGGTGCGGGTGCCAGAGGCGCACGCGCGACTCCTCGTACTGCGCGTGCATCTGTGCTGCGATCTGCAGCGCGGCGCGCATCTCGTGCGCCATCTGCGGTATGAGTATAAACGACGTCAGTGGAAAACGACGCGGGCAGCGGGATGGGGCATGCCTGGAGGAGGGCGATCATGATGAGGCTGCCGTCGAGGACCTCCTTCGGGTAGTGCGCGTGCATCCCGTGGGCACGCTGCTCGAGGTCCATCTCGTCGAAGATGTGCCCGAGGCGCTCGCGCGCATCGTCCCGTGCGCGCACGAGCGCCTGCTGCGCGACATACAGCGCGCCCTTGACCGCGCTCGGCTTGCGCGGTGCGGCGCGCGCCTCTCCGCGCTGCCCCCGGTCCTGGTCGAACGTCACGAGGATGAGGCGCTCGACGGCCTGCAGCGCGGCGACGATCGCGTGCCCGAGCGCGAGCGCAGGGGGCTGGATCGCAATCGTGAAGCGCGAGTGCGCAGGGAGCAGGAGCGAGAGCGGGGGTGCGGGGCGTGAGTGGGGAGAGCCGGGGTGGCGGACGGATGCGCGCGGGGAAGATGCGCGGCTGAGCATGCGCGGGGTGGGAGGCGGCGATTGGGGCTTCGGCTGGAGGGCGGACATGCCCCACGCGAGCTCGCGCCGGAGGTGCTCGACGATCCCGATTAAAGGGCGGATGGACTTTACTACAGCAACGGTAAGTTACTTGTACAGCACAGGGGGGCTAGCACATGCATTGCTGTCGAATTATGCGAGCCGGGCTCAGATACGGTAGGTCACCGGTGCCCCGAGCTTCGCCACCACCCACATGAGAGTACCAAGAGGACGATGGGAGTACTAGCCATAGCCACGGCAATCGCCAAAAGCGGTAGCCAGACCACTAAAACGAGAACGGTGCTCGCAACAGTCAATCGGCTATCAGATCTTGTGTAACTCGGTGAGGTGGTCTGCCTCCTAATGCGGCAGTGCAGCTCGTGGAGCGAGACCGTACATACGGGATAAAACTAATATGTAGATTTGAAACGCACTCACAGCTGAGTCTCCCGATCCTGAGCTCGAATGCAGCCTGCGAATACGTCTCGTTGAGCATGATGGAGCGCTGGAACAGCTGGGCGCGCAGGCTATTATACTCCGCCGCGTCCTCGTCGGACAGCTTGCCTCGGTGCGCCATCGTGTCCATGCTGAGCGTGAGGCAGCGCTGCAGCACCGCGAATGTGGCGGCCATCTCCCTCTCGAAGCTGGACGACGACCAGCGGACGAAGCACATGACGAAGAGCAGCGCGATGAGGCTGAGGAGCATGGGGGTGACCGCGGCGTAGAGGAAGTTGCCCGAGTCGATGAGCACGTGCTATAGGGTTCAGTGTGAGTATGAGTGCACGTAGTCGATAGGGCAACTCACGTCGCGGACGCCGATGTTGATGGAGAGCAGCCATATGGAGACAAAGAGGGAGATGCGCATAGACAGAGTCAGTCGGGGGAGGCGGCTCTTGATCACCCCAGCTGTTCATACGCACAGGGATTAGCATATCTATGAACACGCCAATATCGTCGCAAGCTAACGATATGCTCCCTGGCGCGAGGGTCGCACGATCGCAGATTGCAGGAGCGTTGATGCATGATGGGCGCTCCGAATCCCATTCCAAGATCCTGACTCACCGAAGAAGGAGATCACGATCAAGAACATCGCACACGTCGCCCTCGAGCGAGCCGAGCCGTACGGCGCACGCGCCGCGACGTACTTGCCCAGCGTCGAGAACCCGATACCAGTGAGCGCGCCCATCGTGTTGAGCACGCTCAGCTCGAGCTGCTGCGCCAGGCTTTCTTGCACGCCGAAGATGAGGGCCTGGAACGGCAGCACGAGGAAGGCGTAGCGTCCCCCGAGGCGTGCGACCGGCCGGACGACAATCGCGAGACAGCAGAGGAACGTCGAGAGCAGCCGCGCCAGAGGCCGTTTCGCCAGAAACGGTGCGCTGAATCGGCGAACCGCGGTGCATACCGAGGAGCAGCGGGCCTTGAGCTTGTGGGTGTCCAGACACAGCATACCAGTCTTCACAGATGATGCGGTGGTCGAAGGGGCCGGTGCGGGTTTCTCATGGCCAAGGGACCCGGGCATTCGTGCGCGCACTTTCTGTCGTCCGCTGCGTATCCCCGCGCATATATTGTTGTTTTCCGCCCGATCTCGATCATCGACTCGCTCGGGCCTTGATGGAGTAGCAACTAGCGCCCACCATCGTATAACGCCGACATGTTCCGCATCAACTCCTTCTGGTAAGCGGCACTGTTTTCGAAGCCGCCGGCAGTACTTCCGCTCTTCTATGCCCAGGGGAATGCAGATCAGTCCTCTATTTCTTCGTGCGCACGCCCACATTCCAAAACCAGAGGTGAATTTCTTAGGCTATTATATACAATCCTTGCAGCGTCAATAACAATCGCTCATACGTCGTTCACAACATCTCAACAACTAAACACTATAAATACTGCAAGCGACCTGTCGTGCTCCCGCAATATCCAACAAGGTATCGTGCCACCATATCCCGGGTTGAGTCGGGATGTGTCGATTTGGGGTCGTACGAGCTCAAGATGCAGTCAGATGGCCTCATTGAGTATGGTCCAGGGCCACCTGACGACAGCTCGAGTTTGAATGGTGTAAGGACGGCTAATGACACACACAAACACAATACACGATACACGTCAAACTCCTATGCTGCAGTCAGGGGCTGAAACTCCTTGCAGCTTCAAGCGGCATCGTTGCTGTAGTAGTATGACCGCCGGGACGACAAAGCTAGATCAGTACGATGGCGAATGAGGTGAGTTTGAGGCGCTTTCTGAGGCGCTTTCGCCGATGCATCTGACGTCGTTACTGCAAGGTAACGAGGTCATAATGAATACCGATATCACGATATGCTATCGACGGAACCCCCGCGGACATCCTCTGTTCGGGTATCCACCGTCTGCCAGATCAAAGTGCATGGGCTTTCTCGCCTAGGTCTTATGGCGCATCGGAACCGATTAGCATGCCCGCACGAAGACCGCTCAGACAGTGCGCGCACGGTGCCAGCACACGCCTTACCTGATGCTCGGCCCCGAGAACTCCGGGTCAATTGGGGTTTCTCCCCCACACCCATCTGCAGTGCGCGCGGCCTTGAACCCGTGCACCTGCCCCCCGCAGACACTGACGTATGGGAAAAAATGCCGGCGCTCTGGGGTTGGGCTGACCGTTGCAGCTTTCTCCCTGGAGGAAGCGGTCCGGGTTGTGCCTCTTGGGCTCGGGTCAGCTTCGAGGGCCATGCAGCATCTCTCTGACCCTTGGTATCCACACGTGAGCACCATCGTCATACTGCGATGGACTTTGGGCTCCTTGCTGTAATCCATACTCGGAAAGGACCATTTCCGATCGCATGTGAGCGCTAGTCGTTGTTATGGGAGAGACGAGTTTACGCACTCAGCCTGATAACCTCATTGACCATGGTAAGACCACGCTCCTCTTGTCCAGCGGCTCGTGAGCAATCGTGGCTGAGTCAAGGACGATTACTTCCTTACTCAAGGTAAGAAAATAAGTCATACTTTCTAGGTGAATACAGTTAATTTCCGAGCAGAAGCGAGGGCGCAATACACTAACCATACATTCAGATCACTCTTCGAACGTCCTCCATGGTATTTCCGAAGGTGTGTCATACACGCTGCCGAGCAATGGCCTGGCAGAAGAGACGCGGGCTTTCGGGCCTTCGACCGTAGAACCCTGCTAGGAGTGAAGTTGCCATACAAAGCTAAGCAACTACGGCCATACTCGCCGGGCTGAGGGGTGATATCCCCTCTGAGCACTTGTTGTACTTATTATAAACGTGCGCGAAGCCAAAGAAGTAGCAGGGCCTGAGTATCATCAAGCGGTGATCCAAGAGCACTTCTCGCATCACACCTCTACTGTGCATAGTCTTCCCCACCGCGAAGCATCTGGTCTGGCTATCTTCATGACACAAAATCCCGGGCAGTAAGGCGATAAGTCGCAAACGAGGTATCCATTCTCAAGGTGCGTCCATGCCAGTCCACTTGAGCACGGCGTGAAGAGTGTCTTTCCTATATGTGCTCGAGGGCCATGAGGTGTAGGTACTAAGATGTAGCCCAGGTAACCCAGGTACTACACAGCACAGGATCTGACGCGGTGCACGAGCGCCAAAAGATGCAAGCGCGCGGCGCGCCTCAGTTCGTTCCTTGAGAGGCGCCGAAGACACTTCGTAAATCTCCATAGAGAAATCCTTTATCTCCGCCTATAGTCACTTCCGTCTCAAATTCACAAGCTTTTGCTTCCTTCAACGAGATATGCACAGATATCTAGAGCCTGCGCAGGCTGAATTATATTACGTTCTGCTCACAAGAGACTTGCGCGTTAAGCCTATTCCACAGCTGCTATCTCACCAAAACCTCTGCCGTCTTTCCGAACATCTCGCAGCGGCAGAGCAACACTCCGGTGTTACATGCCTTTTGAATGCCTGCAGGAAAACATCCCATGTGCAGCTCAGCCACATGTCGGGTGCTTGTGTCTCTAACGAGTAATGAAGTGTGTTATACGATAGATTCTCTGTCATCACAATGATGATGGGATGTAACAATGATCAAGCGGTGAGTGATCGTCGAGCTCGTGGGCCCATTCAAGACTGTTTACGCAGAACGGAAATCTACCACGCAGTGCCCGCATCAGGTAGTGTTTGTGCTCCATCCACTTCAGACCTCAGAACTGCCTTGGCGATGTGTACGGTCGATTATTGGATCTTGAGAGTACGAGAGCTTTGATTTCCATCATTGCTAGTTCGCCTACAGCGTGCCAAATTTGAGGTGCAGATATCATTGCACGTGGCGGAGAACGCTCAATGTGATCTATCCCAGCTGACGGTGAGCTGTATTTAACTCGGATGCTACTTCACTGTTCTCCTACAGACACTATTCATACTCATCTTGCAGTATGAGTCCCTCGTGGACATACTGTGCCGCCGTCTCCATATTGATCTGTGCAGCCGGCTATACTTTCGCCAAACAACGTTTAAACGCTCGTTTACCTCCTGGTCCAGCACGACTACCGATATTTGGCAACGCGTTGAATGTTCCCTTTCAGTATTAGGGCATTCTATTCTGGTCCTTAACTCAGTGAATGCCATAGAGGAGCTATTCGAGAAGAGGAGCACATTGTACGCCGATCGCCCCCACCTTCCCCTGGCAGGCGAGATGTACGTCTGCCTCCCGTCTTTCTCTGTAAGTATACAATGTTCACTTTGCAACTAGGGTTGGGTTCTCTTCCATACCGGTGTTGGAGCGCTACGGCAGACGTCACAGGGAAGGTCGCAAACTCATCCTCAACACTCTTAGTTGCCATAACCAGATAGATATCCATCGGATACAGTTAAACAAGGTCTCCTTACTACTTTCCAGGCTTATTGGTAGCCCAAACGACTTCCGCTTACATTCCCGGTAAGCTCTTCCGTCATCTACAGCAGGCCATGATCTGAACATCCATTAGGTTTATTGCTGCCATTTTATTCCAAATCACTCACGGACAACAAATTGAGAACTTCGACCACATCTTAGTTAAGCTGGCCGAACAGGTAAATGAGGACTTTTCCCATGTGGTGAGGCCTGGAAGCTTCCTGGTAGATACCATATTTGTGAGCATGTCGACGTCCCATGCATCGAGCTCGTCGTTTAACCTCATGACTGCTTTCGTAGTGCAATACCTCCCGAGTTGGATCCCCGGAATGGGCTTTAAGACTCTGGCCAAGGTGTACAGAGAGCAATTCTTACGCTTGTGCCATGAACCGTACGCCTCTGTGAAGGAACAAGTTGTAAGTCTTTATCGACTAGAAATGAACAATCGCAGTACCATCACTGGGTGCAGGCCAAAGGAACCGCCCCGCCTTTGCTGGCAGCGAGGCTGATTGAGAAAAATAGCGATCCCACACCGGCAGAAGAATGGTTCTATGATACTGCGGTAATGCAGTTTTACGCAGGTATGCTTATCCTTGTTCGAATACAACGCTGCTTATCCGTTGCTCTAGCGGGGGCAGACACAGTAAGATAGAGCACTTTAGTCGAATTTGAGTCAAGGCTAAAAATGCACTCCAGACTGTCTCTGCCCTTGAAACGTTCTACCTAATCATGAGTTTGTATCCAGAATTCCAGAAGAAGGCACAGGCGGAATTGGATGGCGTTGTCCAGCCGGGCTGCCTGCTAGAGTTCAATGATCGAGCGAACCTGCCACACTTCGACGCAGTGCTGAAAGAGATTTATCGGTGGAATCCTACAGTACCGATCGGTAAGAAGGCAGTGCTCTCATCGCGTCTTCTTCGGACACTCATCGCGTGCCTTTTATAGCCATACCCCATCGGGTCACGCAAGACGATGTCTACAACGGATTCATACTCCGGCTGGCGCTACGATGATTGCGAATACCTGGTACGCATGTTTCCCAATGTCAGCACGCTTGCTGATATCGAACTTAGGGCTGTGCTTCATGACCCCTCGCTGTATCCAGACCCATTGCGAGTCAATCGGGAGAGATATCTGAAATATAAAGGCAGATGGAACCCTGATCCTCGGAGATTCGCCTTTGGTTACGGGCGACGGTGAGATTGCGCAGTGATCTGCACAAATACACCAGTGACTGACAGTCGATCAGAGTCTGTCCGGGGAAGGTCATTGCGGAAGACTCGATATTCATATTCGTCGCTTGCGCGCTAGCCACGTTAGACATCAGCAAGGCAGTGGGTCCCGATGGACTGCCCATTGAGTCCGATGTGCAGTACACAGGAGGCACTGTCAGGTGAGCGACGCCTGGTAACGATAGCTGTACTGGCTGAAGTTGTTCTCGCAGTCACTCCGGCCCTTCAATGCACCATTAAACCTCGTTCAGCGGGGTCAGCGCGTCTCATCTAGAGTGCGGCAATGCATGTGGATTATATGGACTAACCACCCGATATCTTGCTGCATATAAAAGCATTATTCACCAAATTTGCGCATGTGCTGTTTGGAATATGCAAGATGCGCTGTAATCGGCCATATATACTACAGTTTAGACTACATAGCTTCGCGACCTTGCTGGCAGAAGACAGTCATGATACAGATGGGGCACAGTGATCCGCGAGAGACGCAGAGGTTCAATTGACGTTTGCCATCGTCAGCGACCCGAGGTCAGAACTTGAAGAGGCCAGAACTTGAACATCGTCATTTTGCGGATACGGAAAGGGCGACCGACTCCAGCCTGATATCGACTGTTTCATGTCGGAACCATTACGAGAGATTGACTACTATGTGGCAGTGGCGTCGTGCGTCTTACCACGTCTCAGCACATGCCCCGGCCTGCTGAGTGCGACGTGAAAGCGACTGACGTCGTACGCTCTAGAGTGTACAATGTCGGCATTGAAGGATACGAGTGTAAGTAACAATCACTAAGTTCACTAGACTAGGAACTCTGCACAAGCACATCATCAAGGCTACTGCGGCCTACTCGCTACTTGTTGCAAATGACGCTCGTGTTTGATTGTCTACATTATTTATTTGAAATTATAAGCGTGACGTCGTGCACAACTAACGGACTCATCCCGTGCTTGATACACTTTCGTAAAAACGAGAGCTGGAACCCGTGGTGGGATCAATGACTTCTACGACCCGCTGATTGTCCCCGTTGATACGTATCCGCGTCCAGTGCGTCCGGTCTGGATTCGGCCAACGGTCATCAAGGCCGACTGCAAACAACTCTACCGACAGAACGCTTTCGGCGACGAGCCGGGGTAACGAACGCTATCTCTCTGGGTCCATGGCAACCTGCAATCAAGTCTCATCTATAGCACAGAACCTAGTATTTGCATGGATCTTCAGGTAGGCGATATGAGCCGGACGAAGGAAACATAACATATTCTCCTGCAACATCTACATGTCAGACACTTGTATTACAAACATAAATATGACATACCGTCCGTTGAATGAGTGTCACTTGTCTCGGATTTCTTAAGGGTAGATCCATCGATTTCACTTCAAGAGCACGGAGCCTCGGTAAGTTGCCAAGTAACGTTCCCCAGAACGAGGGCATACATATCCCTATGGTGAACGAGAGCCGGACAGGTGACAGCCTCTGTACCCTCGGCAGATCACATCCACCATAGACTAGACTTATGTCCAAATGGTGAACTTGGCATAGGGTCGACCATGGTCTACGGTCATCAATACACAATGGGTCGAGAGTAGACCACCATGTGTGTTCTTCACCGACTCGATGAGGTGTGCCGCAGAAATACATGTATAATTCCCGACCATTCGGAGATGTACGCACTAGTCGGGGCACATCTCGGCAGTGGTAGAGGACAAGCCTGTTAATAGACGGTATGACGGGATTTCGGCTCCTTTGTGACCCTGAGCTCCATCCCTCCTCCCGAAAATTAGCCTCGCTGATCCCTAGTGTTTGAAGGTTGCTCAGGCGTGTCAAAACTTCGAAGACACCCATATGTATTCATACCGTGACATTCTCATCGAAAGCTTCCTGAGCTTGATATTCACCTGATTGAGCATTGGGAGTGCGTGATGGGTCAGCGAGCCCCCCAACGATAGCTCGGACAGGCTGGAGAGAGACGCCACTCCGGATCCGATGCGAGTTTGTTGATGAAATAGCTCGTTGTCTCGCGGAAGTTCGAGAGATCGTAAATTCGTTGTCTACTCGAGAATATCCACCATACAGGAGAATATATGCATACGGCTCATGGGGCAAGACAGCAGTATGAACCTTGGAAATCCGAGTGTCCGGACCCACCGCAAGGAATGAGTAGGCACTTCCTTGAGCATATGCGCGTGGAAACGCAAGACTCGATCGAAGCTATAAAAGCTGACTGCTGAAAGAACCTGGCGCATGGCGATGCTACGAATACCTCGCACCGTGCACGAAAGCTTAAGTGCGTCATTCTGCGAGAGGAATGAGACAATAGCCAGGAGAATATCGTCGTTGAGTGTCAAGAGGGAACGTCCGCTGGCCACTGTCGCCGGTTTCTTGTTTGCCCTAGGTTGGCCCTATGAGTCCGTTTCGTATGTTCACATCATAAGCTCACCAACATTGAGATAGAGAAAGAGCCATACCCCAGGAGTGTATGACGGTCAACGCAAGAAGTCGCGTACTGTGGCGGATACTTGGACCGTATGTGATTGTGAACAACCTGTGGCTGTAGCTATCACGCCCAAAGTGGCGAATTGCGGCGTTTGCCGAACGCGATCACAGCGTTGTCTCGTCACTACTAACGCGACTCTTTCCACGTTGGCGTGGACGTACTTATCGGTTTCTCCTTCTCAAATCATGATGATAAGCCTATACGAATATTGCACCTATTCATAGGCAAGAAGAAGACTTCAACGCTAATAGGCTCTGAGATGGCAGTGGCCATGAATGCCATCAACTGGACAACGGCCTCGCGTGCCACTCACCACCAAGAGAGCGCCAACTAGACACTAGACATACCGCATGCAACCGGTCGTGCACTCAAGCGGTCTAACGCGGCATTTTGCCAACGACATGCTCCGGATCGGATTGAGTCGGGGGGGGGGGGGTGGGGGGTGGGGGTATTGACTCAGATTTATGGACAGGCGCCGTTGAACATGAGGAGCGTGTGTCGAAGCAAAATAATACACAAAAGGTTATATCTTCGTATTCGAGGCCATCATCATAGGTCAACCAAGGGTACCACTACCTGCTCTCGTTTGAGAGTTGAGTCGTTCTTTACCTTGGGAAGTAAAGGAACGTAACGAGTCTTCTGGAACTCCAGCCCTTTGCTACCAAAGTACCGTCCACTCTCGAAGTTCCAGCAGTCGTTTGTACGGGGCCATATCGCCAGCGCGAGAACATACTCCTCGAGCTCCTTGTCGACCGTGGGACCGAACGACGGCAGTCTCTTCATACCATCTAAGAACTTGATTTCGACGTCTTCGTGGTAATTTACCACCCATGCTATTGCACCTTCCAGGTCGGTGTTGAATTGTTGCATGACCACGGTGAGGATGTTGTGGCGGTCATCTCCCGTGGCTTGTTCTTTGTTATACGATGCGAGATCCTAAAAGATGCTTAGCGTAAGACCTCGCCATGTTAGGGCAAAGTCCTGCTCACGTTGTCCAAAATGATTAATTCCGCAATGTAGTACGACAATTCCGTGACAACTGGATGGTAAAATGCCTCGTCTGGGAGATTAAGTCCCAGCTCGGCTGGGACGTACGACGGTCGCGCGCCAATGTTCTCCTTCCTGTTACTCAAGTAGCTCTCGACAGTACGGACGTGATCACTGTCACGATCAGAAGCCTGTTCGACGACGGAGTTGAGATAGTCGGTGAATGCTTCGATGAAATGTTTCTGAGAGCTCGGAGTGGCGGTCTTGATGGCCCTCTCCCAGAACCTGTGGTGCAAATCAACTGTCGATACTGTACACGTGTTCAATGTTCGTGACATGCACATACTGTCTTGTCACCTCGCCGAGGAGAATCTCTCCATCTGGACGGGGTTTGTGTGGATAATTCATCGCGTCTATGACGATGTCGACCATCTCACGGACGATTGGGGCGCTCTCGACATCTGTGTACTCGTCAACGACGAAGAACACATTCATCAAGTCGCAGCCGGTGCGCAGATGTTCTAGAAGGGCGGTCAAGACTCGAACAGCGTCTCGCTTCGTGGTTGCGTAGCGCACCCTTGGAGGCCCATGGATATGCGAGAGAGGCAAGTCTTCCTGCACGTAGTAATTAGTCGATTGCCAGAGAGGCGGTGAAGTACACATACCAAAGTCGCACTTGTCGAAGGCATGCTGGGACGTTTCGGTGAAGGGCTTAAATTCTTTGAACCAGGCATCCGACTGGGCCTTCACCTCTTCATAGTGGGGGTTGATGTATCTTGGCCAGGGCCAATTAGCCATTGTCTCCGGGAGATGAATCATCTGAGGCTTGTCTGACATAGTGCGTGAGTGTGAGGTAAGGGGATGGTGAAGAGACAACGAGTCCTCGGCCCTCTGATTTTATAATCAATGCAAAACTCGAACACTTTGAAATAACCAAAATGCAAGCAACTTAGTAAATCTCACTCGACTCAAATCAAAATCCATAACGATTGGCGACGCCTCGAAACAAGACAGCAAGGAGGTACTATGATTGGCCAGGGTTGGCTGTGACGCTGGGGAATTCAGCAGTGACACTGTGATATTCATGACAGATACAGACCGCTTGGTTACCGGTTCACAATGTTGACGAATTTACACCAAGGAGCATTTGTCTAGTGCGACGGGGTCCTCGAACCGCATATCTGCGGGAAGAGCAAATTTGCCGCTTCTCTGCCATGGCGCGCACTTCGCGATACTCAACTAATCTCCATAGCTTCTCAACAAGGTTGTTCAGTACCATCATACCGGATTATCAAAGAGTGTTCGGATGGAAGCAGCAAGTAACTTACCCTAGACCATCTATGGGCACCTTTATCTAAGTTCAGCGAATGTGAATGACATCGAATCGCGGAGTACCTGCTGGTGTGTCTTTACCCATCAGCCATGGGCGTTTATCAAGTACGAGCGTAACGCTGTAGAGATGCTTTGCTACATGACGGCACCTTGCATTGGGCGCGTACACCGTATGACAATTTGGACAGTTGTGTCCATATACTGCCGCTGATGCCATGCTAGATGTTCCACGCAGCGATATCGGCGCTCTGAAACGGGATATCGTAAATTCCTGTGATTGAGACCGCAAGGTGCACGAAAAACCAAACAGGGACCTACTCATCTTCACCAATTGAAACACGCAACACCGTATCAGAGTTCTGTGATTCTGACGTAAATCATAGAATTTCGCCCTGACCCATCAGGAATGGAGAAAATCAGACGCATCCACGCGTCCTTGCAAAGATAGAATGCAACAACGCAGTAAAGCCATGCCTGTACTAGCCAGACTGCCCGAGAATAGAACTATACCGACTTCCTCGGCCAACTCGCGCACAACTTCAAAGTTCAGGGTGCACGAGTCAAGGTTGCTTGCGTGACGTGTCGTTGATTGCTTCTGGATCAAGGACGTGTCCCAGGAGTGATATCCAGGCTGGATATCCCCTGCGGCGGCGGCAGCGGCGTCTTGTCACAAAAGTATACCGGGTCAATGGCGCGTACTCTGGTGCAGGTACGAGCGGCGCCAGAAGCAGTTGACATTGCCCTCATGAATCTGATCCATGCCCACCTGCTGGCTGTACAAATTAGAGTTATTCGAAGATGAAAAGCGGTGGCAAACTGTAAGGTTTGTTGAGCCCGGCCCTCAGTCGCCATGTGTCAGGAGCCAAGACCCAATCTATGGTGAGTATCAAATCATACAGTGTGACGACGAGGATAAGAGGGAAGCGGAAAAGCCCTAACCGTAAGCTCCCTGCAATATCAAAAGTTAAGGTTAAGGGCTGTAGATCTGGGTAGCTGTAGGCGCAATCATGTAATGTAATCAATCCGGGACAAGGAGGGTGTTGATTCGTGAGTCGTTTTAGCGGATACATCAAGAATTGTGACTGCTATACTACAAGGCCATCACAAAGATCGGACAAAGTGCTTCGTGAAACATGCATCCCTGTGAACGTCCCCCGGGCCCCGCTCATATATCCACTGTCTGCCGTATCAAAGCGACTGAATTTGTCCGCCTGGGTGTGATGACGCACTTGAACGGCTTGGGATGCCTGTACGCAGACAGGTTAGACAGTATCTTCACAACGCCAGTGAGCAAGCTACCTGATGCTATGCTCCGAGAACTCTAGGTCAATGGGGATTTTTTCTCCCTTGTCATTCACAGCTGGCGTGATCTTAAACGCATAGAACATGGAAGCAATCGTAATCCAGAGGTGGTTTTCGGCGAGGTCCTTTCCCGGGCAAATCCTGCCATGTGGGAAATGAGTATAGCAAAGTGGCACATAGATGCTCCGCATACCGTCTACCGAAACCAAATGCCGGTCCTCTGGGGTCGGGCTGAGGGTTGCGGCCTTCTCCGTGAAGGAAGCGGTCCGGATTGAACCTCTCAGGCTCGGGGTAGACTTGAGGGTCATGCAGCATTGCCCTTGTGTTTGATGAGGCTCATAGCATGCTACGTCCGATTAGAGAGAAACTTACCATGCGTTAGCGATGATCATGGTGTTGGCAGGAATGTAGTAACTATTATAGTAATCGTCCTGAGACACCCGATGTGGTACCCCTAAGAAAACAGTCAGCAGCGTGTAGCAATGACTGAGTCATGCATAACTTACCCACTGGAGTCGCCACCCCCCAGCTGTATCACGAAAGCTATAATCAACAAATGTCACAGCACAACAGGAAATGACAGTACCGGATCGATTCAGTAATAATACACTGCATATAGAGAAGCTTTTCACGGTCATCAAATGTAGGCAGACGATCTTTGCCGATAATGCTGTCCATTTCGGCCTGGGCCCGTGCTTGTATCACGGGGTCAGCAACGAGGGCAATCATGGCCGTCATCAACGCCGACATGGTCTGGAGAGCGTCAAGACGTGAGACTCGCGGACACACAGTGCATCGCGTACGGTATCAAAGCCAGCTGCAATTCAGCGGTCCAATCAGTCGGATGCTAGTGGAGGTGGAGAAAGAGGTGTCGTACCGGAATACGTAATCGCAGCAGTGCTTCTCACACCTTCGTCATCTTCACCTTTGGTCTCCTCCAGTAATGCCGTAGTATAGCACGACACAGCCGTTCCCTTGGCCTAGTGGGACATGTGCTGAATCCGTGTCTTTTCAATAGTGAAGAAAGTCGACCACTCACTAGCCTCTCCTTCGCGTAATCGAAGGGCTTGTGAAGGAAGTCATGCAAGTCTTCCCGTGTTCCTGGAGGCAGATGCTTGATGCTTGCCCCAGGAAACCAGTCCGGAAGGTGCCTTACTGATTAATGTACTGCATCAGAAGGGAAACATGTGTCATATAGCTATGAAACATACTCCAGGGCACGAAGTCGACGATGTGAGCACCTATGGCTCCGGCAGCCTCAATCGTCAAGACACCCTTCTCTGCAATGCGTATGAAGGAGTCGTCTGATGATGTGACCTCGTGCCCGTATGTGAGCATCATCGTTACGCCGCCCGCGAGCCTCCCGATTTATGTCAGTGGTATGCAGAGAGTATAACCCTCGACGAACCTACCTCTTCATGTGAGCGGCATAGTGTTCCGAATCGTCTAAAAGGTCGTTTAACAGCCGGTGTACCTCCTTCAGTTCGACATTGTAGTACTTCGGCAGGTTCTGTTTATGAAAGAACTGCTGCAGATATTTACGGTGGCGTTTGTACTTCTCGCCATAGTCCATGCTTGGAAGGGACCATTTCTATTGAGATGTGAGCACTGGCTACTGTTATGGACAAGTATACATACCCAGCCTATCACTTCATTTGCCATGGCGAAGAATGGTCGATAGGAATATATTGCACTCCTCTTGTCCAGCAACTCGTGAGCGATTGTGGCCGAGTTGAGGACGATCACCTCTCTGCCCAAAGTGTGAAAATAGATCATATCACCTGGGTAGATACAATCAATGCCAGAGCAGGAGAAAGGTAGTTATATGCAAACCATATCTTTCGGACCACTTTGCGAACGTCCTCCATGGTGCTTCTGAAGGCACATCATACAGATTGCCGATCAGTGGATATGGCTGTGGACCTGGCGGGAGACTACGTTTCCTGGCCTTCGAGCGATACCACAGAGCGTAGGAGACAGCTAGGAGAGAAGCTACAACATAGAGCTGAATAGTGGCGGCCATAGTAGGTTGAGGGGAAATGCTGACATCCTGTTCAGACACATATTATAGATATGTGTGGACTGGTGCGAATCCGGATATGCTGCAGCACCCGAAAGTTTTCGGGTGGGTATTGTCAATATTGTTCAACAGTCACGGTCTGTTCAGGTGATCTCCACGATGTTGAATTTACGGCTGAGGCACTGGGAGATTATCCCAAATTGCATCCGAGTGCGGGGTCCACTTGAACACGATTTGGAAATTGCCCTCACATCTCTCATGTGCGCTCTAGGGCCCTGAGGGTTAGGTACTAGGATGTAGTCGTAATCCAGTTGCCACAGCATCAAGGCGCGGGTGTGTACTAGCGCCAAACACGCAAGCGCGCGTCGATTGTGGTGCTCGCAGCATTTGAAAATCACCCAACTGTCACAGATACAGCTACATATTCTCCCGCTTTCTTCTACCCTGCGCCGCATGAATGGACGCTTTCCCGCAGGGGTTTGAACACGATTGCAGAATAGAACTGACCTCTAAATCTTTTCGGCAACGCGGCTGATCTGACTGATTTCGAAAATAACTGTTGCTGTGTTCAACGCCGAAGAGTCTGGATTGTCACGTTTGCATCGCATCTAGAGAAGGTTCCAGACCAGATCGAGCGTTGTACACGTTGTTTTCGGGCTCCGCTCGTTCCCCGTTGGCTCAAACACGATCGCTCTGCTTACCTCATCCATTCCCGCCCTCGTTGGTCATTTGTTGACAACCTGTTGGTAACGGGCGCCCTATGGGCGCCTTTCTTCTGCCAAACGGCACGGACCGATACAGCGGGTCTGTTTCAAGTCTGGTTTGCAAACCGTCCAGATCCCGCGGGAAGGCATCCAGTGTACTATCGCCGCCCATCATCCAGCCTCAATATCACTGTGTCTTACTTCTGATTCAAACAGACAATGGTTCCATCTGTTGTTTCTCCCGTATGTGCTGGCATTACGTATTTCCTGTCCTTCTGCGTTTACTATCACTCGGCCATTTCATTTGAATACAGTCGCCTAAAAACGGGGCACCTCCGAAATATCGCAGATCAGAACGAGGGCATCTTTGGGCAAGCGTAGCATGATCACGTCGACGGACCACTGATACGTTGTACGCGAACTCCGATTGTGCTTCGCGAAGACAATGTGAAATCATACTGGAGACATGCTTATAGGGCGGCTGACGGTTCATTACATTGTGTCCAGCATGACAGGGCCAAGCTGATCGGGTGTGAAATCTCCAGGAACGCACCAGACTCGACGTTGCCATACTATTGTGCTCGATGTAAACTCAACACGGCACTCGGACCATCCACACTGCTTCCTTTTAAGAACAATATTGTTCAGAGACGCTGTTGACCGCTTTTGCAATGCTGCCCTCAGCACCAACTCTCGCCACTACAGCCCTCGTCGTTCTCCTTTTGGCCGTATACTTCGTGTCTCACCACAGTATACATAGACTCCCTCCCGGACCCCGGGGTTTACCGCTGCTAGGGAATGTATTTCAGGTTCCTAGTAAAATGCCCTGGCTCAAATTCGCAGAATGGAAAGCTGTATATGGTGCGTCTGTGGCATCGGCGCATCGTTTTCACTGTTCTCATTCAAGTGAAGGCCCAATTTTCTCGCTGAACATGGCTGGACAGATAATCGTGGTGCTAAACACCCACAAGGTCACAGCTGATTTGTTAGGAAAGTTTCATAAGACGGCTACTGATTGCAGATCTATATTTCACTCACCAACTACCAACTATAGACCGCCGCTCTACTATCTATAGCGACCGCCCGCGATTCATCATGGCTAGTGAAATCCTTACAGGGGGCATATTCATGATTTTTGCAAATTGCGGCGAAGTGTCCGTTCTGTACGACCTCCACAATTGTTTAAAACACTAAGTCACCCACTCTGCAGATGGCGTAAAATGCGTCGTGTTGCTCATGAAGAGTTTAATCCACGAGCGGCGGAAAAGTACCGCGCAATGCAGCAGAGAGGCGCGGCGCTGACAATACTGGACATTCTGCAGGATCCTTCGTCTTGGGAGGACTGCTTGAAGCAGTATGACATTTCAGTAACTCTACAATCGGACAGTCTAAAGCAGCCTGAATGCCAGGGGCACTGCTGCCAGTATCCTCACCGCAGTGTATGGATGGCCACGAATCACTTACAAGGATAAATCGGTCGTGACGAGGATTCACGCGCACACTGCTCGTATAGCTGCCGCTGTTGTGCCGGGTGCATATCTGGTCGAGCTTTTTCCTGCCTTGAACTATCCCCTGTGTGCCTTGCAAAGTGGAAGCGCGAAGGGCTGGAGTGGCACGAACAAGAAACCCGCATGTTTCAAGCCTTCAATGCTAAAGTTCGCGAGAAGAAGGTGCATATAAGCAAGCCATAAGTATTGCGACGTTGACGCATATAACACTTTCGTAGACCGGTGCCGCCGGAACACATTGTTTCGTGGATTCTCTCAATACAAATCAGCGGTATCATGGACTTTCGGAAAAGGAGTCTGCATGGCTGGCTGGTATCATGTTGTGCGTCAGCTCCGAATTATCATCCGATACGATCTCTCAGTCCTTTGTGTAGTTCCGCAGGTGCCGAAACCGTTAGTAGCAGCTCGGTTCACCCATTGATTTTGAGGCTGAACTATGTGATATAGATATCTGCCTCTCTGGCAAACGTTGTACTGGCGTTGACATTACATCCTGAGGTCATGCACAAGGCGCAAGCTGAGATCGATGCGGTAGTCGGTCGAGAATGTCTCCCAACGTTCGCGCATCAAAGCGAGCTCCCATATTTACGAGCGTTGATAAAGGAGACATTACGTTGGCGGCCTACGGGACCTGTCGGTGTGTCTCGCTATCGCTATCTCACAGCAAGGAGCTGACGCCCGTACTCTCAGCTGTGCCTCGACGGACTACTCAAGTATTATCTCTGATACTGACTTCATGGGATTCGCTCATGCTTTACCAACAGGATGACTGGTATGATGGATATTACATTCCAAAAGGTGTAAATGCTTCTGAATAGCTGACCTTCCGATTGGCTTACCTTTCATCAACATAGGGACGACAGTCATACCCAATGTCTGGTATGTATCCTTAGACATAAATCTTATTCTGCCATCCGACTTTGTCTTCACAGGGCTATGAACAGGCTCGTCACTCGGTGGTTCGACATGCTATCCCCTCATATTTGCTCCACAGAGACCCGGACGTCTTTCCTAGTCCGGAAGATTTCATCCCTGAACGATTCCTCGACGAGACTGGTGTGTTCGACGTCATCCCTCCTGATACGCATGGGATGGGTCATGTGAACTTCGGATTCGGCCGCAGGTTCGTGTATGCCGGATTCCTCATGCCAACAGGAGTGTTCACTACTCATTGCAGAATCTGTGCGGGGCTCCATTTTGCCAATCAAGAGCTGTTCATCCAGGTCGCAATGCTATTATGGGCCTTCAATTTCGAAACGCCACTAGATAATGATGGAGTGCCCCTCGCACCGCCCAAAGGCGAGTATATTGACGCAGGGATCGTGGTGTGAGTCTGGCTTTCGGCGGTACGGTCACTCGTACTGAAACATAAATGATTCTATTCCAGGGTGCCTGCTCCCTTTGAATGTAAGCTTACTATGAGACGCACCGATATTGCAACTATGATAATGCGAGAGCTGGAGGGTTGATGTGGTTCTCAAGTGTCATAGAATAGACTATCACTGAGATGTTTATCTCAATGTCCATTGTACAGAAGTACCGAGGATATCCGATTGAAATTCATAGTGTGCCATAACCTTCCGGGGCATGAACATGGAAGTGTGATGCATGCAAAATATTATGGATTTGAAGCCTCTTTGATGTTGGGTACAGATCAAATATTGCTTACGGAATCAGCCAAAGTCTCATTAGCGCCAGTTGACACTTGCCAGTTGTATCTCTGCTGTCATCATACCGAAGCTTGTTCAATATTCATTGCGCATTGAAAGGAAGAACTTGTACCCATACAATCATTTCGAGTTGTATGAAGTGATACTACTTATACAGATTGATTCATGCCACTTGTGCAACCAACAAGAAGCCATATGAGAGCTGGGTGTCTAGTCTGCAGAGGGAAGAACAGGCGGTAGCAAGGGCTGCAGATCATACGTCGCATACGACGTCAACAAGAACGGATACGTCCCATACTCTCCCTGCAGCAAACAGTCAGACAGCGACCGCGAAGATGGCACCAGCAGACGTACAATGACATTGTTCGGGAAGCCCTTGTCGAACGGAAGGATGCCATTCAGGTACTGGATCTGCTTCTCGCTCAGCCGCACACTCAGCGCCTCGATGTTCGCCTGCAGATGCTCGACCTTGCGTCCACCCACGATCGGGAAGACGAATGGCGCCTTGTGCATCGTGTACGCGATCGCGACTGTGCACATACACACGCGTCAATGCGGCCGTCCACATGGATCCGGGGCAGCTTCGCTCACCAGCCTGGACATGCTCCGTGCCCACCTCCTTGGCGACAACAGAGAGCGCATCACACATCTTCTTCTCGTTCGGCGTCCGCTCCCAACCGCTCAGCGCAGTCCGCCCTTTCTCGCCAGTCTGTCGACGACGCTCTTCTTCCTCGTCAGACCGGATGTGGCCTCCGCCGAGCACATTCCAAAGCGTGAGTGCAATCCCTGCCAAGCAAGTCCGA